CCTCAAATGATTTCTGAATCAATTCTCCACCATTCTGCATCAAAATCCCGAGACAAAATATTTTTTACATTTTTTGTCCATTTTTCGTGATGGGATCCCTTGAAAATGGGGTTTTCCCCTATAGGGTCCACAGGGATGGCTATATCTTCCCCAATTTGCATCCGATTCTCAAACGGAAGACCTCAAATGATTTCTGAATCGATTCTCCACCATTCTGCATCAAAATCTTGAGACAAAATATTTTTTACATTTTTGTCCATTTTTCGTGAAGGGATCCCTTGAAAATGGGGTTTTCCCCTATTGGGTCCACAGGGATGGCTATATCTTCCCCAATTTGCATCCGATTCTCAAACGGAAGACCTCAAATGATTTCTGAATCGATTCTCCACCATTCTGCATCAAAATCCCGAGACAAAATATTTTTTAGATTTTTTGTCCATTTTTCGTGATGGGATCCCTTGAAAATGGGGTTTTCCCCTATTGGATCCACAGGGATGGCTATATCTTCACCAATTCTCATCCGATTCTCAAGCGGAGTACCTTAAACGAATTCTTGATCGATTCTCCACCATTCTGCATCAAAATCCCGAGACAAAATATTTTTTACATTTTTTGTCCATTTTTCGTGATGGGATCCCTTGAAAATGGGGTTTTCCCCTATAGGGTCCACAGGGATGGCTATATCTTCCCCAATTTGCATCCGATTCTCAAACGGAAGACCTCAAATGATTTCTGAATCAATTCTCCACCATTCTGCATCAAAATCCCGAGACAAAATATTTTTTACATTTTTTGTCCATTTTTCGTGATGGGATCCCTTGAAAATGGGGTTTTCCCCTATAGGGTCCACAGGGATGGCTATATCTTCCCCAATTTGCATCCGATTCTCAAACGGAAGACCTCAAATGATTTCTGAATCGATTCTCCACCATTCTGCATCAAAATCTTGAGACAAAATATTTTTTACATTTTTTGTCCATTTTTCGTGAAGGGATCCCTTGAAAATGGGGTTTTCCCCTATTGGGTCCACAGGGATGGCTATATCTTCCCCAATTTGCATCCGATTCTCAAACGGAAGACCTCAAATGATTTCTGAATCGATTCTCCACCATTCTGCATCAAAATCCCGAGACAAAATATTTTTTAGATTTTTTGTCCATTTTTCGTGATGGGATCCCTTGAAAATGGGGTTTTCCCCTATTGGATCCACAGGGATGGCTATATCTTCACCAATTCTCATCCGATTCTCAAGCGGAGTACCTTAAACGAATTCTTGATCGATTCTCCACCATTCTGCATCAAAATCCCGAGACAAAATATTTTTTACATTTTTTGTCCATTTTTCGTGATGGGATCCCTTGAAAATGGGGTTTTCCCCTATAGGGTCCACAGGGATGGCTATATCTTCCCCAATTTGCATCCGATTCTCAAACGGAAGACCTCAAATGATTTCTGAATCGATTCTCCACCATTCTGCATCAAAATCCCGAGACAAAATATTTTTTACATTTTTTGTCCATTTTTCGTGATGGGATCCCTTGAAAATGGGGTTTTCCCCTATAGGGTCCACAGGGATGGCTATATCTTCCCCAATTTGCATCCGATTCTCAAACGGAAGACCTCAAATGATTTCTGAATCGATTCTCCACCATTCTGCATCAAAATCCCGAGACAAAATATTTTTTACATTTTTTGTCCATTTTTCGTGAAGAGATCCCTTGAAAATGGGGTTTTCCCCTATTGGGTCCACAGGGATGGCTATATCTTCCTCAATTCTTATCCGATTCTCAAGCGGAGTACCTTAAACGAATTCTAGATCGATTCTCCACCATTCTGCATCAAAATCTTGAGACAAAATATTTTTTAGATTTTTTGTCCATTTTTCGTGATGGGATCCCTTGAAAATGGGGTTTTCCCCTATAGGGTTTACAGGGATGGCTATATCTTCCCCAATTTGCATCCGATTCTCAAACGGAAGACCTCAAATGATTTCTGAATCGATTCTCCACCATTCTGCATCAAAATCCCGAGACAAAATATTTTTTACATTTTTTGTCCATTTTTCGTGATGGGATCCCTTGAAAATGGGGTTTTCCCCTATAGGGTCCACAGGGATGGCTATATCTTCCCCAATTTGCATCCGATTCTCAAACGGAAGACCTCAAATGATTTCTGAATCGATTCTCCACCATTCTGCATCAAAATCCCGAGACAAAATATTTTTTAGATTTTTTGTCCATTTTTCGTGATGGGATCCCTTGAAAATGGGGTTTTCCCCTATTGGGTCCACAGGGATGGCTATATCTTCCTCAATTCTTATCCGATTCTCAAGCGGAGTACCTTAAACGAATTCTAGATCGATTCTCCACCATTCTGCATCAAAATCTTGAGACAAAATATTTTTTACATTTTTTGTCCATTTTTCGTGAAGGGATCCCTTGAAAATGGGGTTTTCCCCTATAGGGTCCACAGGGATGGCTATATCTTCCTCAATTCTTATCCGATTCTCAAGCGGAAGACCTCAAATGATTTCTGAATCAATTCTCCACCATTCTGCATCAAAATCCCGAGACAAAATATTTTTTACATTTTTTGTCCATTTTTCGTGATGGGATCCCTTGAAAATGGGGTTTTCCCCTATAGGGTCCACAGGGATGGCTATATCTTCCCCAATTTGCATCCGATTCTCAAACGGAAGACCTCAAATGATTTCTGAATCGATTCTCCACCATTCTGCATCAAAATTTTGAGACAAAATATTTTTTACATTTTTTGTCCATTTTTCGTGAAGAGATCCCTTGAAAATGGGGTTTTCCCCTATTGGGTCCACAGGGATGGCTATATCTTCCAATCCGATTCTCAAGCGGAGTACCTTAAACGAATTCTAGATCGATTCTCCACCATTCTGCATCAAAATCTTGAGACAAAATATTTTTTACATTTTTTGTCCATTTTTCGTGAAGGGATCCCTTGAAAATGGGGTTTTCCCCTATAGGGTCCACAGGGATGGCTATATCTTCCTCAATTCTTATCCGATTCTCAAGCGGAAGACCTCAAATGATTTCTGAATCAATTCTCCACCATTCTGCATCAAAATCCCGAGACAAAATATTTTTTACATTTTTTGTCCATTTTTCGTGATGGGATCCCTTGAAAATGGGGTTTTCCCCTATAGGGTCCACAGGGATGGCTATATCTTCCCCAATTTGCATCCGATTCTCAAACGGAAGACCTCAAATGATTTCTGAATCGATTCTCCACCATTCTGCATCAAAATTTTGAGACAAAATATTTTTTACATTTTTTGTCCATTTTTCGTGAAGAGATCCCTTGAAAATGGGGTTTTCCCCTATTGGGTCCACAGGGATGGCTATATCTTCCAATCCGATTCTCAAGCGGAGTACCTTAAACGATTTCTAGATCGATTCTCCACCATTCTGCATCAAAACCCTGAGACAAAATATTTTTTACATTTTTTGTCAAATTTTCATGATGGGATCCCTTGCAAATGTGATTTTCCCCTATATGGCCCAGTGGGATGGCTATATATTTCCCAATTCTCATCCTATTCTCAAGCGGAGTACCTTAAACGATTTCTAGATCGATTCTCCACCATTCTGCATCAAAATCCTGAGACAAAATATTTTTTAGATTTTTTGTCCATTTTTCATGATGGGATCCCTTGCAAATGTGGTTTTCCCCTATATGGCCCAGTGGGATGGCTATATCTTTCCCAATTCTCATCCGATTCTCAAGCGGAGTACCTTAAACGATTTCTAGAGCGATTCTCCACCATTCTGCATCAAAACCCTGAGACAAAATATTATTTTAGATTTTTTGTCAAATTTTCATGATGGGATCCCTTGAAAATGTGGTTTTCCCCTAAATGGCCCAGTGGGATGGCTATATCTTCACCAATTCGCATCCGATTCATAAGCGGAGTACCTTAAACGATTTCTAGATCGATTCTCCACCATTCTGCATCAAAATCCGGATACAAAACATTTTTTTTTGTAGTTTTTTTGTCCATATTTTGTGATGGGATCTCTTGAGGGTTTTTCCTTATGAACCCTATAAAAGTTATTGGTGGTATGTCATTTAAAGTTGGTCATATGCCAAGATGGATTCTGTATCCATAAAACTAAATCCCAACTCTCCAAATATAAAAATACCGATGTTATGTGAGGTCTAATTAAAAGTTAATCGGGGCAATCCCATTTTTATTTAACAAAAACCATGAGTAATATTCGATCCAAGGCACGCCAACTACAATGTCGAAGGGTCCAACTTGTTTTCAATCAAGGTGGAGGAGAAGGGGGCTGAAAAAAGATCCAGACCCCCCGATTACCTCATTGATCCCTTGAAGCACTGAAGCCCAGAGCATACGCACTCTAGCGGCTCCTTAAACTCAAGGTGATGTAAAAGGCCAGGTGGACTCAAAAACCGAAACCGAAGAGTGGGTGGTGTTGGGGGGCTGGAGCAGATTCCATAGTTAGACGCACTATTGTCCTCTGTAAATCCTCATTGTAACAAGCGCCCAGAATCATTGCCTTACGCACACGTCGCCCTGACTCCAGAGTTCGGAAAGTGCAGCGACAACAGCCAATGCAAAAAAGTTGCCATAAAGAGACGACAAAATCCCCATCTCCACTTAGCTGGCATCGCCCAAAAATAAATGCAACGCCTCCGAACGGACGATCTCCCATATACTCGCACTCATGCCTCCATCGCTCCCTTGCCCCCTCTGCTTCTGCCTGCCCTGCTCTTGGGAGATCGAGACCCCAACCAGTCGGATGAAACGTCCGTCGCTTCTGCTGCTGCCGTTGCTGTTGCTCCCAGCAAGTTCATTGGCCCGGCTCAAGGCAAGGCGAGCGATGTGCAAAAGGAATTCAAGAAAGAGCCACACAGTGAGAAAATTAACTGGCAAATAATTCTGATTCACAAATAATGGTAAGTAGCTCCATGGGGAAAGAGACCTCACCTCTCATAATTCTGACTGATACAATTAATTAAAGTTTATTGCATTTAGGTGTATTTATATAAATATTTTTACCTCTTTCCAGCTTATTTTGTAAATACAAATTGGTTTCTTTTGTACTCCCTCTATAATAGATCTATACATACACCCTGGATCTGGAATGTTTACATTATCTTGAGTTAATATTATTTCGAGTATATGAATAATTTCCTTGTATCGTGTGAAGGATATTGCCGAAAACTTTCACCAAACATCTGTGCAAATTGTGCGAATCAAAGGTGTTATCTTCCAACTTAATGGGCATAAATTCATGGTTTCAAAAAGGCGAAAAGTTGCCGGCAATGCCCAACCTGCGTCAGCTCGTTTAAAATAAATATTTGGTGCCATTTCAATTAACTAAGGAATACAATGTAAAATACAATATCATCAGCCAACTCTTCTAACAAAGCAGGGCAATGTTTCCACTTTCGTTACCGGCCAGAAAAGCTCGATTTAGGGGCAACACCGCCAGGGAGGTGAGCACGCCGCGGAATGTCTCCGAGCGCAGCTTGGTGATGGAGTTGAAGCCATGCGAGTGGGCCACATCCGCATGGACGCCCACACGGTTGCCAGTGGTGGCGTAGACCAGCGAGGAGCCCACACTCTGCAGGAAGTGGGCCGGCTCTGGGGGAGGCCTATTAAGAATAACAATATTTTTAACTTTAAAAACCATAAATGATAAAAACATCATTGACTCACTTTAGTTGGTAGTGCATAATGCCATCCAGGGCGTGCCAGACGGCCAGGGAATGATCTAGTGCGGAGCTCACCAGGAACTGATCACTCGGCGCGGCCAACTGCAACAGGTCACACTCCATGGGTCGCCAGGAGTTGATCACCATGCCGGTGCGCGTGTCCAGCTGGACAATGCAGCCGGAGGAGAGTCCGGCCGCCAGCCAGTTTCCGGAAGGAGCCACCGCCAAGCAGCGCACCGTGGCATTGGGCAGTGTAGCATTGCACACCCGCCACTCGTTCACGTACTCCATGCTGCGAGCATCGATCATCTTGACGCTGGATTCAGCCGTGCCGGCAATCACCAGTGGCGAGTGTGAGGGCAGACACTTGACCACTGTCACGGCACTGTGTCGTGGCCCATCCAGTATGCCAAGAGGTCTGCCTATAAACGGATCCCACAAATGCACACCCGAATCGCAGGACACCACGTAGCGCAACGACTCAAGGAAGCCCAGGGAGTTGATGGATTTCTTGTGTGCCGTGTAGGTAAACTGGCAGGGTGTCGACTTGCGCCCATCTCCTTCGCTGCGAAGGGACCACAGCTTCACGGTTTTGTCCTTGGAGGCTGACACGAAGCTGTTTTCGTTGTCCAGGGCGTAGATAGCTCGCACAGAGTTGGTGTGACCTACGAAGGATTGAAGCCGAATCTGCTTCAGATTCAGGGCCTGGTTATCCTTTTCGCTTCGTGTTGTCTCATGCCGCCAGTAGGCCAGCCAGTTCCCCTCAAGATGTCGCGTACTAGGCATCTGGTCCAACTTGTACGCCACCATATCTAGCAACTCCACATTGCCCCGGACCACTTGTAATCGGTTGCCCACGATCTGGGTGCCAAAACTGTTAGCAGCCAGCTGGCAAGAGGCGTCCACAGAGTCCTCATCTTGGCCGGAACTTATGCTCGTGGCCAGCTGGACTTTCTTGGGGACACTGCCACTGGGTTGCTCGTGCTCGTGGCACAGGGTCAGCACAAATTCCAAGTTACTCAGCGTCCTCTTCATGATGGCCTCGTCCAAGAAACGCAAAAAGGTCAGATAGGCAGTGTGCGCCAGCTCCGGTCCAAACACGTCTCTAAGCTCCTCCAGGGCGCGTTCCTTTTGGCTTACTCCGCCCGTCAGCGAAAGATTGGCCAGATCACAGGCAAAGTCGTTCGGCAGGCCGAAGGCTTTGTTGAAAATCAGGAAAAACGGGCATATAATCGACTGGCACAGATGCTCGCGGGTCATATCCGATCCCAGGCGCACGCTGAGCGCATAGATAGCGTCCAGGAACTTGCGAGCCAGCAGCGAGCGTCCCAGGTAGCCACTGGGCATGAGCAGATTCGTGGAGCTTAGCAGGCGCAAGATGGGCAGGAGGATGGCGTCGAGCAGAATGTGATGAAGGTTATCCATGAGACTGGAGTCGGTCAGACATGGAATCATGTACTTGAGCAGTTGAAGGGAGCTAATGATGGCGCCCTCCAGACTGCCGGTGATCCGCTTGGAGCAAAGGGCAATCAATTCGCTAATATGCGGGAAATACTGTAGTAGGAGAAAGTTTTCACCGTAGAGAGCTGTAGGTGAGGAGAAAGTTAGAACCAATTCTTAGAACATCAGGGAATCACTTACCCGCGATGGACATGAGACATTCCAGTACTCGAGCCGCACTGCGGTCGCCCACTACCCTGGCATTGGCAATGGTGAAGTAGTTCAGATTCGCCGCCTCAGGGGAGGAGCTGGCACCACCGTCATCCACCTCGGGTAGCAGGTTCTCCTGGCCCACGTAGCATAGCGAAAGGAGTTTCAGAAGATTCCTAGTTATGTATCGCGAGGTGAGCACCGGTCCTAGTCGATGCGAGAGCCACACCAGACTCTCCGCGCTCATTTCGCTGATGCGATTGTTCTGTACAGCCTTGGCCTCCGATAATCGTGAGATGACCGAGGCCTGCAGAGAGTCCATGGCCTCCGCCTCGGTCTCCACCGCCGCAGGTGGAGGCAACTGCTCCACCGCCTGGCTTATTAGCTCGAAGCTGTCAACGCTCTTGCGGGAGCCAATATCGCAGTCGATGGCGCTCAGCTGGAAACTGCGCCGGATGCCACCGGCACTGGGGTGCACTGGAATCTCGATGGTGGGTGAACGGGGTCCAATAGGCGGTGCGGCAAAAGCGGGCGGTGTTTCGCCATCTCGAAGCGAAAGCTTGTCCGGCGAGATCCTGGCCCCATAAATAAGTTCGTTGATAACTTGTTTGTCGGGCGATCCGTCCGACTCCCTCGCTTCCTCTGCACTGGCAGCACTCGTATTCGGTCGCATGTCAAAGGAGTCCACTGACTTGCTCTCCTGACTGGACACTCTATCCTGGTCTTCCTCGAACGTGAAGAGCTCTTCAATGTCGGGCTTGGTCTCTGGTTCGGCTGACGGGTGGATTTCCTCTCCAGCTGCCAGATTGAGATTTTTGCTGGTTCTCCGGCTCCCACCGCTGTGATAGTGATAGCCATTGCCCTGCTCGGGCTCCTTGTAGCCACCGACGGCTTCGATGAGCGGAGCTATAAAGTGCTGGAGGAAACAGCGAAGCCCGAATCTCACAATCAGTCGGAGCAGAAAACTATGGTGGTAGAGCTTCACGGATTTCCGGGACTTGAACGAACTGCTGGCGGAAAAGCGCAGGTGGCCGCCACTGTTGTTGTTGGAGCCTGCATCTTCCGAGGAAGTAACACCCTCCACATCGTACAGCTTGAGCAGCGGCTGGAGCAAATGCTGTTGGGTTTGGGCCACTCCTAAGGCCTGAGCAATGGGGTCGAAAAGATTCCATGCGGTCAGGATTGAGGTGCGTTCGTCGCGCAGCAGGTCGATGACATGGGGCAGCAGGAGTTCCACTGGTGTAAACTGCTCATAGGCAAAGGCCACTGGCTCCAGGAGTCGCTTCACATGGGCACAGCAGGACATGACCTTGCACTCGGCGATTTTCCGCTCGAACAGCACTCTCTGACGATCCATCTCCGTGTACTGGGCGCACTCCTTTCCGCCCTTGCAGCTGAAGTGGGTGTGTAGCTCCAGAAGCACGGAGTTAGCCTCGAAGGCGTGCAGGGATCTCACCAGCGCGTACACTGCCATGTAGTGGCTAGGGAACGGCAGAAAATTGTTGGCAAACATAGGTTCCACCAGCTGCGCCGGGCTCGGTGGATGTGGCAAGCCCTGGTCGTCTTTGGCGGCATCCTCCAGATGCAGCAGCAGTCGCACCACCCGACGTACTGGTTTTGGCAACTCTTGACGGTGCACTTGGGCCACAGTACGACAGGCGGCAAGGCGAGCCTCAAACGAAGCCGTCAAGCCATTTCCCATCAGCAGGGGTCGTAATCGCTGTATGGCGAAGAGCTCTACCATGAGGCACCCGAGCACCTGCAAGTCTCGCTCTCTCCTGGCGGTCAGCAGATGCTGCAGGCAGCTCTTTCTCTCCCTCAGTAGGTTCTTCGACTTGGTAGGGATATCTGCACCGCTGGCGAATAGCTGATTGGTAAACGAGTGGTCCGCCGAGTTTTGCTCGAACATGAGATCGCTGCTGATCATCTTCTCCTCGGGGTTGGCCGATGCGCTCTGTTGTGGAAAGGTCCGCGCATAGAACGACTCCAGAGTTTCCAGATTTTGCAAAAGCAACGTCGGGCTATAGTTTTCGGGAAGTTCAATAAAGTTGGTAATCGCATAGAAGTTGGAGGCCGATGCTGAACTGCTTGATCCATCGTCGGCGGGTCGCAACGAGAGGCGGGGAGAGCCGGAGGCGATGTCCGTGTGCAGGTTTTCCGTGCTCTTGGCCAGACGCTTCGTGGGACTGGCGTACACCTGGCTTAGTCGGGGGGCGGTCTTATTGAACCAGGGAGTGGTGTATCGTCGCGGGGGATGCGCCTGAGCGAATAGCTGGACGATGCCCCGCTGGGTGAGATTCCTATGCTGATCCACCAGGGTGAGACAGACATTCTTAGACTTTACTGCCGCCTTTCCGCTTAGTTTGTACCTGAGACAGGAAAGGGTGTGTTAAAATAAGTAACTAAAACATACACAGGATCTTGTCGGTTCAAGATCTTACCCAAAATTGAGATCAATCCAATGATGCAGTCGTTCACTGACGTATTGGGATTCGAGAGCCTCGCGGTGCTTGCAGATAAAATCCTCGGGACAGGTGGCCCAGGCAGGCAGCTCCAAGTCCGGCAAGTCCTCGTGGATACTTTTAAAGATCATAGGATCCGAGTAGAACTCTGGAATGCACTCATCCGGCGTCCACTCCTGCAAGCGCTGTATGGAGACGGGATACTCCGCTGGGACCCAGATGGGACGTACATGGGCGCACAAAATGGCCTGTGGTGTTCTCCTGGCCATGTACACAAAGTAGGTGATCTCGGAGAGAAAGTCCGAAACATGGTGAGGCGCTTGATCGCCAATTGGTGGATAATTAGCATCTCCAGTGCCGTGCTGACTCGCTTGGGCGTACATAAGATCCAGATGAACATCGCCCTTGTTTAAACGGTACTTGCTCTTGGTCAAGTCCCGCCAGTTGGCCCCATTGCGTCCACTGAAGTCGGTGACCCAGGGCATAATGTGGTGGTGGGCCGCATTGGTGAGACTCCGTCCGCATGCGTTGTTCAGGATGGTTAGGTAATCGAAGTTGGACAGCTGGCCGTTGCACCACATTTCGGAATATTCCCGGAGATTGAAGTGGGCGGGGTCGTAGGCGAGGCGCAAGTCGAAAATGGTACTGCTGGAGGGCAGCCTGTGGGTCTGGTGGTCAACCTGATCCCCTAACTCCTCGCTGGCTAGTGGCGTCATTGGTGAAATGTCGTCCACAGCGGGATCCTCCTCCAAAAGGTTGCACTGCAGGCGAGGTAAGACCTGCAGCCAGAGATTCTCGCGAAGGACGATGTGTTGCAGCCTGAGATCGCCAAGGAAGAGCCCCTGTGCCTGCAGGTGCTTTGTCAACTGCAGGATTTGGTAGATAACGAAGAGCGTCTTGTTGTAACCCTTTCCCAACAACGCTGGGCTGAAAGTGATGCAGTCGTAGAGGCTGCACTCGAGGGCCGGGGGATAGAAGAATACACTGAAGTGCGTGGAGGTCTCGATGGCCACTAGAGCCGGCAAGATGTTGGCATGACACTCGGACATCGTAACGTCGGACATTGGCGAGTTCCCATCGCCAACCCGCTCTCGGTCCACTTGACAATGAAGCACTGGACAATGGTAGACGCGTTGGATAAGCTCTTTTAAGACCGCATCATGGGGCTGCAGCTGTCCATGGCCAGGAGTTGGCTTTGTGGCGCTCGCAGATAGAGTTCCTCTGCACAGCTTTATATGGGCCCCGCTGTATTTCCTGTAGGCCTCCTCCCACAGCTGCTTGAAGTTATTGTTTGCAACAAACGACACGGCCTGCGAGTAGGAGAGGGGAAGTTCTGTAGAGGATCCATCCCCATTGACCTTGGGCAACGGGTACACCTTGCTCTGTGGCTGCTTGCGGTACGTTTGCACTAGGATGCGTGTCCACGGATGCTCTAGTTGGCCAGTGGGGTGTGCCCTGCGGTCGAGAAAAGGCCAGCTTGTGAAATGAGTCAGCTTCCGATGCTTCTCGAGCGACTGCAGCCAGGACTTGTCACAGACCAGCTGGTAGCGTCCCTCGACGCCAGTTTCGCACACATGCTGCGGATCCACTCCAATCTCTGGCCAAATCAGCTCGCTTTCGCCCATTTTTCGTCTGCCCCTCAGAAAAGGGTTGTCCACTGGAAACTTGATGAAGCTGTTTTCTGCTTCGCGCTATCGTGCTCTCCCAGTGCCGTTCACATTTTATAATTGGGCGTGCCTCGATGTGTCTCTGTCATAAGAGCTTTGTTTAAATCTACCCGATTAATAAGCACTTTTAAGAGTTTTATGTTATCTTATCAAATAACACTGCGAGTTTTTTCGCAAATCAGCTGTTTCTTATCGATAACAAGATGGTGCTACTAGATTAGCCTTTTCTTGGCTGTAATCGAAAGAGCTATGAAGAAAAACTTAATAGCTTTTTTTTATTATTTACTGTATAATTAATTTTATTAAATTAATCGCAGGTATAGTTATTCTTTATGCATGTTTTAAATGTTTCAGCATAAGCTTAAAAATCTATTTATTTAGTTTAACGGTAGTTTATAGGTTTAACTTGCCATCTCTAGCATGTAATATACATAGACTTAAAACCGATAGTCATGTCAACAAGCAATAGATGGCGCCATATAACCACTATCAAAATAAAATGTTAAAATTATGATATATTTTTTATATACTTCAAGAAAATATTAAAACATACAAAAGCAAATGAAAATATCGATAAATATGTAGTGCGTATGTATAATTCACTTCCATATTTAATATTTATTTTTTTATGTTAAATGTTTGTTATTAAAAATAATTTTAATAATTTTCATTTCCACAGAAAGTTAAAGGCATACAAAAGTTCTATTTGTATTTGCCACTGCTGAGCAAACACTTTCAACCGATGTCAACACCTTCCCGGCAGGCCATAAACCAATGGCATGCGACTCATGTGAGATACACTTGACCGATAATAATCTCGATTTTAATAAACATACATACATATGCACGTACATATTTTGAGAATTCGGGTAATCAGACAATCCAAATCTGCAAGAAAATATGTACAATGTACATTCTCATTAAGTCTACACCAGTCTTCTTTGAAGCAAACACAGCAATATTAAGCCTTAAGCTTTTTTAAATAAATTTTATAGATAAAAAGTGTTGTTTTTTTCTTTTAAAAAATTATTTATTTATAGTTATTTATCCATTAAAACATCACTATTCAACACGATCAAGTTTTTAAATACTTTGGACAAATAAAAAAAATGTGTTACATTTTTGTTCTTTATTTTTTCTCATTCCGTGTATACTGTCATCATGGAAATTCCCACGCTCCTCTTTCCCTGTTTCATATCTAAGCCCGTCCGAAATCCTAATCTTATCAACGAGGTAGCCAGGTTTGTAATATGCCGCCTGCTTCTCTACCTTTTTTAATGTTTGCGGTCGGCATTTGAAAGAAACTAGAAACAGCATCCGAGCAGAGGCACTTGTTGCCACGGTCGGGAGGTCAAGGTAATGCCATTGTCGCAACGTTTTCTTATTTTTTCCCATATCTGTGATTGTTGAGGCCCGAAATTTATTACAGTTTAAACGCTTCAACTCGCAGATGAGAAACAGTAGCAGTCTTGTGAAAAACTGGTTTCATGTGTCCTAAACGACGAACCTTTCGCAACTCGAGACACTTGGCTTCACTTCCGTTTTGCACAAATTAGCGGGCTTAAACATTGTGTATAAATAACAAAATCACGTGTCAAAGGCTTGTCTCCGGTTTCCAGGTTCACTTGTCCACCAGGCTGTCGTTCGCCAGATGTTATTAGGAAATTCTCCCGAAGTTATTATTTGCAAAGTGCCACTCGACAGTAAATGTTTTTTAATAATGGAAGGGGCTGGGAGGCAGTTACTTAGTTACCCGCTAAAAGTTCTTACCTCTTTTCACACATCCGATGAGCTGAGCACACAAATAAAACGCAAACTCAATTATTACATGTGAATTAAACTGGAACTCAGTATTGGCAGTAGAATGGAATTGTGGAATTTTTCAAATTACTCCCAAAATACCCCACATCTGAACACCGCCACCCTCGCCGCCTTGATTATCGAATGGTGTCCATAAAGCGGCGCACACGACCGCTTGGAGTTCGGAGAGCCTGCCATTATGGCCAATTAAGTTATTAAACACCTTGGTGATGACGCACCCTAAAAACGAACCCCAGTTGGTCGGACTCCCGCCTCCCATAAATCAGTATCAATGGGACTCGCTTGCCAAGATATTTATATGTATATGTTCGCAAATGTGCAATATAGGCGGGATTTTTGAAAAAGAAAACAGCAAATCACATGCCTCAGATTTGACAGCCCTGTTTGTTCGTAGTCGGAGCGGAGATTCCCGCCTGTCCTCCCCGGGACAATCTTATCATATCAGCCGGAACCTTGGTACAAAAGTCGCTTATAAAGACCAAGCCGGCTATAAAGATTAGAACCGATATTATGGTTAGTAGCATTGTAAAAGGCATATTTTAGATAGCTAACTTTACGAATTCCGTTCCGCAGTTTATTTATTTTTATGACCTGCCGCCTCGAATATGGCAATATTGCTCCAAGCCGCCAGAAAAAAACCCAAAGCCCACATTACCCCGTGACCCAAAGTTGGTCGACCTTGGATCAGTTAACCCGCCGTCCACATCCCACCAAAATTAACCAATCCAATCCACGCCAATTAATCCAGCCAAGTACTGCGAGTCTCGTGATTATTTTTATGCCATGCTCGAGTATTTTCCTGTCATCTTCGATGACCCTCGAAAAGTCAATTGGTCCGGCTATTTCCCCCTCTCGAGGGGTTTATTTGTGAAACTATTTTAATTACTTAAGTGTTTGCTTACTGCATTTAACTATTTAACTCAGACCAACATATTCTCGCCTGTTAACCTGTTAAGATTTTGCCTGATTGATTTATTGTGGCTTAAATTGAGCAAAACTCGTTAGAGTCATGTGTCTAAAATCGTACGCGGTTAACAATAGTTTCTCCCCAAAAACGCCGCCACATCGCAAACGGCTTCCTTTGAAAACAATTAGCTCTTGCCTCGAATCCGTATGTGACTATTCATCTTTGGCATTTATAGATCATCTCAAAACGCGATATCTTATCTTGACAGATATAGCCTGTCATTATACCTCAAAATATTTTTAGCTTATATGATCGTATCGTAAAGATTGCATCTGATAATAATCTCTATCCTACTTTTTCTTAAAAACAATCTTACTCTAAAAGTTTATAATGTATTACGTCTTTTTCAATTATAAAAGTTTTATTATTTGATTTGATGCAGTGACTTTTAAAGACTTTTGTCCTTTTTTTAGAAACTGTCATTGAATCCAGAGCCACTTGACTTTGTGTCATTAATTGGTCGAGACACTACGGCTCTTGGGTTCTTTTTAATATGCTGAGCGCCCATGGAATTAAAGGTCTTTGCAGTTATTTGACTCAAAAATCAAATACTTGAAAAAGACGAATTAGCAATGCACTTGAGTTAGATTAAAATATTAAAGTCTTTTCTATATGATTGTTACAAATGAGCAATAATATATTCCTCATATGTCAAACGAATCATGATTAAAGCGTTGCTTTCTTTGGGAATGTATTTTGTGTAATCTTAAATTTAATATGTTCATGAAAGTAAAAGTTAAAATACTATTGAATTTCTTACGATTTTACCTTGTAAACTCACCCTTTAATAGAGTATTTATTTTGATATAAATATTTTTGGCGCCCGCCGCATCCCATTAATGGACATCAAATATAAAAGACTTTCAGGCCGCTTCAATTAATTTGCCGCATAGTATTCATATAAAACGCAGAATATTTCGGTATGCGAGTTAAATATTGAGTCTCCGCCCCGTATACCCTCGTCCGTCCGACTCCCCATGCTGTCCACTTACCAGTTCAAGCTGGTAAAGTTTTTTGGTCATGGACGTTGGAGCCAGTTTTAGCTAGATTTAGACATAACATATATTTACATTTCAGTTGATATATTCAGAATTTTCACATATTTATTTGGGTAAACGTTTCAATTGCAGACTTGTTGCATGGTTCGCTGACTTGGTAAGCTCATATCGGGATGACAAAGCGAAAAACGGGTTTGAAGATCATCCGGATCGGTTAGTTTCGCATATATGGGGGGGGTCCTATGTCTGGAAATGGTATGGCGGGCATATGTGCGTGCGGATAATTGATGGGGGTGCACACATTAATTGAAGATTGTCGCTTTTCATTAACCAAGAGATGGACGACTCCCTGTTTGTCCGTTTGCTTGTGGAATATTTCAAATAACTGAATTATCTAACCATTACTTATAAGCACTTTCCCCGTGATGATCTCCAGCCTGGACAAAGTGTGCCATCGATAAGAATGAAACGTGTGGACTGATAATGGCGACAATACCTTTCAGGGATTTCACATCGAGGGCTCTTGGTAATGGATTAGATTTCCAGAGATAATGGTTGTCTCTATTGCAATACTCCCCTTGGAAACGGATGTGCCGAAATCCCCTGTCTGGACACTTGTGGAACTGTTGCAACTTTGAAGCCCTCTATTGATATAGTATTTCCCAAAAACCGAGTGACAATGACCGGCCATTAAAAGCTCTCGTTAAGCAAATGAATATGGGGTTGTATTTAAAAATATACGCAATTATGGAATGTATATTGAAGCCGCAACTAAGCTGCATTGAACCGCATCTGTAACTGGTTAATTCAGACAACCAAGTAATGTATATTTTCAGAAAAAAAAGCACAAATTTGCGCAAATTAAGGCTGAAACTGAAATCGAAACTGAATCTGAAATGACATTCGAGTGGTCTGGTATGAATACTGATCGTACAATAGAAGTGTCAGGGCGGTTCGAGGTGGTTCACCCGACTTAATCGATAAGCACTCCCTAGTCGCGCGCCGCCAGCTTCCCGCCTCCCATCTGCCACCCCACCCACCTGGTACCACCCCGCCCCGTGTCCCCTTTTATCGCTCGATTTCGCCTTCTGTTTTTTTAGTTGATTTACATTGCATAAAGTCGAAACCCGCCTCTAACCGGTAAACGCCGCTGACTAACTATGTGCAACTACTATTCCGAACACCCTACACAACTCCCCGCAGGGTATATGCGATCGGAGTGCCGCCAATATCTGTGTCAACGTGCCGTAGTCACTCAAAGTCCACTCTTTCCTACATCTTCCACGGAAGGGTAAACAAATATATTTGTTCTTTAACGAGGTCTTTGATATAATCCGGCCAACTTAAGTGTATTAAAGTATATATTTAGTTTCAACAATATATATATCAGAATAAAAAACATATTCGCGTGCGTATAAAAATGTAAATGTTCTTGAAATTTGAGGTATTTTTAAAATATGTATACACATCAAAGTTTTTTGAGGATTTACTTGAGTATCTTATTGCTTCTATAAGATCGTATCTTGAACCACTTTCATCTAGATGCTATATGTATTCTATACAAGAACATATATAATAACAATATCATATATATTATTAAAATAGGTTGTTGAAAATTATACAGTTCTTATCGTTATTTATGGCAGTGATAAGGCTTTTATTGGGGAACAATCTAACATTTAATTTGTCTGCATCTTTCATAAATTACTGCTGATACCAGGTAGTTCCTTTGCCAATAAAGGCAAAAGCATGTTCGCCGTCCATAACTCAACTTCCTAACTTTCATTTTCGAAAAGTGTCGTCTCGTTTAGGCCATGATATTGGCCGATTTTTCTCTGGGTGCAACGGTGAATGGAGTTTCCATCTGGTTGGACCAACTTTGGCACGTTCAGGTTTCGCTAGTTCTAATTTGGAGCAGGGTGCATTGTATTCCACATAGTTTGGCACATAGTCAGTCTGGTAGTTAGACTTTTTTCTCTATTTTTTTGTTGTTTTTGGTTTTAGCCATAAAGTGAGCGCGTGCATGAGGAGACTGCGACGATTGAGCGGAAAACCGTTAAGTATTCAGCACAGAATCGATTAAAACTTGGATAGTGATACCAACTGAAATCGAAATCGGGCCTGAAATGGGCAAATAAAACAAAGTTCCTTGGGTCAGAAGGTATTGTTGTACGAGTATTGTTAAATGGAATGCTCCACGCATGCGGGGACTCGATGGCCGATCGGCCAAGATAGCGACTGTTTTTATGAGGTGCTACGAACACACATCCATCAGTGCAGTTAGAGAAAATATAGGTGTATTATAATGTTAGTTTTATATTAGTACAATCTAGATTAGGGCTTAGATTGGGGGAAATAAAATAAATAATTAATGATTGCTAAGAAGTACTAGTTCCCAATGTTTTAGAGTATTCTAAACACTAATTAGAAGTCTTACTATCTAAAATAAAGTTGACTCACTAAGTAACCCAACTAATTACAATATAATTATCTATCTGAAAAGCTCTCTTGAGATTTTCTCGCTGTGCTGCTCTATTGCGGTCCGCACATTCAGACAAGTGTAACGATCGATTCCTTGTCGATATACACGATCGTTGACTGACCGAACCCGATGGACGGCCCGGTCCGGCCCGTCCCGTCCCGGCGCAGGCGGGCTAATAAAACTCCAGCAAAAGCAGCGCCGGAGCAGCCGAGCGGCGCTTATCGGCGGCTGCTCTCATATAAACTAAAGTCGGCGGGAATAATTTCTCATTTGTAATTTGGCAGGCGGCGTGCGCGGATCGGATCGGAGCAGAACAGAACTCAGCTGAACTGAACAGATCGGACAGAACAGAGATCGGGATCGGGCGATCATTATTTGCTTTACAGTTGTTCTAGTGGGTAAAAACAGAGTGCAGAGTTAAGCCCCAGCGAAACCCCAGTGATCCAAAACTCTTCTCGTCTCCGCGTGCTCCAAGTGCAAAATAATTACAAATCGACATCCATCGAACTTAAAAAAAAAAACAAGAGTGCGCGATCTATAGATCGAAGATTTAAAGGATCCGCCGTTGTCCTTTAACCCGTAACCGTGGCGAAAGAACTGGCCAATTTGTTAACCCAACAGAATAACAATCCCACGATGACTCAACAACCACAATGGGGCATAAGCTTCTCCAAGTGTAAGTGATCAACGAGAAAATAAGGGAGATAAGCCCAAAGAGTATCATAATCCTCGCCAGGTGGTGGTGTCCCACGAGGAAGTCCGTGCTCGTGCCGATCGTTGAACTTGTCGATCGGGCGTCAGTGGGGGTCTCGATTCTTGAGACGTTTAGACCATATTTATTCTATTGGTTAACCTGACCGACATTGACCGACAGCTAGTATACTAAATCCGAAATACGTAGGTGTCTGCTGTATAATGCATTAATGAAAACAATGACAAAACGTTTTCGCCACTTCCGATTCAGTTATGCTTTTTTTCGAGTTTTTCGAGTGTTTGGCTTTTTCGAGTTTTGTGTCTCGCATTTTAAGTTTGTCGCGTTTTTCGGGGGTTTGTTTAGCTTGCGGCTCATCTCTTTAGTTTTGGACCGCATTCTCAATATTCCCGGCATGTGCGAGGCATAATTGATAAATATTTTGCATACGATTTGCATGTCGGCCAGATGTGCCGCGTGGATAGGGTATCATCTGCAGGGTATCGACCGATCGAGCGATTACGATCGTTAAAAAGCGTTAACAGTTATTATGGACTGGCCCGGCCATCCGCCCGTTTATGGCTCCGCCCGTTTCCTCGCCCCATCTCGCTCTGTTCTTTTTTGGGCAAGGTCAATGCAATAAAGAATTCCGACCGCTTCTTTTTTATTTTTATTTTTATTTTTTTTGGATTGGGCAACAAGCATTTCTTTTGTAAGAGAGTACAAAAAACAAAAATACAATCTTGAAGTATATTTATGGACCTCCATAAGCGGGGCATGAGTTCGTTTTTCAATGCAACCTGCTAAAGTGTCGAATAAAAACTCTCGATTTGGTTAAATAACTAATTAAGAAACATATTAATTTCTGTAGCTTTCAAAATGATTTAATTTATAATGTTTTTCCTTTACTTGGAGATTATCTTGAAGTGCGATTTGTTAAAAAATGTCTAAAAAAAAGTATTGCCATAAATCACGGGAGGTAAATAGTTCATTAGTTCGTATAATCGCCTAATGGTTCTTCATGCCCGGCGCCCCAGTTGCTCAAAAACTCATTATCATATAGAAAGGGGCCTTTACACGCTTGTAGGCCTATGTAAGTAGTATGCCTATCTCGTATTCCTCAATCAGACATTACACTTGAGGCCCGACCCCTCCGAACCCCAACCGTTGACATAATTTTCGCAAGAGCGCGGAAATGCAAGCAAGCAGAAGAAATGGTGTTTATTTGTGGCGAGCTATCGCCGAGCAGGGCCCTGGACACTGGCCAGAGATTGCCGGACAAAGAGCCACATCGGACCCAGATATGTCATCAAACAGACAGAAGAAATTGTTTTCATTTTCTCATTATTGTCGCGGATATGAATAATTTATGGGAAGGGGGAAATTAAAATGATATTACAAACATCATTTAATCATCGTTTATTTTTGAAGAGATAAGGAGTGGCCAGAAGAATGTGTTATCTAAACAAAAAATATTTAAGCGATAATTAAACAGAGCTTCCGTCAATTGTCTGTTGTGTAAAACAATTAATGGCCTGGAACCCAGTTGCTAAGTTTCTATCAAACGGCTAACCATTCTATTTAGTTTTTCTATTGCCTGTTTTATGAGGTAACTTGTTTAACACCACAATTGTAATTAACGAAAATTCAAAGTCACAATTGTTTTTAATTTATTATCAATATTCTTAGTTTTTAACACGTTTTTTTCTTTTACTGACATCTGATTATGACGAATTGGCGCTAAAAGCGATTATGCTTTTTTGGAAATACATTTTTCCTGCCTCTTGAAGCTTTCGGCTACGTCTAGATAAGGGCCGTGTTACCATATTTTGATTAAATCTTAACCGGCTTATCGAATGATGGATCTTAACTGGAGTGCGATCGTATATTAACGCCACTAAACGTGATTGGTCGAGTGATATATTGCCTCACTTGGCCGGTCGACGATATGATTAGCACCCATTTACATATAGAGAGCTCCCTCTTGATGTGGTCGGATTATGGGCTTATCAACTTATCACTTTGCAATCATATTAGGTGACTTTTATTTGATACTCTCATAGCGGATCGAATAAATTCTCCCTCAGTTGAATAACTTGTCAAATATTGACATATTGTTAATTTTATCAGCTTCGGCTGCTGGCTTTCTGCAAATTTCAGCCAACAACTGGCAAATATTTATGCTAATTTCAATGTTAATTTGTGGTTAAATAAACTTGGCAGCCGGTGACGTAGGCCGATGGGCCTTTTGCGAAACCTGAGGAGTTTCTCGATCCATTAAAAAGACAAACATGGGGTTTTTTAATTCGGCGTCTATTGGAGTCGAGTGCTTGGATGTGGATTTGAACTTGACGTAGGTGGACTCGTGGCTAAATGTCAACAATAACAACTGGCAAATGGTGGGGAGCGGGTGGTGGTGATCTAATAATATTGTCATGAATTGGAATCTGATTGTGTATTTACCCAAGAACCCGAGCTATTTGCCTCGGATTATTAGCAAAACTTGTTTGCTTGCCGATTCGGTTAGAACACTTTTGGATGAAATGGGTCAATGTTAATCCAGCGCGTGTCCGGAAACTTGATCGATTCAGCCTTCGATCCCAATAAGCCCTACTTGAGGCCTTGATCAATTGATGAGCCCTACAGACAGACTTTGGACCGAGGACAACTCAATCGACCCGCCCACCTCACGGCACAGGTTTATGGGGCTGCGGACCCCGTTTTTCCGCTCCAAGTACTTGAGATTGCGTGAACTGCAATCCAAGTGTTTATCGCAGATCTACCACACTTCTGGGTTATCTTGACGCAATTCCGCTTAACAATTTAATGGCGATATGACCATCATATAAGCTGCCTCAGCCGATCCGCCGTGGGCAGGGCGGGGGTGCCTGGTGATTGATAGCGGGCTCCCATGTGACGACAAGTGTATAGCGCCGCTAATATAGTCACTAATCATGCGGTGTAGGGTGCTCGAACCCAACTCAACCACGGGCCATAAACCCACAAAATTTTCACAGGAAGTTGGCACGAGTGCGGTGCCCTAATCATCAGAATTCTTCAGATGCCATTGAAAAACTTCGTAAACAATAAAATAATTTATAATTAAAGATCATGAATGGAGGAGAAATAAATTTCGATTAAATATATTAGGTGCCATTCCATTTAAAGATTTATAATTAACTCGTTGATTGTAAATTATCTGCACTTAAGAGTAAGTTTTGATTAGAAAGTAAGGGGGGTTCCTATAAATTGTTTAGAATAGGACATGGACCATGGTAACCGAGTTTCTATGAGTTCTTTTGAAACTAATAAATATTAATAGGTTCTTCGACTGATTTACATCAATGGCCCTATAAATGATTTTAAAATATTTGAAATGGAAACGGGTTTGGAACTGAATCAGTCCCTAAAAATACTCATGTGTCATCAGAAATCCAGATCGAAAGTATTCTCAGAAAAGATGGTGACAAATTATAATCATTTTTGGAAAAAGGACTCAATATATCTTCTTCGAAAATAGAGCTATTAAAGGGGAATTTTTAGATGGAATTCACTTCAGTGAGTCCTCTAATTGATATAGTGCCAGGGCAATCAACCACAATTTGAAGTTTATCAGCGCAAATTGATTCGTACCCAATTGACCGACATGAAGAGCCAACTGCCAACCGCCAACCGTCAAACTATTTATTCGCACGCTAACCAAATTAAATAAGTAAATTGCTTAAAAACAGTTTGTGAGACGCAAATCCATTCCGGCTATTAAAACCGCTTGACGCAGTTGACTGTTGACAAATGTTGCTCGACGAGTTAATTAGTGCTTCTGAAGACCCACAGACAGACACCCCCACTTACGTCACACCTGCTCTCGATCTTCTCCTTTGCAGATTTCATACTCCCGCAGCGAGTGATACTGTCCATAATGGGCTTCCTGGCCATCCTGAATGCCTACACGATGCGCGTCTGCCTCTCGCAGGCCATCACGGTGATGGTCATCAAGAAGAACTCCACGGACGACGAAGAGGACCATGCCATCTGTGAGCCCGACGACCTGGACAGCGGCACGAGCGTAAGAGATGTTCATTAATGATCCGTATCCGTAGACTTACCAACAAATAATCTTATAGGAAGGAGGCGAATTCGACTGGTCCGAGGAGTTGCAGGGCCTGATTCTGTCTTCCTTCTACATTGGTTACATCGTCACGCATATTCCCGGCGGCATCCTGGCCGAGAAGTTCGGCGGCAAATGGACCCTGGCCATCGGCATCCTCTCCACCGCTGTGTTCACCATGCTGACACCCCTGGCCATCGACCTGGGAGGCTCCGACTGGCTGATCGTGACTCGTGTCCTTATGGGCCTGGGTGAAGGTACCACCTTCCCCGCCCTCAGTGTCCTTCTGGCCGCCTGGGTGCCGGCCAACGAGCGCGGTAAACTGGGCGCTTTGGTGCTGGGTGGTGGTCAGGTGGGCACCATCATGGGTAACCTGCTGTCCGGCGTGCTGATTGATGCCTACAGCTGGCACTTTGTGTTCTACTTCTTCGGAGGCCTTGGAGTCGTCTGGTTCGTGATCTTCGTAAGTATTTCTCAAGGCATTTAGGGATACCGGGCGTAACCCTTTATCTTGCAGGCCTTCCTGTGCTACAGTGAGCCCACGACCCATCCCTTCATCAAGCCAAGCGAGCGCGAGTATCTCATCAAGGAGATCGGACCCATTAGCCGCAACAAGGACTTGCCCCCCACCCCCTGGAAGGCCATCCTCACAAACCTGCCCATGATCGCGCTGGTCTGCGCCCAGATTGGCCACGATTGGGGCTTCTACATCATGGTTACGGATCTGCCCAAGTACATGTCCGATGTCCTGCAGTTCTCGATCAAGGCCAACGGCCTGTACTCTTCCCTGCCGTACGTGATGATGTGGATCGTGTCCGTGGGCAGTGGCTTCGTGGCTGACTGGATGATCCGTCGCAACATCATGAACACGACCAACACCCGCAAGGTGATGACGGGTATTGCTGCCTTCGGTCCGGCCATTTTCATGGTGGGCGCCTCCTATGCCGGCTGCGACCGCGTCCTTGTCGTCGTTCTCTTCACCATCTGCATGGGTCTCATGGGTGCCTTCTATGCCGGCATGAAACTGAGTCCTCTGGACATGAGTCCCAACTACGCGGGCACTCTGATGGCCATCACCAACGGTATTGGTGCAATTACGGGAGTGATAACGCCGTATCTGGTGGGAGTGATGACACCAGATGTAAGTCCTACTAGAAACCATCTCTTCTTTCGAATATAATCAATTAATTTAAATCCTATAGGCCTCACTGCTGCAGTGGCGCACCGTGTTCTGGGTGGCCTTTGGCGTGCTCTTCGTCACCGCCGTCATCTACTCAATCTGGGCTTCCGGCGAGGTCCAGCCCTTCAACAACGCCCCCATCCAGCCGCGCACCGTGGACTTTGAGGCGCAGGAGCGCAAGCCTCACGGCGAGAAAGACAGGTCTGCTCTGGAGCAGAGCTCTTAAGGGGGATCGCCAACGAAAGTGCCATAACAACTGTACCCTAGTTAAAATGCCGTCGTAGTCCGGAAGACCGTATATATGGTATACGCCATGGCTGCTGTTCAGATTGCTAGTTTTATAGTATTCCCGATCTGGTCGATCAATCGGGCGTCTGGCAGAGACGCCAACTAACTAATATAAGCGAATTTACTTACACTCCCCGAGCGTGCGCCGTGTCCTTCAGTGTGTATTCATGTTAATAGCTACTAGCTAGGATAACGAATCCCTTCTAAGCCCCTCTTCCCCAATATCCCCCATCGCCAAGCACGCAAGGTACTCTCTTAATTATTATTTAGTATTTAAATGAAGCGATTTCACGTTTAAGATTTAGTCTACATGGAGCTCGTATTGCCGCATCGTAAGTCCCATGATGAGATAATTTGTACATTTTAGATTGTTGATCAATGTGTAAAGTGAAATGTTTTTTTAACTGTCCCGTTAAGACATTACTGTTTTTATGACGTTAGTCAAATAAAGTGTATAAAGCAAGTTAACAAATATATAAACATAATTGTTATTAATTAATTCTAGGAGGTAATAATAGGGGGGAGGAAACAAAAATCATACTACATAATGCTATATTGTATAGGTGACCAAAGCAAGATGGAAAACCTTATAGATTTTAGGTCTATAAAGTCCCGATTCTAAATACTTATTAGTATTTTATTTTTTTCATCTTTAAGTGTTAGGAAATAGTTTTAAAATGCCGCATCCCTTAGCTGTCAAATAAAAACTTAAATAGGAAAGGTAAAAAGCTTGCTGAGATTAGTGAAAATTCATCGACATCCGAGTGACCAAAATGCTACCCGCTGTTCAGCAAAAATTGAGTGATATATTCCTTTGTAAGTTATCCATCGAATCAGGATATAACCATCAGGTTCTTAAGCTATTATCCCAGATCTCGAGGTGAAGCAGCGCGTGGTGCTCGTCTGCTTTACCCTTCTGGCCATCATTAATGCCTATACGATGCGACTGTGCCTGGACTTTGCCCTCAACCGAATTGTCCTGGAATGCGGTGGTGTCCGGATGGATCAGGGTGCTCAAATTATTGCGCCAAAGAGCCTGCCTAACTGGCGAGTGGAACTGGCTATGAGGACCAAGCAAACTGAGTTCAATGTCAAGAATCGACTGGAAGCTGGGCAGGAACCAAGAAAACGTGTCCGCAGGAGGACGAGGGGAGGAGTGGAAAAAGTCTCCAGCAAGCCTGCATCAGAGCTCTCCCCAGATAAGGTTACCTGTGCGGAAATGTGGTCCCGGCAAACTCAATCGCTGGTCGTGGTGGCCTTCTACGTCGGTTATATAATAACCCATGTCCCGGGAGGACGATTGGCGGAACAATATGGAGGAAAGTGGGTCCTAGGAGTGGCCATCCTCACTTCGGCGGTGCTGACTCTTCTTACACCGGCTGCAGTGCGTCGGGGTGGCCCCTATATCCTGCTATGTGTCCGTCTTTGTGTTGGGCTTTGCGAGGGCCCCTGTTTTCCGGCGGTGTGCGCCCTCCTGGCTCAGTGGGTACCCGAGCAGGAGCGCGGATTGCTGGCCACTTGTGTCCTCAGCGGTGGAGAGATTGGCATAACCGTGGTGCAGTTGGTCAGCGGACTGGTTCTGGCCGAGCAGGACTGGCCGATAGCTTTCTATCTAGTTGGAAGCGGGGCGATTCTTTGGTTTCTGGGCTTCGTAAGTGAACCACACTAGTTCTCAATAGTTTAATCCCATTATTCCACAAACAGGCTCTTGTCTGCTACAGTAAGCCAGACGCGTGTCCCTTTATCCAGGACGATGAACGGGAATACATCAGATCCCATACAAGTGCCGACCTGCTAGTGACAGCCAACAGAGAAGCACCAAACGAAGAAGACAGACCCTTGGAACCTGCCGGCAATGGCGACGCTGATCCTGCTGCGCCTTGGCGCAGTATTCTGACGAGTGGACCGTTATGGGCGCTTGTCTCCGCCTCCTTGCAGCATGACTGGAACAATCAGGAGCTACCCCAGGAGCTGCAGCAGGCCCTCGATGAGGTAAAACGCCATGGCAGTGACGTGTGGAGCGAACTTTCAGCTACCATTGCAGTTGCCGCCCCGCATATCGGTACCTGGGTAGCTTCTCTAAGCAGTGGTCGCCTTAGCGACTTCCTGATCTCCCAGGGCATCCTAAGTCGCACCCAAACTCGTCGCCTCATGTCCTGGCTGGTCTTTGTCTGCGGCTCCATGAACATGCTGCAGGACCAGATAAACGGATCACAGATTTGGAGCGTTCTGGCCATGGCCGCTTATTACGCGGGAATAAAGCTACTGCCCTTGGACATGAGTCCGAACTTCGCCGGCACAGTGATGGGAATATCCGGAGGGCTAGCCGCTCTTCCCGACCTGTTAATGCCCTATTTTCAACAGCTGGAAGCAAATCACCCCGTCGTGGGCAGCGTGAAAGCTGCCCTCTGGATTATCGGCGCCAGCTACATCTCCGGCGATGTGCAGGACTTTAACCAACCCGAACCGCAACAGCGATAAGAACATGGCTTTGGTCTTAGTTTAATCTTACACTTAAACATAAGCTAGAGGTTTTCTTAGGCAACAGATTCTAGTTTACATATGTATCATAATACATTGCGATTTCTATGCTATGTCCTAGGAGCATAAACAAAAACAAGCTTTATATATATGTATATATAAATAACAGGTATGATGGTCGTATTAGCATAGTTGGGTCAGGTTAGCCGGTGTTGGTTGTCGTGGGTGTGGTGTGGTTCTGGTAGTGTTTGTCTCTGTGTATTTAAATGCTCCCAATTTCGATCCTGATCCCATTCATCCCACACTCTACATGCCCTGGGGCATTGCACCGGAGTGGACCATCGCCGAAACGGAGCTCATATCGATACCCAGCTTCTTGGTAACGTTGATCTGCGCAACGGCCGCATTGTGAAGGGAATAGACATGTATTAGCTCCGCCTGGCTCTTTGCATAGAGCAGAGCCTTCTCAAACAGCTCCACTGCCTTCTTTAGGTTCGCCCGCTGCACCTCCACCGTTCCTAGGGTTTCGTAAGCCAACTCGCACTTTGGATCCACTTCAATAGCCTTGTTGAGAAGCTCAACGGCCTTTTCAATGTCTCCTCGCCACTGCAGCATCATAATCGCCTGGTGGACAATCAATGCCGGATTGTTTGGCGCCAACTTCATGGCCTTCTCGTAGTATTGCTGGGCCTGTGGGAACTGTTGCTGATCGGCTAGCACTTGGGCCATTAGGCTGTAGCATTCGACACAGTCGGGGAACTTTTCAATGGCCTGTTCGAAGGAGCGCATCACAGCCTCCAACCGCCGCTGATCGCCGACCAACAGGGATAGTCGGTACTCGGCGTAGCACTGCTGGACGAGCGCGATGGCGTGGTTGGGCGCGAGACGAACCGCCTTGCTGAACTCGACCAGCGCTGGCTCGATCTGCTCGAGCAGCAACAAAATTTGGGCCCGCTGATGGAAAATGTCGGGGTTGTCTGGCTTCAGTCGCTCGGCCTCTTCGAAGTCGGCCAGTCCCTTTTCGCGCTCGTCCAGTTGGATGAACAGGGCAGCCCGCTTTATATACGCATAAGCTCGCAGTGTTGGATCAGCATCACCTGCAAGGAATACCGATTTATTTATAATTTACATAAACAAGCTAATAAACAAATCCTTACCATTGCCGAGAATTGCATCCAAGTCCTGCTTGCTCTCCGTGTAGGAGCCGCACAGCAGGTGGAACGTGCCACGCATGAGCAGGGCCTCCACCTTGTATTGCGCCTCCGCCTCGGAGGACTCGATCTCTTCAGTGCAGGCAGGAATAATGTCATCGAATTGCTCGTTGATGAAACATTGACGAGCCCGAAGGAATCCCTTCAGAGGCGCATCGGACTCCGATTTGGACGGAAGTGGGATGCTCTGCAGCGGATCCGCGATGAATGAACGCATATATGTGTTAACAAAGCAGGCCGAAGGCACCACGGGTACCCTGGTGCGCATACCCTTCTCGGCGGCAACGCGACCTGTTTCCTTCAGCACGCGATCGGCAAACATGATGGTGTTATTGTTTTGGAACATCTCCAGGATGCAGGTGGCGGTAACATCGTCCAAGCACTCAAGCATATTCTTCGTGGCATCGTGGGCGCGAGCACGACGATAGTAGGCCTTCGCATAGCGCGGATTGTATTCCAGGGCCGCCGTACAGTCTTCTTTCACGTTAGACCATTTCTTGAGAACTTCGTAGGCTGCGGCACGGTTCTGGTAGAAGATGGCCATGTCCGTGTTGTGCTCCTTGGGGCATTTTTCGATGGCCTTGTCATAGAATTTGATTGCCTCGTCATACTTTCCATTTCTGTAGCAGTTGTTGCCTTCTATCTTGTAGTTGTTTGCCTCCTTGAGAGGTGTCAGCGGCTCGCCCAGCTCCGCTGATTTCTTACTCTTCTCCAACTCACTGTCCGGCGCAGTGCCATCGATCGACAAAGCCTGTTTCTCGATCTTTCCCTTCCCCCGATTTTGTTCGCTTTGTGTTTTGGATCTGTCGGTTTCTTTTCCGCCCGGTGCCGATGTCCACCTCTTCACCGCGTACGTTCCGAGTCCAATGGCCAGGGGAGTGCCAACGATGAGCGCCAACTGCCATTTGTTCAGTTTGAGAGAGCCAATGTTGAGGGTCATCGCCATAGTGCCGTGCCGGTGTACTCGACTTCTATGTGGTGTGGACTGCAAGGAGAGAAGAGTGGGTCACTATAAGCTGGTTCATCATAAATTGTGTAATACTCCGCTAGCTTATCGCACGGTGCCTTTGGAGCTGCTAAACACCGGGCGGGGGGCACCTAACCCCACATTCCCATTGATTTTTCACACCCCCTCCAAGTGGGAAGCAGCCCATCCCTTTCGGCGGCCATAACTTACACTATTTTTTTCTGAACACTGCTGTGAATTTAGCAAATATGAAACGTTGTTTGGCCTATTTTCAGTTAAAACTTCGAAAACTAATATTCTATTGACGGCCTGCTGATAGTGTTTTCTCAAAAGGTCTGGCAGCACATCCGACCGAAAAGGTCTGGCAACGAAGGGAATAATGTGACTGTGTACCGACAAATGGGAGCTTTCTACAGGAGGGCTCAAGAAAATAGTGCCAAACAAATATAAACTCCTAGTAGGGAAATGTATCTGAATATTTTCCTTTCACTTTCTTATTTTCGTTATTAAAAAAATACAAAAATAAACTTTAACTCTATTATCACATAATTTTTAACATTTTAAAGCCTCAACCAATTTATACAAATAAAATATGAAGGAAAAAATCAGCTATATTTTAAAAATTACATTTATTTTTAGAATTAATTCACTACAATTGGAATACGAGAGTGTCTAGGAACGAATCTCCTCCTCCAAACTGGCCGTACGTCCTTTGGTGGGCAGTGTCGGAGCCGGAGTGGCTGGCGATTCATTACCACTGACGGGGACCTTATTTAGGTTCTCGGGTTTGACCAGACCGTGGGAATCAGCGTAATGCATGAGATCACAGATAGTCGGCGACTCCACCACCAGGATGTACTGACAAGTTTTTGGCTCCAGCAGATACATGGAAACTGCCGTGCCACTCGTTGTGACTGGTGTGCAGGTTAACTTCACATCTACTTCCCGGGGCAATCCAGTGCGATCGCAGTGGGTGCCCTTTCCGTAATGATGCCAGATGGAGGAGGAGAAGCCCGGTCGTCGTGCTCCTTTTTCGGGATTTGAAGCGGCCCACTCGCGGTGATCATCTTCAGAGAAATAGCCTAAGAACATCTCCACTTCGCTTGTTTTTTCTTTGTGAAACTGACGAACGTGTCTCCCGTAGCAGAACTCGTACTTCCACCAACCGTTTCCCTAAAAAATATTACATTAGAGCAAAAGTTAAATGGTTTGATGGCTGTAACCTTACCCCGGTTAAGCAATTCTTGCCCGAGATGAATTCCTGAATGGGCGTCAAATCATTTAGAGGCGTGGGAATTGCTCCAGTGGCGGCACGGGACAACAGGAACTGGTGCAAATCACTGTCTACCTCAATTTCGCCGTTACTCATCAGGTCCAGTATTATTTTATCTACGTCGCCACTATATTTAACGGTAACTTGTTCTTGTGGCCACAGTTTCTGGGAGGGTTTACTGTCCTTTTCTTTGGAGACCAAGAGATCCGATTCGGACTCGGCCCACTCGCTCAACTCAGCGCGCAATAAGCTTAGTGGCTTATGTGGTTCTGTTTCAGAGTTGAAACATTTTATGGATAGTTCCTTTGACTCCTCGGCATGGAAGCCGGGAATGGCACAAAGTGCAGAAGTAAGAATAATGGCCTCGTAGTTGCACGATGAAATCTCCTTGAAGGAGTAGATATCGTCCTTGCCGTGGGGATAGCACACATAGCGTACCATTGTTGTACGAGGAGCATCAATAATATCACACATTGTTCCGTCGCTGAACTCCATCTCGAAGTAAGGATATCGGGTATTGTCGATTCTTAGGGTCTTGTACTTGGGCTTGATTCCTTCTTTAACATTTGCCTCCAAAGCCTTGGTTAGTTGTTCTGTCTTCTCCTCACCCCACTTTCCTAAGTAGTACTCTTGGAACTTAACGTTCTTGCCCTCGCGTTCCTCATGGTACTGGCGCACATGATGTCCATGGCAAATCTCGTAGGACCAGTAGGCTTCAATGCGATACGAGCAGGTTAGAGCTGAGAAAATGGGCTGCAGCAGGCTAAGGGGAGCTACAAAACCAGGGATAAGAACGTCTTTGAATGTGAAATACTTGCGCACTTACACAATTCCGGCTTGTCGGACTTCGACTCCTCCTTCGGGCGCTCCAAGCTTGGGATCAAGCATTCATACTTCTCCTTATCTGAAGTGTAAAAAGTCCTCAGCTGGTTTCCCAGATCCTAAATGATAAGACAGTGTTGTATGTGCAAAAGTTTAAGCTGAATTCTTTACTCACTGGTTGTCCAATCAGCTCCGGCACTTCAAAATCAATCTTGTACAAAATCGAGTCGTCAAAATCCTTGGCCTCATGGGACCCCGCTGCTGCTATTATAGCCAACAGAAGCGTAACTTCTGGTACTCCTACATTGAAGCTCCTCATTTTCCTTGATCTTTATTACAAACTCTTTACTCGATTATTTTCATGACAATCAAGCAAAATAAATTAAAATCATGAGCTACGTGTTGTTTTCTTCTAAAAATAGTGAACATATGTTAGGTGTGGCCGTCGCACTGCGAATTACTAAAGGAAAGAAGAAGATACTTTGCTATTGTGAATGAAAAAAAAGCGGATACTTTTAAATTTTAAATTGTAACGGTCAAAAAATACACATTTAAACCTTGCATAATTAAATAGATATTTAGCATAATTTCTAGCTGATATAATTAAACATAAATATAATATATAAAAATTTTTAAACACGAACAGTCTCTACCATTAACAGATTTGTTACTAACAGTCTTTAAAGTTTTCCAAGTTTTTTTAAGTTTTCCAAATTTACCCAAAAATAAAATTACTCCAATTATTCTATTATTTCTATTATTTTTCAATTTTTTATTAACAAATTGTAAACAGTCCCTTATCTCATTGCCGTTTCCGCCTCCGTTTTCCCCGCAGACCATCCCGGCTCTTTGTCCTTGTCTTGATCCAGTGGCATTTTGTCAATCGCGTCTAGGATGAACTTGATCGACTGCGTCGTCTTTGGAATCCATTCCATTATGCGGGAGGTTGTGGACACTGGTGGTTCTACCGCATCACCATCATCGACAAAATCGGCATCGCCACCGGACAGGGAACGCACTCCTCCCAAGTAATCCGTATAATCGTAATCACTGGTCAACGGGTTTACCTTGGAGTAGTAAATGGCAGCGAATGTCGAGTAGATAATCAGAAGAGCGGTGCCCACCTGTGGATTTTTCAACAAGGAAAAATAATTAATTTAATTTCCTATAAATTTTCTAATATTTTCATACCTGAAAGACAGCCCAGAACTTGTAGGAACCCTCTGTGATGACGAAATCGTAGTATCCCTTGAGAGGATCACCCTTGATGTAGCGGCCTTCGCCCACATCCGTGTCAGCTTTTTCCTCGGCCTCAGCGTCACGTCTCTGGCGCAGCCCCCGCACAGATCTAACACTGCCCTTGTCCCCCTTTCGCACCGCTATACTTGTAGATGGCGTCACCTTCTCCACTTTCTCTTCCGTCTCCTCCTCAGAGCTCTCCGGAGAAGCTGTGGTCGTGGAAGTGGTTGTGGACTTGGTTGTCGTCGTGGTAGGCTTTTTGTTTTGGTTCTTCTTGTCGCCTTCCATTCGTGGCGGTTTCTTTGAGTTGATCCTCGTCTTCTTCTGTTGCTGTTGACGCAGTCGATCCTTCTCGGCCTGCTTCTCCGCCTGTTCTTTTCGGAACTTTTCGGTGCTCTGCTGGTGTCGCTCACTAACTGCATTCCAGGCACTCATCAAGGCCTGGTACAGATCCCATATTTGTTTTAGGCTCTTCAATACGGTAACCAGGGTGGATTCAGTCTGAACTGTGGACACTGAATTTTCAGTTACGGGTTCGGCCTGCTTGGCCATTGAAGGTCCAACGTGTGGGCGTGGCTGGAAGCCCATGGGGTAGTCGTAAACATCATCGTAAGCCGGATATGGTGATCTGTTAGGACAAAAAATCATACATTACGGATTATTGTGTAAATTAACAATTTAAACGTTAAAAATGAATTCTTTGTTTTAAGCTTTAGTATTTCAAAATAATCTGTAAATTTATATAAAATGACCCACTTATAATCTTGAAAATATTGAGTATTTACGACATTAATTATAAGGCGGTTTTTTCGTGATAAGAAGTATACTAATGATCCTTGATAGTACCTGTTGGGGGAAGCTTGCAGCTTCCTGTTGTTTCCCTCAGCAGTGGGATGTGTGGCCACCGGAGCTGGGTTTTGGGGTCGCGACCAAGGGGCATAATAGGAGTCATACGGGCGCCCATGAGACGCTCTTCCCTGCTCAGCTCCCGCAGAGGAATCGTCCTTATCGTAGAACTGCTCCTCCTCCGCTGACTGTTGGCGGGACTCCGGATAGGGGTATTGCCCAGGACCGTAATCATCTGCTGCATCGTAATAGGGATCCTGTTCGTATGAGTCCTCCCTGCTTTGAGGCGGACCGAAAGCGTTCTGTCGTTGGCTCATGGGAGTGTCCATTCGCTCCTCATTCACCACCACAGCCTGTTGCTCCTCGTAGTAACCCCTTCCCTCGCGAGCGGAAGTACTTGTGTTGTTGGCCTCCCTGGCAATACGTTCCACGGTGGCCACTTCCGTTTCATTCTCAGCTCCTCCACTGAAGTGACTCCACATGCGTCTTAGAATCACAAGGTCACTTTCCCCGCTGGAATGGCTTTGTTCTCGTCCAGCTTCGATCAGGGCCACAGCCGTTAGGGTGGTCACAAACAGAAGCAGTGAAAGAACCAGAAACCAGATGGGAGACAGACGTCGTGGCGTCTTGGCTGACATTTCCTTATAGGCCAACATTATCCGCTTTTGTAATCCCGTTTTCTTATAACTTTAATCCTTTCTATTGTGAAGACCGTTCGGCCTTTCGGGTCGAAGTCAAACCGTCAACTAAGCGCAGAGTTCCCGGTGCTGGTCCAGAAAAACCTTGTCTGAAGATGGTGCTAATGTTGGGTATCTAGAACATCGTCGTAGCAGCAGAGGCTCTTGGAAAGGTGCTAATCCATGGGCCGCGTGCATCATTATTGGGCCACTGCTCTAGTTTCAATTTAACGGTTCATCATACGCCGAATGCCCCGGCAATTAGCACCACCCATACTGCCAGTACTTGGACCGGACTACCGATCCATCTCCATTCATTTATGCATACAACTCCCCATTTTGTTGTTTACCACAGATTCGTTTTTTTTTCGCGGTGAAAGTGTGCAATATGGTTCTCTTCTGAGAGGAACTTCGGAAGTCGTAATTGTATCGGTATTTGGGAATAGGTATCTAAGGAGTGGCCGCCATCGTGGTCACCCGTGGTCGTGTGCCACGCGTACCTCACGACCTAGACACATCTTACATATTTACGAATGCAATATATACGTTTTCGTAGATCGGCACGGGCGTGTGGTCTTCATTATGGTCCAAAAAAGAAACCCATTCCTAAAATTGAGATATATTTTTTTTAACAACTTAGGGGCGATAAGAGACAGGTGATGTCTTTGATAATTTTTTTAAAAAAAAGGCAATACATAAAAGCATAAAATAAATTGAAAAATTCCCAGAATTAGGGGAGTATAATTTAGAAACTCTTTACTTTCATTACGTTATGTTAATTATCAAATAGTCTTAAAGTAGTGGCCATTTTAAATCCTCCAAATTTCTTTCAAAAGAGTTTAGCTTCTTTGAAGCCAAAAATTTAATTAATTCAAAGAGTATATATCTTTTTTTTAGAAACCCTTTTTTTTATTGTATTACAAAATTACTAAAACTTTAACAAATTCAATTCTCAAAGTAAGGTAAAATGTTTGGTTAACCATCATCATCAGCTAAATCATCACTATGATATATGATAATATAAAGCTGAATTTATGAATTTTAAAGATTTTATAAAGTAAAAACAAAGTAGTTTATGGATTCTCAAATATACATACATATTATAATATTTTGCCCATGGTGATTTAATAATATCGGTCATTTAAAATACACCTAAAAGCAGATATTATTTATATTTAAAACAAAACTGAAAGCTTCTTTATATTAAATCTAAGGAATATTTAATTTAAATCAGACAGATCATATTTTCATTAAAAACTAAAAACATGTATTTGTTGTTTTCAAAAGCTTTCACTCTTAGTGGAAAGAAACTTCTGTAAACTTCTAGAATCTACATTTTACTGAATTTCTGATGCGTCATTTGTTTGTCTAAAAAACGCACCGCGACAAACTAGTTTCGTTACCCCCAAAATTGTTTACACTTGTTCGCCTCTAAAAAAGCTCCGATCGTAAACACTATATCTATGATTGTTGTTTTGTTTGGAGTGGCAATAGTGTACTTTTTCAACTACTGATTAAATTCGATCAGTAGCTATAAAAATTGAAATTTAAGTTTTAATTTCATTGAAAAAAAATGTATTTTCAATGGTGTGATTCACAATAATATATTTTGAAATAGATAAGCGCTACATGAAATTCATGAATCGAATATTTGTCATTTTAAAGGTGATTAATATTCGGTAAATGCAGAGTATCTCTGTATTAAGAAAAACCACCTGATCAGAGTCTGTTTTTTGTTTACCAAATATCAACAACGCAATTTAAAAAGCCGGCAAATGGTGGAGAGAGCGATAGGGAGAGAATGTTTTTCTAGAGTGGACCTTTCTCGAAAAGTTTATTCGATCTATTTATGTTTGGCGTGTAAGTTTGTTTGTATGTTTGTGTCTCAGGGTGAATGTGAGTGGAAAAAAACATAGCTTTGTAATTTTCCACACAATATGTAAAAATAGGGTTTAAAAAATGTAATCAATATGCATTCATGCGTTTGCATACATCCACTTTCCCACCCACACATGCTAACCAAAACCGAAAGATGCACTTCGCATGTATGGGTAGGTAGTTTATTTACCTGTGTAAATTGTAAACTTTCAATGGAAGGTTGCGGGAATGTTTCCGTTTTGCGGGAAATTACAGCAACTGATTTCTAAATGTCAGGCTACATCACACCTGAATGCTTTATTTTGTTGTAAAATTGCATCGATCGCAGAGTCTTGAAACAAAGAAAATACGCTGTCGAGCAAATTGCAGCGGCGATAGCAGTAATCGGGGATCGAGGCGAGTGTTGAGTGCAAATGAGTTCAACTAAAAGGCTAAAAATAAGCAGAAAGGCACTGGCGGCGTTGGAAAGCACTCAAATTGGGTGCATAATGAAGGTGAAAATATGTAAAAAAGTAAAACAAGGTGTTCAGTTTTGGTTTTCTCTTTATTTTATAAGTAATATCTAAATCAAACTTCATAATTTGAAACTCACTAAAGCTTAGCAACTAAAACGTGTAAGTCTGAATTAGTTTAGGAATTTTTGTTAGAAGCTAAGAGTAAGATTTTAGTTTTTTTTTTGTTTGTGAAATTATAAAGAAAATAAAATTATTATAAAGTTCACAAGCTTTTGCGCCGCATGAAAATACAATGCAAATACTAATGCAATATTGTATTCCCAGGTGGCTCTCTTTCCTTCTTTCTTCTTTTTTTTTTGATTTCAACCTTTTCTCGATTCCTTTTGTAGCTTAAATTCGAAGATTTCTTTTTCGCACTCCCTCGGTTCGGTTACTTCTTGCCTTCTCGCTGCCGCTCCTCCACTGATGACCTGCATCAGTTCTTGCAGGCTGCCTTCTTGTTGTTGTTGTTGGTGTTCATAAGCTTGGTTAGGATCTTGCGGGAATGACCAGAGGGGTCAAAGTGGTTGGTGTGCTCATTGGCCTCCTTCTTGCTCCTCTGCTTGCCGCTGTGACCGGAGAAGATGTGCTTGTCATGGTCGAAGTTGTAGTGCTCGTACTCATCGAAATGGGCCTCGGACATGATGCTTTTTTCTTTAGTTTTGGTTTTCAAATTGCAATTAAATAGTTTTCCTGGTTATTTTCCTGCAAAGTTGCAGACTTTTTATGTTTTTCGCTGATGGACGATTTTTTCTACTTTCCGCTGAGAGGCGAAAGAAAAATTAAGTTTTTTTCGGTTGGGAAGCACCTTTATATACCCGTCAGAGCCCCAGCGACACTGCTCTCTGCGAGAGTTGCCAGATCGTCAAAGTAAAAGGTTATTTGTTAGGATTGGCCACTGATTAGTGAGAATTATTAATCAAACTTAATTTTAACGGATATATTATGAAAAAATCTTACAGATCCAGAATCTTTGGTTATTGTTTTCTTGCTCAAGGAAGTCGGATAAACTTTATACATTACCCTGACAACTCTGCTCCTCTCTCTGAAATGAGAACCGCAAGCTTTTAACAATTTTTGCTGCGCAATTAAATTTTTTGTTGTGTTTACAAAGTGCGCGGTAAACAAAAAATACAGCGCCAAACATATTCTTGCCTTGTCCATTTATTATAATTATTTCAGAATTTTTCATAACCAACACGTTCAGAGCTAAAGTTATATAATATCCGATTCCGCCCACCCATCTCGACCCTCAGAGAAAACCTCCAAAGTGCATTAACCCAGCAATAAATACATATATTATAATAGTATATAACATCAGATATTTATCGGTGGGCAACGTGAAGGGAGGCACGTCTCTCCTAAGCATAGGTGCGTTAGATCCTGATATATAGGATGACCTAGATATGTACACACTTTCCTCCCGCTCTTTTGTTTATTTCTAAAAAAAAAAAAGCTTTAGGTTAATTTGTTCTAATTGTTTTTATAAAAACATTTGTTACGTAGCTCCCACAAGGTGATAAGGTTCCAACTATCGCATCACTTAGTCATTGCGAGGTATTCGTTCTGGAAACGACGCAGTAATTCGCAGTGGCATTCCCAGATAAGACAAGAGCTGCCATAACATTGTTGTTTCAAGAACCTTGCCCAATATACCAAAATTGTTTACCATTATTTTGTGACAATTAACCCATGATTGTTCTTCATATCAGGTCAAACACAATGACTTATATCGACATATTTTTGAAATCATGATTGCCAATGGAATATTCTGGTCTTGGTCTCCATCATAAATTAGAACACAGATTAGGTTCTTCCAGGGCTTTGTTGACTAGTTCCTATTTAACGGTCCCCTTTGGCAGCAAGGTTTTTAGTCGTTTTTCAGGATTAGTTTCGTTCTTCTGTTTGCATTTCGGGGTCTTGGGCTTCTTTTTTGGAGCCGTCACCGTTTCAATAACTGGCAGATCAAAGTCATCGGGGAAGGAACTGTCTACAGTCTCTGAGAGCTCCAGCTGCACGGCCTTCTCCGTATGAATACGCTGCACGTGCTCTTTCATCTTGTCGGACCGATGGCTGCTGAAACCGCACAGCTGGCATTTGTAACGATTCGGACCGGTCTCGGTGTGCTTTAAGGCGTGACGCTTGAGGTTCTTGCTCTGGCTGAATTTGCAGCCGCAGACCTCGCAAATGAAATCACGACCCTGTTTATGGGTCTCGATGTGCAGCTTCAGGTTTTCTTTTCTATTGGCCCGGTGTTTGCATCCTGCCACTGTGCAGGCAAAAAACTCCCCAGTGTGGAGCAGCTTGTGAGATTTAAGGGCCTTCATGTGGGTGGTACTGTAGCCGCAGACATCGCAGAGCATCTGCTTTTGGGGATTATGGACCAAGATGTGGTTGCTTAGTCCTTGCTTCCATTTAAAACCCTTTCCACAATGGGGACAAATGTGCGGTGTTTCTGTAGAATGCTTGGGCTGATGAACCAACAAAGCGGCCCGGGTGGTGAACCTTATTCCGCACTGGAGACAAAAAAACGGCTTGCGCAGATCGCTGGAGTGACGACGAAGATGTGTATCGTACTCCCGCCAATCGAGGAAACCCACTTCACACAAAGAGCAAGTTAGGTGGGATGGTTCACAGCTGCTCATGTGCTCGATCATCTTTTGCACTTGATAGCATTTAAAATCGCAACCAATGCAATAGTTAACCTTGCTACTGGACTTGACTGCCTTTGGGTTTTTTAACTAAGAAGAAAAATATATTATTAACTTTTAAATGGGACTGGGTAAACATAATACCTTAAAATAACTTTGCTGACTCTCAAAGACATCTTCGGATTTCTTTTCTGCCTCCAGATTGAGTTCTGCTTCTCCGGAAGTAGTAATCTCTGATGTTTCCTTCAAGGGCATTTGGTATAGATTCATCAGCTCTGTTACAGCCAGTATCTGGGCCAGTTCTCGGAAGTGAGACTCATGCTCCTTGGAAACGGACACAATGTCCTCGTAGAAGAAATCCACAATCGTGTGAAAGCACTGGGTGCAGTTAAAATTCCGGATGGTGATCTTGAGCGGATTGTGGATGGAGAACTGTTGCTGCTTCTGGTTGGTATTTATTAACTGACTCTGAGCAGCCAGGACGCAGAAGTGAACGCTCAAGCTGAGTGCATCATCCGAGTCCAATTCCAGGAGAAGATCGCAGAACTGCCCGGTTCTCCGCTGATTGTTCAGGTAATTAGACACCTTGGAGTGCAGAGGTTGATGTAAAGTGGGTAGGGATTGCATTGTTTCAGTTTGTAACATTTTATTGGCCGGTATACTGCAAAAAATCACATTAAAAACAAACTTATTGTTTTGGACGCTACATCAGCTGTTCAATAGTGTGACCAGCTTTCGTAATGTAATAAATACGGCAAAAGTTTCTTTTTACCTTTCCGAACGTTACTTTTTAAAATCTTTAGCTTAGTTTCTGTTTATAAATTATAATGAAAGTATATTTTACACCAGATTTCGTGTAATTGAAATAAAAAATATGCTACAAATAATCATATAGATAATAATATAATGTTTCTACAATAATGGTTATCCATTTATCCTCTTAAGTTTACTTTTAACTTTAAAATGTTTCCATAAAGCCCAATAAACTCAAAACATTTTGAAAGCTCATGTATAACGAAAATACCTATTATTATTAATGGCGACAATGCCGAACTAAATGTTTATTCAGCACTTGACACACAAATCTCGACCGCAACGAAAAGTTCACCATTTACATGTCAGTGGGAAAGGTGACCAATAAAAGAACCGATCCCATGAGCAGCTCTCGGTTGCTTGCCGCATTTGAGCTTCAGTTGAGAGACAAATCTGGACCTGGAACCAGCCGTACGGATCGCGTCGGTACCGGTGGTCCATTTAAATATTCATTTATTTACTCGCCGCGGAGTTGAATCCAATAACAATAATAACGCTGCCCATTGTTTAGTCTACTTCCTAGGGGAAGTGAAAATATACATATAACCGTACGTTTTGATTAATAGGAGTACAAACTGCCAATTAAAATCAAGTGCGAATAAATGCGTTCTGATAGAGTCTTGTGAGTTTTATGGCCCATTGTTCTGAAACAAATCTGATCGCGACCAATTGTTCTATTTACGCAGTCATTGAAATTGCAATTGTAGGCTCATTTACATAAGCTTTGGAGCCAAGCTATTTACTGGTGTCCTTATGCGAGTGGTTAACGTAGCGCCCAATTGCCGGGAATCCCACGGTAAACCGAGATTTAATTGAAACAGCAACACAAAGGAGGCGGGTTAGGGGCAGCAATATAAACATCTCGGCTTTAATTTACGCGGAAAGCTCTCTCGTGTCGCGTTCCAATTGTTTATTGTTCAACACCCCTTGGGCGGCAAATGCGCTGATAAAGATCCACCTGGGCACCGGCATTCGGGGTCTCAGCTCATTAAGTCTGGAGCTCGCGGCGCGAGCGGTTGAACTTTTGCGGTCGCCTGCCAGATACTATATACGAAGTATAGTTGACTGATCTTCTGGTTCACAGACGCTGATTAAAAAGAATCAGCATTAATTCAATCAGAGATATGGCGGGCAAATTATTCCTACTGGCACTGCTGATGCTCCTGGTGATCCACATAGAGGGCTCCTCTTCTTCGGAGGAACCTAACCCCTATCCGGAGGACTCCCATAAACTGAAACTCTGGTTGACGATCAGTGCACGTCGGCGCTTCCTGGAGGTTTCATGGAAAAACGCTCCAGCGCATAGAGGTGATTATGTTTTGTTGACGAAGCAGGATCCCACCAGTTTCGAGAAACTCATCGTGCCCACGGGTACTCCCTTGGCCTCGTTCAACAACGAGGAGGCTAGCGGGTTCGGCGAAGCGTCTGTGGATTATATTCCCGATCATGGAGTCACTGGCAAACCGGACACAACGAGTCCTGGACAGAAGACAACTGCCCGGAAGTTCTGGTCAGCCAATGGAGGAACCATCCAGATTGTGGCCGCCATCCAGCCCAGCGAAGGTCTTTCTTCGCAATGGTTCACCACGGGTGTGCCCTTTGACTACGCTCTTTCCCAAAATGTCACGATGGACACTTCCTGCTATGGCTTTTGGGCTAGCTACATCGATGGAGAGGGGCGCATCCTGGCCAAGACCTGCCTTAGAGCTTATCCCCGCTGGATGAACGAGCAGAAATCCTTGATTGGCGAGATGCGTCTGCGAGATCTTTTCATTCCGGGCACCCATGACTCCGGCTCTTATCGACCCGATTTCGATCCTCTGCTCAAGGAGAGCTTGGTAACCAAGTATGCCTTGTGCCAGGACGATGACATCCGGGGACAGCTGATGCATGGGGTGAGGTACCTGGACATTCGCGTGGGTTACTACCAGAACTCTGAGGAAAAGTTTTTCATTTATCACGGAATAACGAAGCAACGACCACTGCAGGAAGTAGTTGACCAGGTCAAAGATTTTGTTTTGGAGACAAATGAGATAATCATCTTCGGACTTAAGGAGTTTCCAGTGGGTGAGTTTGGTTCAAAAGTTAATTAAATAATTATATAATTTGTTTTGAATCTTTAAATTTTGTTATATTTTAAAGGCTTTGGAAAAGGCTTACATGTACATCACCTGCTGGTCAGCTATTTGCGCGAACAATTCGAGGGTCTGATAGCCCATCCTTCGTTAACCTGGCGCGCGACCTTGCGTGACATTTGGACCAGGAAGCAGAATATATTCCTGGCCTACGACCGCCAAACCATTGTGGACGAGTATCCTCAACTGCTGTACGGATCCGTGGAGCAGCGTTGGGGCAACGTACAGACTTGGCCCCGTTTAGAGCAGTATTTACGGAACATAAATGACTTAGATGTGTCGTGAGTTTACTTAAATTTGTTGATAAGCTACAGAAAAGGCAGTCTATTTTATAACCTTTTTTTAAGGCGGTTTACGAGTCGTCCGGTGGCCGATATGGCAGAGCTAACCCCTGAGACATGGGACGTCATTCTGGACAAGCACGGCGGACTGCGAAAGATGGCCGATAACATCAACTGGCGTGTCTCGCACCTGTATCGGGACGAGCTCGGCGTGAACGCCAATATCGTGGCAGCAGACTTCATCCGAGGCACCACACTGGTGGACACTGCCATACAATACAATCGCAGGAAGATTTACGCCTAAATAGAATCTATCCGAGGGTTATGAAGAGTCGTATTTTGTCAGACTTGTGTATAGAAACAAAATCATATATTGAAGTACTATTAAACCAAAAACCTTTAGGGCCATACAAAGAGCTTCCATCATTGAAAGAAACGCCTTTTAGGTTGCAATTACATTTAATTTTCTACGCGGTTACGTTAAATATCCATATATGTATGTGTTGCTTAATATAATGCTATTTTTTTTTAGCTTCCCTAAACATGTCACATTTTTGTTTTTGTATCAGCTTTGTTCCCATCGAAATGGGAAGCGCATAGAGTACTTCCCGGTTTTTGTGTTTGAAATGGAATAAGGATTATATCGCATTACCATAAACGATAATGTAAACATTAGTGAGAAGTAATACATAAAAGGCCTTGGGTAGTATTTTTTCGCGTAAAACCTGTTAACTGAGGAGTTTACTCTCAAATAAATAGTTTAAAACTAAATTCTAATCAATTTCGATTTTTTGTGAGGAATGCCAATCGCAAATGCGAAAATATCATACATTGTATAGCTAAAAGCTTTTAAAAATCTCACGGGGAACAGCACATGTTCCCTGTGAGCCTAACAATATTTCAGTTTAAAATTTAAACGAATATCTTTTCGGGTGGGATTCAGAACTTAATGACTCTACTTCAACGCCTCATTAGATTCAACAACGGTGGTATTAAAGATGGCCCGGCAAAGTTCAACCAGGGAGTTGGATAGTCGCCCATAGCACTTGTGTTTCTTCTTCCTGGCGATGAAGACGTAGTAGAAGGGAATGCCTGCCAAGGTGATGGCAATGCCGATGAGTAGGTCACGAGGTTCCTCATAGTTCGGAAGAAGCACCAACGTCACACAGCTCACCATGAAAATAATGGGCAGGGCAAGGTGCACCTTGATGGGTCGCGGCATATCGGGTCTGTAGGGTATAAAAGTGGAGTAAATGATATGGAACACATATGTATGTTTGTTCACTTGCCTCTTATGCCTCAGCCACAACATCCCAGCTATACTGGCCACTACCGAGAGCCAGAGCACCGAACTGAAGTAATTTATCAACTGGTAGACATTATCAGTAAGCAGCATTAGCAACGACATCAGGCACTAGAGGGATAATATGAATAAATTGTCGAGAAAGCATTGCTAATGCCAGTCCAAACTTACAGTGAATATAAGCGAGGGTATCGGGGTTTCTTGCTTTACGTGGAACAACTGGAAGAACTTGGGCAGATGTCCCTCCTGGGCACCTGTGGCGAACAAGCGCGCTGAAGTGAACAACACTCCATTGACCCCGCCGAAGGTGCTGAGAGCCACGAAAATGGGCACCATGAAGGCCAGGGGTCCAAATACACTGTTGCCAAAGGTCACCGCCACGGCCAACGAACTGAGCATGTCCGGTTTGCTGACCACGGTGAAATAGGCCAAGTTGACCAGCACATAGATGCCCGTGACCAGGGGCATGGCTATCCAAATGGCACGAGGAAGATTTCTGCAAAACGGAACGATAATTTGTTTTAAAAATATCTAAGAAATATTTGATGATACATAGGTTTTTCCAAATATATTATTCATATTATAAATAGCGTTATAGATTCGAGAGTATTTTATTTCTGTGTAACAGTGAACGTGCCTTTTAATCAGAAAGCCACTTGGTAAGGAGGCGGTGGGAGCACTTAAATTGATTGCACGCTTTGAGAGCAAATTTAATTCGTTAGGGAAAAGCATCCCTATGCCACCCATCCATAGACACCCACTGCACAGCCACCCACATCCAGTCAAACACTCCTGGCGCCAAGGACGCTCAACAAGTTTTCCAACTTGTTGCTGTATGCGCATGACGCAAAAGGAATGATGACTGCGACAAAGAATCCTGGCCTCGTTCCACTTTGCGGGCCATTTATCACTCACTTGTAGGGGTCCTGGAGCTCCTCAGTCACAAAGTTCAAGTAGTTCCATCCGCCAAAGGCAAACAGACCGGAATAGAAGGCGTAGCCAATGTTGCGGGCACTGTAAGTGCCCTCCCACGGATTACTAAAGTTCTCCAGTCGACCCGTAACTATGTAAAAGAGTCCTGCCAGAATAATCATGATGAGGGCAAGCAGTTTTCCGATTGTGAATACATCCTGAACCTTCATCGAAACCTTTACGGAAAGACAGTTGATGGCGGTGAGAAGAGCTAAAATGGAGGATTTTCATTAAAATTAATATTTAAGCTCCTGAGAGAATTAGTTTCGTAACTCACTTAGACACACGGCAGCCAGGAGTTTCACTGCATTCGGCGGAGGATCGCAGTCCTCGAAGAAGGGTTTTACGGCATAATGGGCAAATGTTAGCGCCACAATGGTCTGAAAACAATGTATACAATTTATATTTTAGTAGAGAAAGTTGTTTTCGCCACAGTCTTCTACATAATTGAGTTCAATTCCGGTCGAAGGTAACCGTCACTTAATAAATTTCTATTTATTTGCATCAACAACCAATTTAAAGCGCTGCCCATCAATCAACGGGAATAAACATTCCGTAATTCAATTGATGGGCCTCAGGCACTGACCTGCGTAGTCGGTCGGATGATAAGCAGCGCTATCCAGAGGCGCAGGAATCCAACAAGTGGTCCAAAGGATACCAGTAGGTAGGCATAATCTCCGCCAGATCGTGTGATGCTCGTGCCCAGTTCTGCGTAGCAAAGAGCTCCAATGGTGGACAGTATTCCGCATGCTGACCATATCAAGAGGGAGCTTCCCACGGATCTGAAATAAAACCAATGTGTGAAAAATAAATAAAAAATAGGACAAATATTTGTAAGCTATGTGAGTAACGAAAATTCCCCTTAGAAATGTATGAAAAAAGTTTAATTTTTATAGTTATATTAGGGTTCTTATTTCAGATATATATATGCATATTTGAATCATAATATTTACTCGTATATATGTATTCATAACATGATAATTTACAGCATTGGGGAAATAAATTCTTTATCAATATTTGGAAACGTGACACGCCTTCTTGTAACTGAACCCAAATCTTAAATAAACCAAATGCTGACGCAATATTTGATGAGAATTTCTTAAGCAAAAATCGGGAAGTAATAAATTTGGCTTAATTGATGCGAAAGGAATGTTTGTGACAATTTATTAATGAACAGTTAAATTGACCTTTTTGTGAATAAATTAAATTAAGGATGATAATATGTATTTGTAGTGCTGGGAATTACATTTGTATATTCCACTCACTCTGTGTAGCGAAAGACTCCGGTGGGCGCTATAAAGATGCCCGATCCAATTATCGTTCCAACAATAATGGCCACTCCATTGATGAGGGTTAGTTTCCGTTTAAGAACCATTTTGTCCTCACCCAGAGAGGGCTCCCTACTGGCATTAGCATTAGCGGATGCAGTGCGACCATTTTCAGGTTCCACCAAGCTAGTGGTCACTCCGTTGGCATATCGATCAGTCATTTTGTCAGTTATGGATTTATTTCAATCACCGAGAATCTTACATTGCCACTGAAAGGGAAAGGGGAAGTAAATACTTAAAACTAAACTATAAAATAAATAACTTTTGCTGGCAGTGAGAGCGAAATCACACGTGCTGAGCGCTTAGTAAACAATCCCAGGTTGTGGCTGGAGCTTTTAATTTTGCTGTCGTTTGGGGATTCTATCTTTGCCGCGGTGGCAACGAACTAATCATTTTTTGTCAGACACAAAGTTTAATTATGATTTTTGGCATAGTTTCACTATCTTCACAACTTGAAGCTTTAAAGTGTTAGGGGTTTAAATGGAAGTCGTCGGTTCTGGGGCTGGGGTGCGTGTGGGCAGGGCGACGTATGACGACAGAGCAACACCTCGTGCTAATTTTCACGATTTCGTCACCATTTTCGCGTAAACACATGCAACGCGTGGCACTGAAAAACTAGCTATTGCAGTTGTGCACTTTTCATTTTTTATTCGTAACTTTTGGAATGCTGTGTTGTTGTTTATTTCTGTTATCTTGTCTGAGAAACACGATTTACCTCAAGCGCGTTCACAAAACAACTTCAACCTCAGAGCCAGCACGACTAATCGACTTATTCGGTCTCGAGTTGAGTACGATTTGTTGGCATCGCGAGTCGCAACCGGCATTTTCATACTAAATTTAACGCATTTCCACCCCAAAGTCAGAGAGAGTTAAAAAGGCACCCTCAGTTTATTGTCACGACTAGAAGATACCCATTAAACTATTAGTGACTTGTTTAAATAAAATCAACAAACTGCTTGTAGTTTTTTAAGTTTCTTTCTCAAGACCCCAAAACTAATATTAATGACCAGATATAAAATAAAACGGAATGTGATTCAAATTATTATCGATTTATATTATTGTTAAAATATTGATCATTGATCCTTTTCAATATTCTTTTTAGTTACAATCCTACAAAAAAGTTTCTGGTTTTGATAAAATCACACTTTGTTTTATAAATAGATAAATAAAATAACACTATGTTAGAAATCATTATTTTATTGCAAAAATAATAAAATGCCTAATATACCTTTAGTATGCCTTAGGAGAGCCATCGAGAGAGAAATCAATTCTTAATATGTACAGAAAAAAATATATTGATTTGTTAAAATTTAAATCTTAAGTGAAATTAACAAATTAAATAATTAAATTAATAAGCCAATTTACTTTTTAATTAAATGAGAATAATTTACTAACTTTGAATGATATTTTATTTTCTTAATGCATTCCTCTGGTGATTTATCATCTTTTTAATATACAGGTTTCACACTTTATATTTGATCAAAGAAAGTCATACAAAATATTTAATTATATTAAAAAATAGGTTTTTAAAAATTCAATAGGTTTTAAGAAAAAGGTAATTCACCGCCTAATTTTTGATTAAGCCAGTCACCGCGAAACGCAAGCAGCTGTTGATTCACAAAACTATCGATAACAAACCGTATGATATTTAAAAAAACGCTCATCTCTAGTTCTTCTTAACATTGTTTTGATTGCGTTGCACGTGTTTTTAAAGATTGTGTTTTAAAAGTGACAATTCAGCTATGTCGGACAAGTAAGCAAAAAAAGACACTATCTATTGGATATTTTTACCTTAAGCTATTCGTTTGTTCACATAGATATGCAGTACCCAACAAATTACCTGGAAAAACAGTCTCTGTGCTGAAGCACCGCAAACGGAGGATTATCCAGGATGAGGCGGTTGTCACACAAAGAACAAATGAACGTATCAAAAAGCGTGTGGCAGCCAAGAAACACCACAAATTCCGACGTGCAGAGTCCTTTGTAATGGGTTACCTTAAAGCTGAGAAGACGGCAAAACGCATCAAACAAACAATTTTGCGCACAAATGTTACCACAGAAAGTGCCGCAGCTGCCAAGGAAGGAAATCCAAAACTGCTCTTCGTGATGCGGCATGCGGGCAAGAAAATTTTCGATAAGACCACAACAGAAATATTCAAAACCCTGCGGATGCCCTACCGTCACAATGCCGTCTTCCTCGAGAACACAAAAGAGAACCAATTGCTCTTGCGAGTCATCGAACCGTATGTGATTTACGGAAATCCATCTTTGAGCACCATTCGCGAACTGATCTTCAAAAAGGGCTTCGCCCGTGTTAATGGCAAGAAGGTCGCGATCCAGTCCAACACAATGGTGGAGGAGCAGCTAGGCGAGAAGGGCATTATTTGCTTGGAAGACATCATACACGAAATCTGCACTGTTGGACCCAACTTCGCAGCGGTTAATCAATTTCTGTGCACTTTTATGGTACGTTTTTGAAGCTTTTTAAAAAAAACTTTATTTTATTAACATTTTTATTTTATGCAGTTGTCGAGCCCCCGAAACGGTTGGCAGAAAAAGGTATCGGTCTCATTCAAGCGTGGAGGCGAATACGGCGATAGGGGAAGTGCAGTCAATGAACTAATAGCCCGCTGCCTGTAGAAATCCTAAGCTAGTAGACCTTTAAGTGATTGTTCGACCTAAATACCCTAACTTGTAGCTAAGCCCAATACAAATATAAAAAAAAAAAAAGAAATTATAATCTATATTTTTGGATATAGCATGAAAATACTTTTTCGAACATCCTTTCCTTTTTTGCTGTGCTCCCCATAAAAGCAATAGTCAGACCATTAAGAAACCACATGAAACTGTCTCTAACGACGTTCCTCATTATTCTACATGTTTATCAGCTCCACCCACAAAACAAGTTTCCTGCATTGTGGCCTTGCGTGTCTCAGCCAAATTCCCAAATTGAACAAACCAAAGAATCAACTTTTTGCTAGGAATAATAAATAAATCATAACCAGAGGAGGTTTGAAGGAGAAAGGGGAAAAAAGGAATGCCACGGGAAGCTACTTGTTGCCATGAAAGAGAAAAGTTGTTTTCCTATTAGTAGAAAACAGTGCCACTAACCTAGTGCAATACAAGACATCGTAGGCTTCAAACGTTAAGGCTTTCGTGGGATAAGGAAAGAAAACTACGATGATGACTTTGGATAAAGATCTAAACAAGAGCAGTTTACATAAGCTGGTGGCGAGGTCCCTGAAAGAGCCCATTCTGGGCCAGCATTTTTCACAGCCCGGTCGCACGGACCACAGCCAGACCATCGAGCTGGACACCAGCCAGAGTTACATCGCCGTTTACACACATCTGAAGGTTCATGCTACGGGAATGCCTGAGCGATTGTCTACGCCGGAAGCGATTGTAAAGCATCGTCCGGAGAATGTGGAGGGCAAGGGCAAAGCCAACGAAAGTAGACCCATCCGTAACGCCAAATTACGTGCTGAACTAGGCCTCAAAATATAGGGTGTATTTACATAAATATATTTCAATTTATTTTCATATTTTCGTAATTAAAATTGAATACAAGGGAACAAATCATGTCAATCTCCAGTATACATAGTTTAAGTCATGATATCGCTTGGTTCTCGGTTAGGATTAATGTTGGTCTTCGTTCTAGCTTCTTATGTGTCTTCGCTATTGCTTTGCAGCTTACATCGATCTTGCTTTTTGTGTTTTACATTAGTATATTGTGACAAAAAAAAAATTAAACATTTATCATTTGCTTTGCTTGTATAAACATCAAAAAAAAGTGTTCCTTTGGTCCTTGCTCTCTTCAGGTCAGTTTCAGTTCTGCAGGATGCGAACGGCGTTGTACATCTGGGCAATGATGGGCAGCTGTTTGGACTCGCGCCGACAGAGACATTTGTAGACATGGGACAATAGTTTGTCCAGGGCAGCCACGTCGATTTCATCAGGTTTGGTAGCTGCTATCTGAATACTGTTCTCGGTTAGCGGTTCCCTCTGGAAAGTAGTAAGCGGATGAGTAATGCGTGTGATTAACGCAAACACCACTTACCAGGTTGTCTAGGTAGGCCAGTAGCTGATGGCCTACAGAGGCAATCTTCAGGAACGTTGACTGAGAGCTCTCGGCGTACAAATTGAGTCGCCGGCCCGCTATTTCCAGAAGCAATCGGCCCAGCTCCTCATCGTCGCTGATCTCATGGAGCAGGACTTGAGCTTCGGCATCGTAACCAAACGCGTACAGTTCCACCACCTTGAGGAGGCCAAAATAAATAAAATATATATTATTTTATGTGTTGCTTGTTGAGCTTAGCAGCACAGAATGAGCTCAGAGTTAAGGCTGTCTTTCCAAAAGTAGGTTTCAAATGTCAAGGCCTTCTATGTTTTATATTAGAAGCATGCCTACTGGGATGTAACAATATTTTAAACCTAAACAATATACCTGTCGCCTGAGGATGGGCAGTTTATCCACCTCCCAGCTGTCGGCAAGAGCGCAAATCTTGGCCATATAGAAGACGTGATCGAGGATATATAATTGCTCCAAATCCTCCCTTATCAGGTCCATTGTGGCGGACACCACACGGCAAAGGAAGTCAGATCGTTGCTGTTGTAGGACAAGATCTGGCGAGGGCAGAACGTAGGGCAACTCTTTGTTGATCTCCGCAAGAAGGGCCTTGTTACTCATTCCGTCAAAGAGTACTGTTAAGGGCTTGGAAACGCGCAATTGGAAAAAGGCGATAAAGTGGAGCACACTGCACAGCTCAGTCTGTAGACGAAGCAACTGCGGCATGGCATGATGTTGCTGGAGAGCCAGAAACTGGAGGGGCAGGGCACCCTCGCTCAATGACTGTTCAAACTGCAGTTCTCGCTTGTCGTGCTCCAGGGAAGTGGTAAAGTGCTGCAGAAAATCCAGACTGAGCTCCAGGAACTCTGGAACTTTTCCCGCTGACATATCAAGATCCTGCTGGCACATCTTGTCCACAGGAAGGCGGCCCACTTTCTGCATCAGCTTAGCTGTTGCCTGCAGCGGAAACTTAAGCGTGGCATTCCACAGCATGCAGCAGATTCCGTGTTTCAATGCCCAATCTGGTTTCCTAAATTGGTTGAGGCAGAGCAGAGCCGCTCGCAAATGGTCCAGGGAGGAAAGTTGCTTGCTCCACTGTACCATGTATTGCCAGGACATAAGACTCAACAACACGCCCGACTCCAAACTGAAGGGAAAGTGGGCTCGCAGCAGAGCCAAGCGTTCGAGTATAGGTTCAGAGGGATCTTTGCTTGGATCCTGAACTTCTCTACCCATCTCCAGCTCCGGATCTGACTCAGTTTCCTCGCTAGGCTGTTCCTCTTCCGGAATGTCCTTCTTTTTTATTTTACTATCCTCGTCCGACTCATTCTCAGGAGCAGTAATCTCAAGCACCTTGCTGGGATGTAGCTGTGCACTGATTAACCACTTGGCAGCCAGCTCAGTTACAATTCCTTTGCCACTGCTCACAATGCTTTTTAAGCTGCAATCGGGTGGTTCGTATGGCATCTGTGGACCCACAGGATTCCGACACGTAAGAGGTTTTCTAAGATTAGAGGACCAGAATAAACAACTGAGAAGCTGTACGTATCTTAACTTACCCTAAGATAGCCCCCAGGACAGCAACATCTTCCAGTTTTCCGGTAAGCAACCCCCATTGGGCTTCGTCGTGAGAAATTCGTTCCCAGCGTTCTTCCTCCTCAGTCTGGGAGGATTCATCGCAAGAGCCCTGAGGTAAAAAAAAGGCATCACAATTAGCGATCTAGAAAAATAATGCCTCCAAAACGTTACCTCTCTTCTGCTACGCCAAAGATTGCTAGCCACTGTTTTGCAAACAATGGCCACCAGCAGTCCTGAAAACTGTTTGCTTTCCAAGAGCAACTCGCGCACCTCCTGCCACCAGGGCGAGATCTTATTGTAGGCATAGTCGTGAATGTGGTCTCCGGCAAGCTCGCAAATGGTTTGCACCATAGCAGCTATCCTCGACATATCTTCCACGACTTCATCACTGACGAGGGACAATATTATTATTAAGTTTTAACCACGCATATTCTTAGAATTTATTTCCTTACCAGTTATTGTACTTGAACGGTTTTTCCAGCCAGAACCAAATGACCAGGGTAAGAAGATCCCTGCTAGGTAAACATGCCTTGTGGATCCATTGCTTGAACTGGCCGAAACACAAGCCTTGCGAAAAGAACTGACTGAATAGGTCAATGCTGACAATTCCAAACTTTTCGATCTTTTCCGGCAACAAGCTGATTCCATCTGGGCTATCGATATTGAAGATACTCAGATAGTCCACAAACTCCTCAGACTTATGTTCCCCTTGCAACTTAAAGCTGACTTCCCTTGTAGATGTGGGTTTATCCTTTTCACTTCCGTCATCGAGCAGCAAAACCAACTTGTTGATGGTGACGAGATCTGCGTCAGACAGTTCTATATGATCAACAGGTGGCTCATCCTTTTCTCGCCTATTGGCTTGACTGAGAGTCAAGTATAGATCGGTCAGTCGTTTGTAGTTTTCTATTTGGTGCTCGAAGTCCTCGGAAGGAGTTTCTTTCGGAAGGGGTTTTTCTATAAAAGCATCAATTATGCACTGGAACACCCGTGGCTGGAGTTTCTTGCTCTTCAGCAGCATCTCCAAGCACTGTTGACGCACTTCAAGGGTCTGAAGTTCACCCGCCAGCTCAGCAATCTCTAGAAGCTTTGCTTCGCCAGTGTCGCCGAGGCTTAGGGACCTCAACTGATTTCTCAGACGGCGCAGCATGTGAATGTCTCGAGATGTCTGCGAACTAGTCTCACTAAGGGCGTAGTGGAATGGTATATGAACTTCTTTCAGGCTGCCATCGCTGGGATCCAAAAACAAACAATAATTTATAGTTTGTGCTTTTCGTGCCTGACTACTGCCACCTCCTGATCCTGACCCTCCGGCAGTTCCCAAAGGGCTGTGATTGTTGTAGATCAACTGCCCGCTCTTTGAAACATTAAATGCGGCCACTTTTGGTCCATTTTGCAGAGCCCATATGTCCAAAACGCCCAGCCGAGGCGCATAGATGACCAGAAAGAGAGCTTTTCGCTTGTGTGTTTTGATTCCGCGGACAGATCGCTCCTTGACTGGGACAAAAGCACACTGCGCATCACGATAGCCCTTCCATACACGGAGAATAATAGCTTGTTGTGTATCCACCAACATCACTCGGTCTAGATTATCTGTAACCACAGCTAAGCGGCCCCCTGGAGCCACTGCTAGAGTGAGGCCGTCTCGTTTCCCATCGTACAAGCGACAATGTATCCTCATGGGAGCGTCTTTTGTCGGCACAGGCATAGGCGATTCCTCGGGCGAAGGCAAAGGTTCCGGAGCTCGACGAAAAATTCCGCCCAACAGGTTCTTGTAAGCGATTCCAATCACATCCTTGGCTACCTCCCGTATGCTCATCGTCTTATAGCCCTCTTCTGCTTGAAAGAAGCCCAAATAGGGCTCTGCTCCAGCGGCCAGGACTTGCGAGCTTCGCGGTGGCGTTGCGTGAACTTTGGCGAAGTAGCCGTGACCGATGCTTTGCTGCACAATATAATCATAGGTTGGAGGTCGCTGAGTGCTCGAAATGGCCGCATCGTTGATAAGAGCCTGACGCTCTTGCTTAAACTGGAACTTCTGGAAGGGGACCACGTCCGCTGTGGGATAGGAACCGCGTTCCAGGGCTCCTCTCTGGACGTTATGCCGGCAGTTGGTAAGTGTGGGCAGGATGTCCTGTCCTTGTATGAAACACAGACAACGGGAATATACGATGTATAGCAAGGCGTCTGCCTCTGAATGCCTTGGAGGCGAGTGCAGCTTGACTGCTATTACTGGATCCTCTTGACAACTGCAAAATGTAGCGAGTTAGTAAAGTATTCAGCTTCCATTTATCTACTAACCATTGGGAGAAAAGCTTTACGCCTGTGTCTGTGTAGAACAAAACCATTCCGGAGACCAAGCCCACTGCCACGCAGGTCCATTCGATGGTTCCATCCGAGCTCTTGCTCTGGGTCATGGGCAAACAAGTCAGGCTGGTCACAATTTGGTTGGGGTCCTCCAGTTCTCCACACCAGCTGAGGACATATGAGTTCCCACTCCCATGACTGCTCCAGCAGGTGGAAAGAAAGGCCAGCTTCTCCCCTTGGGCCAGAGCAATCAACTCCCCAGTGGGGGACACAGCCTGGTTTATAGCATTTAGCCAATTGTCGTCTGCTCGCAGAAAAACAAAAGTAACTATCCATCCTAATGGTTGAAGTGGAAACCAATAGCTCACCGTGTCCTAAGCCAAAATATTCTTGAACTTTCCTAAAATCGCGAATTTCTCCGCTTTGTTTTACTTCGCAGGCCATTGTGTACAGAGTTGCCACCTTTCGTGCAATATAACAATAACAAAGCTAACATCACTTTAAAAAAGTTAAATAAAACCCCAAAAAAATAAAACACCCTTCTGCATGTCAAGAAGTATTTAAAATTTCACTAGAGAATCAAATCTTTAATAAATTAAGTTTTATTAATAACAACTAAAATGTTCGATAACTGACTACTATCGATTTTATTTAAGGTCACAATAGAGACAAAGCGCCAAAATTCAAAATTTGCACCACAGCTACTGAACTACCAGTGTTCTATTAAAACGGCATTTAATTAAAGTCGTGCAATCTAATAGTGTCAGAAAAATAAGTTTTATTTTTGCTGGTGTTGAGTTCTTTGTTTGACTTTCCTCCTTGGGGTTATACAATCTACTGATACATCGTTCGAATGGCGCAAAAGAACTTATACGACATTCGTAGAAACTATAAAACATTGGTGGTAATTTATCAGTATTATAATACTTAATAGGTTACTTACAATACTCATTGTTTCAATAGAAATATCCACAAATACGGTGGCTTTTAAACAGACAGGCTTTTGTGATCGATGGGCAATATAAATAAGCATCCTTCGGAATCGAACATCTGCACCTGTCCAATTCATTTCGTAGACAGCAGACGACACATTTTCACTCTAAAAAGGTTCAATTGAGTGGGGTGATTGAAGTAATTTTGTTAAGTTTTACATACTGCTTGTATAAGCCTCTGACTGAAGGAGCAAATTAGATAAATTTCAACCAGAGCTGATGACAACATGAGCATTAACTTGGCAAAGTGCTGGGGACTTACACCAAAGGTCATCTGAAATCCCACGAAACAAACCAGCAACGAAGATGCTGCAAAGTTGATCAACAGTGGAATTCCAAAAACATCGTTCACATCATCGGTTATTCTAAAAATTAATATAAAATCCGATGTTTTAGAGTATACTATTAAATGGAAATATTTTAAAATGCACCTTAGAATATGATGGTGATAAGCGACTAGGGAACGAAGCTCCTGCAGCGCTTCATCCGCTCCTTTAACCTTTTCTCCGCTATCGTTTGAGGGGTCTCCCACATCGAACTCCCGGAAAGCCTTGATAACACGACTGAAATGCATAATAACCTGTGTGGTCACGGAGAAGATCATCAAGTCGGCGGATATGTGACCGCAGGTGGCAGTGTAACCGGCCACGGCCTCTGAAAAGTAGTTCAGATAATAATCCCATCCATGCCGGTAATCCCACGGAGCTGTGATGGAGTAAGGTAGCACTGGATTGGCGTTCGGGGAGCCCATCAGCTCCAGCACTTTATATTGAGTGATCGGATAGAAGTTATAGATAAACACCAGGAAGGTGTAGAGACCTCCGAATCCCTTGGTGAATCGGAGGCACCGTCTCAAATATTGGCGAGTATCGTAGGGATCCTCCTCCGCTGAAAGGGGCTTTGGAAAGATGGATTCCAAAGTCCGAAACAAACTAGTCATCTTCTCCTTTTGAACTATCACAACAATAATTTTTGAGAATCCAACGAAGGAGAAGCCAATGTAAGACATAACCATGCAGGATTCTAAAAAATTGTCGCCGTTCCGGAACGAAATTACAATGTATACAACCTCCATAACCACAACAAAGACCAGATTAAGGATGAAAACAACGGATTGGATGCGGGAAAGAATGTCTGGATCATTTTTCTCAGCCTTCGACGACTCGTAGGGATTCAGTCCAATCGTCCTATAATATATCTTTGGCAACCGAAAAAATTCTTCGATTAAAGGAAACGAATCCTTCGGTTTTTCGGCCACATGCTCTTTCTTGATCACCAACTTTTTAAGAGATTCAAAAGCCATTTCGGGTTTCCGTCAACTTGACAATTGATTTTTTAGCCACGTTGGATGGGCTTTTATACTGGATTATAAAGAAGAAACCGCAGAAAATTCCTGGGCCAATAATCAAGGGCTTACACTGCAAGGAAACGTTTTCTGTTTCATATTTTAAATTATTTCTTCCAAGATAATTTTTTTAATATTCATATTTTAACACACATATGTTTTATTGTGAATAAGTTTTAAAAAAATTGCTTTTAAGTTTAAATATATTTTGTAAATGGTAAGTCAGATATTTTCTCCTCAGGACTACCGACGCAACTAGGCATTTCCCAGGAAAAGTTGTTGCGGTTAGCCATGTGTGCCTTTGAGGAAGCAAACTGCATAAACAAAGCATTTTTAATTGAATATTTGTTTAAACTTTAATTTAATTTAATGAACAAATGAACTATAACGCCCCGTAAAACCACTTCATGTTGAAGAAAACTATACTTTTAATATTATTATTACATACTCCACTTTAATTTTATTTTACTTGAACATGTTTGTAACAAAACCTATCAAATAAGGTAACTTAATGAAACTAAATTAAGTCCGACTCCACACCGCTGTCAATGTAGTCCTTGAGCATTAATCCACAGTGATCTGGGAGTAGTCTTGTCCAGTTGTTGATATGCAACAGACAGCTGGGAATGGTGGCCTCCATCACATCGGAGCGGTGCGCCTCCACAATCCATCTGGCCACCTGCTTGGGATCCAATAGACCCAGGATGGAGGGGAACTTGACTTTCGGATGCTTGCACAGGCCCGTGTTGGTCATGTACGGGAAAATTGTGGTGGTTTTTATCTGTTGTAAAAGTTCTGATTAGTTTCTGGAGAATTAGGAAGGACTCTTCTTTTACCAGATCCCTGTAAGGACCTTCTCTTAGCTCTGCATGAAGTGACTCCATCAGTCCTCGCACTGCAAACTTGGTGGCGCAATAAGGAACCAAGTTGGAGATTCCCACCAAGCCCGCTATCGAGGAGAGGCAAATAATGTGACCTCGATTCTTCTGCTGCATGTGGGAGAGGAAGGCCTGTATAGTCCAGAACTGGGAGAAGACATTCACATCGAAAACGCGCTGGATTTCCTCGGCCGATTGTTGGAGGATGGGGTGAGTGGGCATGATGCCGACATTATTGACCAAAACAGAAATGGGTCCTATCTCGGCTTTCACCCGATCCGCTAGTGCCATTACCTCTGCCCGCTTGGAAACATCGCATCTATGAAACATAAGACATCGAAATATTGACCTCCTTGATATGTATTTATTACAAAATACCTGAAACTGTACACATCACCGATATTCAAACGTTTGGCTTTCTGGACTGTCTGAAGATTGTTCTTCTCATCAATGTCCACACAAATCACAGTGCTGCCCAAGGAGGCGTAATGCAGGGCCAGTTCCCGGCCAATGCCATGTCCAGTTCCAGTGATCTGAATGAATTTTATCACAAAATATTTCATAAGCCAATAAAAAAAAAAACTTACCAATATGACTTCCCCGCTGACATCCTTCAGATGTTTTGGCAGGAAAACCTGCACTAGTTTAACAAATAATTCCAAAAGAATGCGCACGAACAGAACAAAAAACTGGAGTATATCCTGTAGGACATCGAAAATGCGCTTTGAAGCGGTTGTAGTGCTGCAATGAAAGAATGAAAATGTATTTAAAAAATTCAATGTTTTCAACATCTTAAGATAGCTGGAACTACGAGTTGGCAAACATTTGACCAAACTTGAGGCTTGGCCAGCCCCGAAATGTCTTAATTGATCTATTTGTATGCACCCGCTGCATGTGCAATGTTCAAGCGCCCAAAGGTCAGACGATTGGCGATCGCCGGACTTTGCCAAGCTCCATAATACGCCTAGTACAACATAAGATAATGGAGAATGTTGAGACTGGCTCGAGTATTGACACTGGGTCTTGGCCCCCTTTTCGGATACTCGAGGGAGCTGCTAGCGTTCAAGTACAGTAAATGCTCCCTTGAAGGGACGAAATTAGGTGGAAAAAAAGAAAATATTTCCTGAAATAAACCTTGATTCCATTATAATAATATTATAACTTGTAAGTGATTGTGAAGTCTTCAGTTTTGGATACAAAAATTTAGTTTTAATAACTGTCTCTTGTAGCACTTAAATATTTGTCAGTATAAGTACTTACTGGATAATTTCACGCTCTATCATGGCCGCTGAAGGATGTGGTTGGTGGCTTGTGTTTTTGTTGTTTTGTTTCTTGAGTTCCGGGGTAACCCTTTTGGCCAAATCAAGCAGAACCCACACGGCCTTAAAGCCTGTAATGAAAAGGTAATGGTTTTGAGTCACGGCTAGTTTGGTTGGCGCTCTTCCGGGCTATTGTGGTTTCCTTTTCACAATTTTTTGGCGTTTCAGTTTTTTTTTACATAATTTTTTTTTGTAGTTTTTATTTTACAACCGGCTGGCCGAGAGCGAGTAGCGTGGGCGAGCGCGGAGAGTGTGGAGCGGCGACGCAGTGCAATGCAACATTTCCACTTTCGTTTTCGTTTAGTTTGCCACTAAATGAAAAATTACGTGCACTCCAATGTGGCACACAGAAAGAGACACCAGTCCGCAAACATGCACGTTTGTATGGATTACATTATGCGATGCCAAAAAGTGCACGGAACGCAAAGTCTCTTTCGCTCTTGGCCAGTTCTCTTTTCGGCTTTGCATGTCTAACTTGGCCAGCTGTGGTGGCTCTTGGCTGTTGGCTCTTTTCGTCCCGGTGGCAAGTAACCAGGAACCGAGGCAGGGGCTCGGGCAGGCGCTAGTGGCAGCTACATGGCTTGCCGCTGCTGCAATGGGGAAGCCAAGTGTTTGTTGCAACAACCAAAAAGCCATAACCATAAAATGCCACGAGGGCTGCTACTAAACTTTAGCTAGTGTTACATATAGGCTTTATAATGAACGCGAATCTAATGGATTGGAATTGGATATTATTAGCTAAGTAATGGTTCTAATAAATATTTCTTAAAATAACTAAAATATACTAATTAAAAGGCACGTTTTAAAGCGTCATTATTCTTAATAATTTGGAAGTTGTAGATTTGGTTTGGCAATTCCCTAATTATAGTATCGTTATATAGCTAGCAGGTGCGTCCATTTTTGTTTGATGGACAAGCAATTGTTTTATTTGCTTGTTACTTGTTAGTAAACTATTAATATTTGTTTGTTACTAGAGTAATTTCGACTTTCAACTTCACTCTTTACTTCACTTGGTTATTTTAAGAACTTTTTGTAATATTTACACAAATCTTTGTAGATATAGCACTTTAATGAGGAAGATCCAAGTCCCAAAGTCGGGACTGAAACAACCGATAAGACTCGCAGTTGGCCGCCAAATGATTCCGATTTCTGGCTTCGCAAAACGATGAAGCCTAAGTTAATTTTAGGGGAGAGCCGAGCTTAAAAGAGAAATATTAAGAGAGGAAATTGTAAAAAAAATGAGAATACGATCCTTTTGAAATGATCATGTCTTTGCTTTATAAAATAGTTGTAGTTAGATAACTAATATATTGTTAGGTCACATTATAAATATTTTCATAATTGAAAGATAAAATATTCTTTCCAGTGTGCTCTGGTTTTGTTTCCTCTGTCTTCCCAAACCACACCTGACCTTCATCCGAGTCCCGGCCAAAACAAAAGACCGGGAAGCTGAAACTTGGCTTAAAGCAACATGGCTAAGCATGATTTACCGTTTCGCAGCATCGCTGTTTCTCCTTTGTGAAATGAGTAAGCAAAAGTTCGCGACCAAGTTCAAGTTCATATGTATATTATTATTTTTTTCGTTTAAGAAATCATACAAGCAAGGAAAGAGTGAAATGGAAAGGGGATCTGGATGCATCTCTCATCCGGTCTGGCCTTGGTGGCGATAACCAGTATTATTCATTCGCAAAAATGTACTTTTACTTTGCTTTATATTCCCTTTGTTTTTTTGGTTTATATCTGATTTTTTATCAGCTCTGTGGAAGGTCATTGAAGGGCTCACCCCGCACTTGCCGTTCAATTTCGAACGTTCGACGACCCAGTCGCATAATTGGTGTCAATTTTGAGTGCGACAACAACAACAACAAAAGCAATAATAGCCATATATATACGAAATAAAAAAAAAATAATTTATTAACTACCACTGCACTTTGCAGAGAGTTATTAAACAGGGTATCAAAAGTACTAACTGACTTCTGGCTAAGGGTTTTTAGATTAGAGACTTTCCTCAGATTTTTTTTATTTGTAATTTCCATATAACTTATTTGTAATTATTTAATTTTTATCAATTTATGCACCATGAATAAACAAAAAAATCAATATAAATAAACCAAATTTTCTGGAATTGCGACTAAAATAAATGACGTACGACAGCCAACTATTAAGGTGGAATTGGAAGCGTACGCAGCTTTAACGCCAAACCGCCACTTAAACAATCATCAAACCGGGCCCAAATCAAAGTAAACAAACTTTCAGCCTATTATGTAGGCTGTCCTCCGCCACCCACCGCCATCCCTGTGCGGTTAATAGTCGGGGGCTATTAGCTGGCAGCCAGCTTGTTGCTTAACGTTTGGGCTTTGTAGTTCCTGGCCACCACCCTTCTGGCTGGGGGCTATGTTGTTCCGCTGCCTGGGTCTCTAGACTGCCTTCATTTGACTTATCGATGTGGCGTGCATTAACAATCAATATGACATGTCAGGCACATGAATAACTTAGGGAGAAACATACAACGTATACCTACATGGGTATAGTTCATATCTAATCCGATCATGTCAAAAATAGTCACTAATGCGCCATATCCACCATTGTAATGTGAGTTCTGGATCAGATTTATTTTAGTTTTAGTCGGTAATTAAATGGAAATTTGAAGTTATTGTGAAACCTATTCTTTTGACATTGAAGCTCTCTCTAATCTTGACATTGAATTTCATTTAAATAATACATATATACATATTAGCAGATGTTCCATTAAGGTAACTGCTATTTTATTGGAATATTTATAAACATTGCACTCAGTATGTTTTGCTAATTGTCAACCATCAATCCGTCTGCTCGTCCTTCCATTAACATGCAAAACAAAAGTGAAAGTTTGTATAAAATGTCGAATAATAAGTACCCTTGGGGGTAATAAATTTGGAGAACAAGCTTCCCTTTCTTTTTTAGAAGGTTTCTAAGTTTTATAAATTATATGTAAAGTATATAAATATTGAACAAATAGCGAGGGATGATATGATATCAAATAACCTATAACATAAATATTAAACTGATCTGTATTAACCTTTTATCATGTTTAGTAAAGCCATCAGAAAAAGCGGTAAAGCTTTAATAAAAGGTAGAGTATTTTATTGGCCACGCATGTGGCTGTTCTGCAGTTAGCCGCCTGAAAGACGGCTTCAGTTCGGCAGTTGCCGTTGGGGAGTCAAGCGGCCAACAACGCCGGCTCGGATAGCTGTGGACGGGAAGCGGAAACTGGCTGGAAGAAGCGGAAACCGGTGAAACCATAGCCCAGAGTGGGGTGGGGGTCCAAAATGTGAGTATCTCCTTGCCTGCATATTGCTGTTACCCCGATGGGCTGGTGTTTGTGCGGTGAACTAGTGATTTGTTTACCTGTCAAAATAATAAATATAACTTTTGTTTTCGTGGGGCATAAAATACAGCCAGTTGTTGCTGTTGGTGTTGGCATTGGTAGCGAAAGCAGCGAGAAACAAGCCGGCGAAGGACTCTCGCCGCCTGTCTGCCAGATCCTTCCGCTCCCCGCCATCGCCCTCGGCCTTTGCCCAAGTGCAGTGTCAAAAGTCAAGCGAAGGATAATGTGCTTGTCTGACAAGAAAAATGTCTAAAATAGAAATTCCTCAAAAAATCAACTGAACTTAAATAACAACTCGACTAAGCTGATGTTTAACCAAAGGACACGGCATTGAAAAAGGTTCAAGTAACCGACTCGGTTTGAATAATTTTAAGATGAATAGATCACAGTTTTCTGCGAAGCCCAAAACTATGCTACGGTTTCAAGTAATCTGTCATCCTCTGCTTTCTTTGCCAAAAAATCCCTAAAATGTCATACTTTCTCTTTTCTATGAACAGGACTAAATATATAAAACATTATAAGGATGTTTGTGACGCAGCCTCGACAGCAATGCCATCGCCTCCATGTACCAATCTTCTCTAGGATTATCTCGCTGCGCCGGTGCCTTATGACCCAGCCAAGAGTCGGGACCTCGCCCCTGGCCTGGCGGCTGCCCCGTGTAGTCGAAACCACACTTCAGAAACCAAGCCTGGTCGACCTGCAGCGGGAGCAGCTGAACCCTTTTGGAGAGGACTACCGCATTTACCAGCAGAATATCGATCTGGATGCGTTTTTTGGCGAGGAACCCAAATACGAAAAGGTCTCCGATGTTTGCCTCCTCAATGATCACTTTATTTTGGTGAAGATGCCTCCCCCTGAACCGACGCCTCCTCCTCCGAAGTCAAAGATCCCCCGATGCTTCAAGTGCAACCGCGGCAGCCGGGTTTCGCCCGTTCAGGAGGAAGTGGAGGATGATGCGACCAGTCCACAAAAGTCTGGCTGCCTGCAACCCTGGTCTTCCCGCGACCAGGAGGAGATTGAGGAATTCGATTCTAGCACCAGACTGACAAGTGGGACCAACCCAGTGGACCAGCCCGCTTCCGTGATAGTTGAGCAGCCGCATCCTACACTCCAGCTGGAGGCTATTCAATCGACAGCCCCTGAAGGTGCCCTCCAGGTTGTTCCCATCAGCCGGGGACCGCTCCACTGGTTCCTCTGGCCCTTTCGCCGGCGCGAAACCAAACCCCCACTGGCCGCCGTCCACAAGACCTACTTTGTCCGCTGGACCAAGCCTCCGGATACGCTCTGGCCAGGATTCGGAGTGGACAGGACGGAAGAAAGAAAATTTAAACTACGACGATGTCGATCGGCTGTTTTTTGAACTATCCTGGAAGTACATCATTTCTTGTATATATTTTCTACGCAAAGTAATATAAGGGTCCATATCGTAGGATAATAATGGTTTCAAAGTATTTCTTAATAATAAATGCGATTTAATTAAAAAATATTTATAGAGTTTAACTTTTACACAAAAATCCGACTTAAAGATACATTTTCAAAATCGTTATCAAATATTTGTAATAGTAGAAACGTACTATGCATAATTATTACTTTACTTCTAAAGCTCTGCAGTTTTTTATAGTTTAATTGTGATGTGATCACTTAAATTTAAATCATAACAAAATTAAGAATGTGTCTAAAATCCATGCAAAGTATTAAACTTTAAGAACTTAAGCATTTTGTAAAGAATTTAATAGTCCTTGCCACTATCTGAACTCCTTTCCTCATGGGCACATGTCAAACTCCAATTTCCGCATACAAAATTAGTGTCTGCCATGCTGGCCGAACTTGCCTTGGCTAGAGTGTGTGTGTGAAGGACCCTTCCCCAAATCCCAAAGCCCTCCCCAATGGAACTGCAAAATAATACAAAGAAACCAAGAAACAAAATGCAAACTACTTAAATTGCTGGGCCAATGCAGATAAAGTCAAGCGGCCGAGGAGAAATAGTAGTTTTAACTCTTTTTTTTTTCTCTTCAATGGAATTTGCACGCGTCCGTGAAGCCCAGTGGGATGGAGGGGACATGGGAGGGACTGGGCTGTTGCTTCATTAGCTTTGGGTCCTGAAAATGTCGGGCAATGTCGTTCGTTACTCCCGCCACGGGTAGGTGGCGCTGCAGCTGGAGTTCCTCAACTAATTACGAGGGAGCCCACCATAAAAACAAGTTCATGATAAAATGCCCAACTGGCGGGAAGTGGGGAGTTTTGGGGCGGCTGGAGGAGGCAAGTAGCTGGCATAGACCAGCTAGTCTAGCACCCTGCGCCACCGCATACATAATAATAAAATAAAATTAAAACCGTCACGCCAGGCGTCAGCGCGGTGGAAGTCCGGCCATGGCAATCGCGGCACAAAACAAAGCCCTCGGGGGCCTCGAGCCCACAAGGAGCTGCCACTGAAGCTGGAGGGTCTGCACCCGGTCGTGGCAGGTCGAGAGCGCGGATCGGGCCAGCAGGTCACCGCGTCGTAATGAACCATTAATATGCGAGTTCCCCCAAAAAATAACAGAGGCGATAAGAACAGCATTTTTCTAACATTGAATGCCGAAATCGAACCAAACCACCAAATGCACTGATAAAAAATATTGTTTTTTTTTATTATTAGAATTAAAATTGAGAATCGGATTAGAATTGGAGAAGATATGGCCATCTATGTGGGCCCTATAGGGGAAAACCGCTATTTTTAAGGGATCCCATCACGAAAAATGGACAAAAAATCAAAAAAATATTTTGTCTCAGGATGCAGAATGGTGAAGAATCGATCTAGAAATCGTTTAAGGTACTCCGCTTGAGAATCAGTTGAGAATTGGGGAAGATACAGCCATCCCACTGGCCAATATAGGAGAAAAATACATTTTTAAGTATTTTTAAGAAAAAAATACATTTTTCATACCAACATGAAAAATGGACAAAAAATCGAAAAAATATTTTGTCTCCAATCACAAATATTTTGTGATGCAATATGGTGGAGAATCGATCTGAAGAAAAATCGTTTAAGGTACTCCGCTTGAGAATCGGATGAGAATTGAGGAAGATATAGCCATCCCACTGGGCCATATAGGGGAAAACCACATTTTTAAGGGATCCCATCATGAAAAATGGACAAAAAATCGAAAAAATATTTTGTCTCAGGGTTTTGATGCAGAATGGTGGAGAATCGCTCTAGAAATCGTTTAAGGTACTCCGCTTGAGAATCGGATGAGAATTGAGGAAGATATAGTCATCCCACTGAGCCATATAGGGAAAAACCACATTTTTAAGGGATCCATCATGAAAAATGGACAAAAAATCGAAAAAATATTTTGTCTCAGGGTTTTGATGCAGAATGGTGGAGAATCGCTCTAGAAATCGTTTAAGGTACTCCGCTTGAGAATCGGATGAGAATTGAGGAAGATATAGCCATCCCACTGGGCCATATAGGGGAAATCACATTTTTAAGGGATCCCATGAAAAATGGACAAAAAATCGAAAAAATATTTTGTCTCAGGGTTTTGATGCAATATGGTGGAGAATCGATCTAGAAATCGTTTAAGGTACTCCGCTTGAGAATCGGATGAGAATTGAGAAAGATATAGCCATCCCACTGGGCCATATAGGGGAAAACCACATTTTTAAGGGATCCATCATGAAAAATGGACAAAAAATCGAAAAAATATTTTGTCTCAGGGTTTTGATGCAGAATGGTGGAGAATCGATCTAGAAATCGTTTAAGGTACTCCGCTTGAGAATCGGATGAGAATTGAGGAAGATATAGCCATCCCACTGGGCCATATAGGGGAAAACCACATTTTTAAGGGATCCATCATGAAAAATGGACAAAAAATCGAAAAAATATTTTGTCTCAGGGTTTTGATGCAGAATGGTGGAAAATCGATCTAGAAATCGTTTAAGGTACTCCGCTTGAGAATCGGAGGAGAATTGAGGAAGATATATGGGCCATATAGAGGAAGGCCACTGGGCCATATAGGGGAAATCACATTTTTAAGGGATCCATCATGAAAAATGGACAAAAAATCGAAAAAATATTTTGTCTCAGGGTTTTGATGCAGAATGGTGGAGAATCGCTCTAGAAATCGTTTAAGGTACTCCCCTTGAGAATCGGATGAGAATTTCCCCTTGATATAGGGGAAAACCACATTTTTAAGGACATCATAAAAAAATGGACAAAAAATCTAAAAAATATTTTGTCTCAGTTACTCCGCTTCAGGATCGGATGAGAATTGGGGCTCCGCCCAAAGTTAGCTTACCTTTCTTGTATTATTTAGTTTATAATATATCTGTAAACGCATTGTTTCTTCTCAGTGTATACTCCAGTATTCTTTATTGTTTTCCACTTTTGCCTCTGAGCTTGGGCTTATCATTAATTATAATGTCTGAAATGGAGGCGAAGGCATTACCATTTGGCCAAAATGCTCAATTGGCTTAGACGGTTTGTATTATACATGAAGTTGGCTTTGTATGAGCCACTATTTTATTTTGGAAGTTTGAGGGGGAAACTTAAGAACTTCACCTGTCGACTTGGACAAGTAAATGCAACAAAACTGAGCCTAAGCTTTGAGATTGTATAACCGTTTAAATATCATAAAACTAAAAATTTAATAAATTTTATTCGATGTTAACTGCTTTCTAAGTAGACCCATTGTCGCCACCTTTTGACATAGTTCCACACCTTATTAACCTGCCATTTCTTGCCTACCCAGTTCCGAATACAACTTAAATTTGGCCAACCTGCCCAACCCAGAGAGAGGGCTTCCAGCTCCGCTTAATTGATGGAAAGTAGCGTAACCGTTCCGGCCAAGTTAAGACTTTGGAAGGCCGAATCTCCGAGTGAGTTGGAACCGCTCAGCAGCCGACGGGGACAGAAGACACTTGCTGCGAGCAGATGCCAACAGGAAGCTGACAAGGAGCGGCCGGAGATCCCGCCAAGCATTCCAAATCGATTACGACTATATATTTTGGAAAGATCAAAGAGGGAGTAGGGAATACACTGCACCTAGATAGTCTGCCTCGTTCTGGCAAGGTGTTTATTAATAAAACTCCAACTATTTCGCTTCAAAAACCAGCCAGGGAAAGGAAAACAGCAACAGAAACAGTTGGTGGTACGCAAAGTGTTGACAATGGCCCAGGACGATGGCTAAGTCCAAGTCGTTGGCACCGACTGCGCAACGACCTTCGCTCGCACAGGGTCCTCCTCGGGCAATCATCGTTAATGATGGCAATGTCCTTGTGCGCCCCGATTTGACAAATCAATTTGTGCGCTAACAGCATGCGCTCGACTCGACTCGACTCCGACCGGCTCTGTTCCGAGTGAGTGGGATAACTCGGCGAAGGACGAAGACGAGGACACAAATCTGACATCTCTTTCGCCCCCTTCCTCGCTCTGCCGTTTGGCCTACAAACGTATATCCTCGATGACGGGGATCACAGTACGAGTAGTTGGCCAAACAGACCAAACCGAAATGTTTGCCAATACGGTTGGGAATCTGTTTGGATAGATCATGGTGTGCAAGGATAGTTTTTGATAAATGAGATTCAGGGACAGGGATATGCTCTCATTTAGCAAAGGATAAAATATGTTACAAATTAATTTAGCTTATTAGTTTTTAGTTATTTAAATCCCAATGGCGTCAGTGTAAGGGTTAGAATTGTCTTAGAATCAATGTAAATAATTATACTTTAAAAATGCATCTTTATAAATACTTCAAAATTATATTTAGATTCAAAAATTCAATCATTTTGATGTCATCTTTTCATCTAATTTCCTATAATCCCTTATTATCCTTGACTTACAGACTTTCGTCCAACTCTCAACTCGAACACTCAATCGTACTCCTTGGCACAGGACACCTCATTAGCAAGGATTATCGCTGTAGCTCGAGTCTCGAGGAACTCGGGGACTCTACCTAACACCCATCTACCTGACTTTGACTCCTTTCGACGGAGTGACTGACTGACTGGCTGAAAGCTAAGCCTTTCCTACTTTCTTGGCTTAACTCTTGCCTGCGAAAGGACTGCCTTTTGTGCTCCTTGTGCGAGGAAAGGGGTTCGTGTCCCGGATGAGCACTGAGCACTGAGCACCGCGCACGAGGACGAAGAATGACAGCAAATAAAAGTTTATGGCCCAGTCGTAAACGACCCGAAAACGAGTTGACCTGGCCTGGAAGGGCTGTGCGCCGTTTACTGCATTCTTCCTGCATTCTGCAGCAAAAAGGATTATTTCGGAAACGGCCTAATCCTCGAATGGGAACGGGATACTGCAAATCCTTTCGCAACCTTAGGCCGCTCTCCTGGAATTCATCGGCAACTTGCAGTTCCCGATTCGCAAACTCGCAAATCCCTCTCCTGGGTTAGTCCGCCTAGATGTCGGGTAAATATTTTGAGGTTTTGCGCTGCTTATGTCTCAGGCAACGCCTGGGTTTATTGGTTCATCATCGGATCGGCAGGTAGATCCGATCCGATCCGATCCCTTCGATTGCGATCTGCCCCAGATCCCCCGACTGACCGATCGACCGACAACAATTAATAAAAAAATTAAATTAAATTTCATCTCGAGTCGCGTCGTTGTAAATTACTGTTTTCCCTGCCTTTGATGTTCAACACTTTGTCAGCTCATTAATCACGGCTTAGGGGAGGGCCTCCTCGGCCCGGGAAGAGGGATCCGTCCGGCCATGATCTCGGGACAGCTCCAACTCCATTAACTGTGCACAGCAGCCTTCACATCGCGTGAAGGCTGTTACATCCATCGGTGAGCTTTTCCTCTAGCAGCTCTGGAAGCTGGGTAATTTTTGATCGCTACCGAAAATTAATGCGTAATATTTCTGATTTTAATCGTTTTCCGATCGAAGCTTTCTTTGGCTCCAGTAGCAGTCCACGGTAGAATTTCCTCGCCGCTGCCCAGTGGGTAGCGAATTAAAATTGTAATTGGTTTATTAACCCAGTTGGCCATATTCGGGCCCTATTAAATTGGCATTAGACTTTTGGCTGGAACCGGCCGGATAACCATCTTCGGAATCCGGTTTTTATCTGGAACATATTATCTCAACTAGATCTAAATGGATTTTGTGCAATTTTCTTTGCGAAAATCTTCGACTCTACCTGGAAAATCCCTGCCAAATCCTAAGTCGATTGAAAAGTCAATATTTACTTTTCTCTTTGGCCAAAACCAAGTGCCGATTAGCAGTTTTTTCTAGATTAAAATAATAGAGCCAGATCCTTGGCCCTGTCTGAGCCACTTGTGTCTGGAGGTGAGGTTTCAAGGATGGATTTTCTCCTCCTCTTGTTCGGGTAATGACTTTATTAATTGCCATGGCCCGGACACGTAGGTGGATCCAAGGATGAGGTGTGAATTTGAGGTAAGTCTGAATTCCGAAAGCCGAACGAGAGCAATTACTCGGGTTCGAGGGAATCGAGGGGGCAATTAACACCTTGGTTGGAGTTGGACCTTAGTTCTGATAAGTTAGTTTCCATTTCGGGTAGGAGAGTTTCTCTTCTTTTTTTCCGGAAACTGGTCCGCACAGCGAGTGTTCCTGGAGGAGACGGATGCTCAGTCCTCGGAAATGTCCCCTGCAGTGACTGTTGAAATCTCCAGCCAGGTTAGTGGAAAGCACAGCAGCTACTTAAAGGCTCTAATGGCACCGAGGATTTTCCGATTCCTGCTGCGAACAGAAGCGTGTCAAGGCTGCTGAATGGCCAGGCTGGCGGGATCAGGATGTCAAAAGCAAAAGACGTTGAAATACGGTATAAATTAGCATAGATCTTTATTTTCAAGGCACTTGCTACTTAGGATGTACATCTTAAATCTAAACAGCATAAAGTAAGACTTATGACTACGAATTGGAACTATTTGGGGAGGCGAGTGTATTAGAGGTTTTCCATTTGGAAAACGTCCATACTGCCCCGTGAATAAATTGTATTTTCATGTCTCTTCCCTCTCTGTTGTATCCCCTGCTATTTACATCTTTGGCGACTTGTCTCTCTAGGATATGGTGACACCTGCTCCTGCTGCGGAGTAGGTGGAGGCGGGGGATCCCTCCTCAGTACCAGGAGTGGTAGAACGGCTGCGGCGGCATCGCTGTGTAGTTGACCTTCGAGGGCGACGAAAAGGCGGCAGCATTGAAGTTCTGGGGCATGAAGTGGGTTGACGAAGTGGGCGGTGGATAGTGGGGATGAGCACCGGCGTACTGGGGATGAGCATGCGGATGGGCGTGCGGATGCGGGGCATGTGGATGCGGATGTCCGTGATGGGGGTGCGAATGGGCATGGCTGGGAGCCGACGGATAAGTTGCATATTGCGGCGTGTGCTGGTAGGGATGGAACATCTGGTGGGCTGTGGCCATCTCCAGGGCCTGGTTGGTGGAGCTGGTGGAGTTCAGCGAATCCTCCGGCGACAGGGGAGCATTGGGCCTGAGGGGCTGCATGGAACTCCAGCCGCCGTAGAGCTGCGACTGATTGGCCACCAAATCGGCGGTCTCCACTTTCAGGGCAGCCGAGAGCTCTTCACTGCCAGCACTGGCGTTGGCCAACGACTGCGAGGGATCAGCAGCTCCCGCCCCAGAGGAGGACAGGCCTCCACCGACGGCTGACAGACTGTTGGGTGTGGGCGGCAGCTGGCCGAATCCGGAGGACACCGACTCGTTGGGGCTCTCGTTGCGAGGCATTGACTGGTGGACTTCCGATTCGGTGCCGTAGACGGATCCCAATTGGGTTTCGTAGCTGGACACGATAATGTTGCCGGTGGGAGTGGTGTTGCCCGTCTCTCCGGGAATTATGTAGCCGGCGCTGCTGCCTCCGTTGGGAGTGTAGAACTGATGGTGGTGCGGCGGTGTGGTGGCCAGTTCCGGCGAGAGATTGCTGCTGCTGCTGGCCATAGGAGCTGCTGGAGGAGCGGCAACGGAGACGGTAGCGGCACTGCCGTAGAAGTCGTACTGCTGTTGATAGACACTGGCGGCGTCCAGAGCAGGCATCATGGCGAGTGGCGCCATGCTCGACACACTGGACACAACGCTCGGCAAGGCGCTGGAGGTGGAAACATGGCTGCCAGGAGCCGAGACCGAAGTGTTCTGCTTACGGAGACGAGCCCGACGGTTGCTGAACCACACCTGGATGCGTGCCTCGGTGAGATTGGTGCGCTGGGCCAGCTCTTCGCGAGTGTAGATGTCCGGGTACTGGGTCCGCTCAAAGGCCCGCTCCAGCTCATCCAGTTGGGCGGCAGAGAAGGTGGTCCTGCAGCGGCGTTGCTTCCTCTTCAGGGCGATTCCTGGCTCACTTTCGCAATCGGAGATGTCCTCGTCAGAGGGTTTGTTGTTGTGATGACCGCCGCCGGAGGCATCCGAGCCGCAAGAGCTGGCAGAAGTCTTAGTAGGTCCTGATGGGGATCCCGATCCGGAGGACTGCTCATTTTCCAGAGGAGCATCACGACCACGCACCAGGCGTGAAATGGCGGAGACAGAGGGAGCTGTGCTCCGATCGCAGACACCCTCGCGGATAAGCTTCTCACGGATCTCCCAGGAAAACATGCCCGGGTTGGTGCGCTTGTAGTCTTCGATTCTATTCTCGATCTCTGGTGTGGCGATTCTCGGCTTGGAGCCACCAATCACACCTGGACGAATGGATCCGGTTTCCTGGTAGCGGTTCAGGATCTTGGAGACGCATCCGTGGGAGACGCGCAGCTGGCGGGAGATGACGCAGGGCCGGATGCCGTCGGCGGCCATCTCGACGATCTTCAGGCGGATGTTGTTGGGAAGTGGACGACCGTTGATGAAAACTCCACCCAGTTGATTGACGCGTCCCTGGCCGCTGTTCATGTCTGGAAAATGGAAAAATGGGAAAAGGAATGTTTAGAGGCTTTTCCAATTTGCTAGGTAGCGGGAAGCGCGTGTCACTTGATTTACGACACCTCTGCTGTTGACTTCCCGGGAAGATGTCGAAGGTCAGAGGCGCGCGACTCTCCCGTCGAGCAGCTAATGGCCATTAGAGAGTCGCCGACGACCTTGTACCTTAGACTGAGGTGTTTCAGAGATATAGGGAATAGTATGGGAAAGATTTCAAGGATTTTGTTTACTGAATAAGATCTTTAAGGAGAGTAAGAGGTAACAGGGACTCAGAAAAGTAAGGATGATTTCAAAAAACTTTGGACATTTTATTGATTTGAGAATATTTTAAAAGATATAGAAGCTTTATAAAAATAATCTTTCCAAGAAATCAAGTAGTTTTTATAGTAATGTCTGGTGGGATCAGTTTTTTGGGTTTGGAACTCACCTTGCATTGTGGAATATCCATTGAAGAAGGGTCTGTGCATGGCTGCAGCAAAAGCGGTGACGGTCATAGTTTCTGGAGCTCCAAGATCGGTAGTGAGGACCCGGTTCGAAACCGGCGGCGACTCAATGGTGCTTTTGGTTATGAATTTCACTTTTTGTCACTTTAAAATAAACCAAGTATCGGGCACTTTATCAAAGTCATAAATAGACGTTAGCAAGGTGTGGCTAAACTGAATTTTTTTAATTATTTGTGATATATATTTTTAAGTATCTCGGAATCGAAAGACACGAATCTTGAAAAAGGCAAAGAGGCGAAGACGAAGACGAGATGCGGTGTGGCTCGTTGCGCTGTCTGTGCCTGACTGACTTCACCAAACAAGTACGGGCCAAGATCGTTGCCTTTCTGTGAAGCCGCGGCCCAGACGTCGGCCATATCCCACTGCCACCTTGGCCACTTGGCAGGTAACCTCCACGCGGACCAATCCCAGAGCTCCGAGCGACTGCCTCTCGCTCGCGCTCGTCGGCAGATCTTGCGCCATACTCAGCACCCGTCTCGCTCTTCACCGGGGGGCGTCTCGGCTGTAGAATGAGAGTGCTAGAGTGGGAGAAATGGAAGTGGGGTACAGCCAGAAAGAAAGAGGGGGAGTGCTCCAGAGGGTCCTTGACATGCAATGCCAGTCCTGGAGTTTCCGGAACCGGGTTACCTTTAGGGTTTTAAGGGCAGTAATAATGTTAATTATATTATCCTTTAATTGTAACCTAATTAAAGTCGTAAGTCTTAAAAAAATTTACGGATCCTACATTCCAGAAGACTTTTGGGGGTTCCACTTGCGTCCGGAAATGAAATTATAAACTAAGTGGTAGGCATAATGCAATCGAGTACGCATTTAACACTTTACAAGCGTAATATATCCTTTATTGATACCTCATTATGGCTCTTAATTTATAAACGAACGAGGGCAGTCCAATTTCCAACAGTTTTAAATTGGAATTGGAAGTCATCGCCAAAGTTTGTAAGTCTTTTAAAAATTTGTGATCGAAATTTAAGACATGATATATCTAGAAGTTTATAAGGAGGAACATTTAACGACTCATTTTAATAAAAAGATATTGAAAGATATATGATATAATGTATTGAAAAGCCCTGAAAGATATTCCTTGATAGTACCTTCAAAAGCACTTTTAAAAAACACGATTTTCCTATATAACTTCTTTGAATATTTTAAAAAATAGTTTTCAAAATGTGGTATAGAAGCAAAAGTATAAAAATTTAATAGTTAGGGCTTGACACATCCTAACCATAACCATATCCTTGTCACGCTTTGTCGTAACCATTATGCTTCGGTACTCGAGGTGATGGCCCTATTCTTCGGGCTCCGCATGAGGTTGATTAATTATGGAATTTCACGCAACAGAAACTCACCAAAATACCAAAAAAAAAAATAAAAAAGAAGTTAAATAAAGCCGCTGGAAAAGAAAGCGTTGAGCGGGAGAACCAGAAAACCCGGGGAACAATAGAGAGCGCCAAGATGGTTAAATTAATGATGGTCTCCGGTGGAAACGCCAGCGCGGAAATTGGCCCAGAGAGACGTGACCAATGCGCATCCTCTGGCTTAGATCCCCGATCCATATCAAGGACAACGGAGGCCGCAAACCAACAAAGGTCTTGGGTTTCTACTGCTCGGTGAATTTTGGGTTAAGCAAACCCAACGGGGGAAGTTCTACTAGGGATTACCAGTGAGCGCCCAGTGAGGAGTCCAGCCATTTGCGCCTGGCAGGATAGCAAACATCAGCACGATGACCTTGAAGCTATAACCTTGATTTACGAAACGATATAACTGGACACTATATTGACAAATATTTTGAGATTGCGTATCCATTTTAAGAGCAAGGCGCCTCTTCGATTGGATTGGATTTTTCACACAAATCGATCCTCATTGATTTCTCAATTTAGCGAAACAATGCCCTCTGAAAAGGCAACTCATATAACGCTAATTTCGCGCTATCAACGCTCGAAAATGTCCTGTCTTGGAGGGAAGAGAAAGGAACTGGCTAAAATGCAGGAAACAGTAGGTGGCAGGATGTGCCATAAACACTTCGAGTCAGCTTCGATCGCATTTCCACGAATCGACCAGCGGGAAAAGAAGACACATCCGTGCAATGAATAAGGATGCTAAGAGACTTTTTATGATGCCACCCAGGGTGCTATGAATGAAAATCATCCTCGTGATCGTCAACTTTCGCCAGCGTATCCTGGATACTTGGTACCTGCGAAAGCACTTGGATCGGAGCTGATGTAAAGCATTATAGAAACTAAAGGTGCTATAAGTTGAGAAAAATTAATATATAATCGAAGAGTCCTTTAAATAGATTTTGTTTACCATAGTCATATTCTGTTCTTGAGGTTCTACTGATAATATTCTATTTCTAATAATCTATAATCTATAATCTATTTCTTCCAAGAAGATGGCCTCTATGACCAATCTACCCATTCCCTGCCTTAAAGCCTATAATATCCTGCTACTAGGTAATACCTAGTAGGTATGTCCTAGTCGAGCATACTCTCGATCTGCATTCCAACTGTATTTTTTCCACTTTTCACTGCTGAAAAGCACTTTTCACTGCTGTTTGGCAATCGATTCGCTCTGGCCGGACGTAATGTGGTCTGTTGTCACACATTGGAACGGCCTTGATTGTTTCACGTTCCCTGCAACTAATGTCTTTATCAGTCCCGTGAGGTGGCTGTTTCTATTGCCTTTGCCCCGTTGTGTGGATGTGTGGGAGATGCTGTGGCTGTGCAACGAATTTCCATGTCGACAGCCCACAGAAGGCTGATCGCACCCAGAACTCTCCACGGGGATGCTTAGATAATGAACTATTTAGGGGCATGATTTCTAGAAATTAGGAAAAACAGAAAGGATCCTCTAACATACCATGGCCAAGCATGCCTAAAAGTATCATAACTTGTGGTGTTTTACCTTTTCAGCTTAATTTAGAAGAAAATTGGTAATTTTTTAGGTAAATGGGGTCTGAGGTTTAAATTAAAAACATGTATTGTATATGTATACAAAAATATAGTTTACTTTTTCTTTTAAGTTAAGCCAACAATTAAAATACAATTTTAAAGCATTCGGTTAATCCCCTACTTGTTTGCTAATCCCCAAATATTTCCACTCCCGAACCAGACAAGCAGGCGGCGATTGACTTTCTGGTTAATCCGCAGTAACTTTGGGTAAATACGACTTCCAGTATGGTCTGGAGCTGCCCCCTGGTCACGGCCCAGCCCAACCTGGAATACTCAAGGCGAGTATTCTACGGACTCCGGAGTGATCGTAAAATGAAATCCCCGCTAAAGCATGCAAACAAACAGCGGCAAAATGCGAGATTAGAGAGAAAGTCGCACCAGCTTAAGGAACCGATCCGCCAGGATTCTGTCGATCCGACCATCCTGCCGGTCCTGGATCCCGGCGATCGACAGTTGACTTTTTCAAATATTTTGGAAAAATTCTCGAGTGTTGATCGCACGATTATAGCGGATAATCGCATTACAGTCGAACGTTTTATTGATCAACATTTGTAAACGATTTTCCATGGCCGCTGGATGGGATGTGCCAAGAAATCCCAGGTAGCACTGCAACAAAAAATATGAAGAAATATACTGCGGCTTAACACAGCCCACGCCCACCGTAAAAGGGGGCGGAAAGCTGAAAGGGCCTTTCCCGTACTTCGGGCGGCGATCAGCACCACGGCGAATGCGATTAACCCTTGCCCCGGCCAAGAGCAGTGCAAGTTGGTAGCAGTTTAGACGGGCTAATTGAAGGCATTAGTTGTTTGTGGGTCGCGAGGTGGCTGGGCTTCTGCGGAACTGTCTTTGTCTGCAAATTAGCATCTTTCATGTGGGTCGATGCGATCTTGGGACACTCCTCCGGCCTCCTGCCAGAGACCTCTGCCTACAATCCGTTGGTTTTGGCACCCCGACCACATGACATTCGTTATGCTCTGAGGAAAGGTACTGCATGTGGAAAACTCTGGATAAAAAATAGTTTTTCTTGACTTGAAATGAGGTTGAATATTAAACATAATATATTTATAGATTTCAAAATATTATAACCTTAAGAAATAACCTGGAAAATAGTCATAGACGTCGTCTGGTCTGGTCGGAAACTGTTTTCAGCAACTACTTAGGGCTTTGGCTGCAGGGCCAAGGAGGAACAAGTCCTGAGGGCTAAAGGGGATCCCCTGCCACATACACCCACTTTCGAGAAACTCATTAGCCCGGGCCACAACAAAACAAAACATCACAAAACAATCCCATCCAATCCAATACAATCCAATCGACTGCTAAACGCTGTCGGCACACATCTGAGACAGAGGCCAACAAATTGATCATTTAAACAGAAGGCGCAGAGGTAGGCGCAACCCATCGTTGTCCAACAGATTCACCAGATCAACAGCATCAGGTCGAGATCAAACACCTGGGCCCAGGGCCCATACCCCAGAGCCCTCAGACCATAGCCCTCAACCTGCGAAGAAAGTGACGAGGCCGCGACGTCAACAAGATTAATATGTTTTCCAGTCCGACTCGGTCGGTGCTCTGGTGCGCTGCTGCCATCTACAGCTTCCAGCTTCTGCTTGGGTTCCAGCTCCAGCTCCTTGTCCCTCCACGGAACACATTTCACTCCGCCTCCATCCATCAGCCAACAACCTGTTCTCCAGTTCTCCGATTTGTAATTGCTCTGCTTTGTAGCCGATCAGCATCGATCGTGGATCGCACATCATTAGTTTTATGGGAAATACATATACATAGATTCGTAAATGGTTAAGTCCACAAAGTAGGTGGCGTTTTTCTCACATCTCCCGGGTCTCGATTGCTTTGTTGGATTCTGCGTTTGGGGATCTTCGGCGGCGTTTGTGAATTAGCCACGGATCGCATCGGATATATGCGAATTTAAATAAAATTATTCAATTGTTTCATTAATCACTGAGCCCAGACTGCGTTTTCCTTGATTTGTTTTAGAAAATGCATTGCAAATGGAAACTAATTTCCAGAGTCTGTTATTATTTATACATTAGGCTGGGAAGCCAAAGGGAAAGCGGTGATGGGCTTGGAAGTTTCCTTTGATTACCTCTAAAAAAAGTGATCTTAAACTATATTTTTTTTATTACTATTTAAGTAAAAAAACACTCCCAATAAAAATGAACAGAAGTTGATTTCGAAACATAAAAAATAAGTGCAGCAGTGGGGCATGATAAAAAAAAATCAAGCATGGGAGGCTGCAACCGAAACGCACACTTAATTTCCGCTTAATCAAACATAACAGCGACCAGGGGCAGCCACCACCAGCCCCCGCCCACATCATCTGGAGCAGACGACCCTGCCACCAGCCCCTCCTGCCTCCGAAGAAAATGTATGACAGACGCAAGGGCTCATTTGCATGAGCACTTTGATGGAGGGCGATGGGTGTCAGAGCATGAAGATCTCGCTCCATTGCGCAATGTTGGATGGAAGTGGGTGTCGTATCTGGTGGAAAGCTGAAAGATGTTGGCTTTTATATTTCAAAGGAAAGCAGAGAGTTTTCCTGGAAAAACAGCGGGCTCTGTAATCGCAATTATCACGGCACGAATATCAAAAGACAGCGGTTAACATTACACGATCCTGACCAGACTGGCTTTAAGAAATTGTAGTTTTGTATTTGCTGTAAAATAAAATTAATGCCGATTACAATTAAAATATACATATTTTATGATCAGTATTATAAATTGACCATCTCGCAGTATGACCTATGGGTCCTGGATATGTCCAGTGTAGTTATATTTCCAAGCCTATGACTTGGGAAAGACTCATATATAAAACCGCAATCATTGCCATAAATAAACAATCGCCAAGTCCATTATCTGACGATCAGTGGATCATAAAATCGCGCCTCCTTCCCGGTAAGGATGTTGAAAATCGAAAAAATAAAACACCGCGATCAGCGACCGTGAAATCGCAGCCAATATATGGGTGGGATATGCACAATATTCCCAAAAAAAAAATGTGTGTGCGCAAAGAGGAAATAGGATACTGATGGTTATTTTATGACAGCTCAGATCCTGAGTTCCTTCCAAGGAAGAGTAGCGTGCGTGGGCTGTAGGTTCAGGTAAGCCTCGAGCACCGACAACCGATTATTCCCGAATAAAACACTTTATGACAAATAGTTTGGGCATTAAAAATTATGTCAAAAAAGAGCGGGACTTGGTTTATTGGGATCGGGTGTGAGTGTGGACCAAAGTCATTGTTTTGGCCAGCAAGAGGGTTTTTACTTTTTCGACTTTTGTTTTGACTTCTCGGTTGACTTGACTTGGCCGTTTTGACTTTTTGAATCCTTTAGGTTCTCAGAAACTTGCAATTTCAGCAAAAACTGTTCTACATTTGTCAGGAAATGGGTTAGGTTCTATGAAAGAAGAAAGCCTTCTTTAGGAATGCATAATTTCCCACACGAAAGGGCCATAAAATAAAAGGTAAATATTTTATAGTTTAAACAAGAAAAAAAAAAAATAGAAGATAATTTAACAGAAATTGTTTCAGAAAAATGGATTACACCCCATAAAAACTGTAATATCCATACTTAACAATGGCAGAAGTTTCCAATGGTTTGTCCCACCCTAAGCCGCAAATAAAACACAAAATTATGCATTATTTCAGACTAAGCTCCGCCCATGCTGGGCACATTCAGGGAACGGAACCCGCAGCACTAAGACTCCTCAAAAACTCCGCCCCAAATGGGGCAGAAAGAAGAGAATGGAAGAGAAAACACACAAATTTACCACAATACTTCACTGCGTGGGCGTACCAAATTGAAGATTCGTCTTGCTCTTTTGGTAAACCGTGCGGTTAAAGTTGAAAAACAGCCAACCCAACAGCCAATTGACCATATGAGAGGAATCGAAAAACTAAGCGGGGTTCCTCCGAGTAGATGACCTTGAGGAATGGTTGAGAATATTGGACTCCCTACTGCAAAATCCATATGTCCTGGGCATGGGTGTGACGTTTTGGTTTCCGAATTGGTCGCGCATCAGCGTCGCGCCGCGACCTTGGCAGATTTGCGATCCGGACCCCTCACCAGTTCCTACTCACTATATGCGGTTTGGGTTCTGGTCGCAGTTTGGTCGCCGATCTCCGTCCACGCACAGCAAGGTGCACGGTCAACACCGAGGACTCTGTGTGTTTCGCAGAAGAACCGTAAATATTTTGGGTGATTATTTTAGATAATCTTCGGATAATGTCCTTGGATTGTTTCTCTTTGTCGCCTTAGCGGAATATTTTGAGTGCTAAATGTAATTTGGCTATTTTAAATAAAATATTTATTCTTTGGTGTAATAATAAAGTAGCATAGTAATATTAATCAACAATAAAACGGATAAAGTTTTTTTAATTATTAAACAATTTTGACAATTTATAACAACTGTTTGCTAGCTTAAATCTAAGATTTTAAAACTTTTATTTTTTCTGTTCTTTGTTGTTTTAGACCGTTTAGACCGTACTTAGTCAAACGAATTCAAATGGTCTTGAAGTAAACCGTTTTTAAAAACGTAGTCAGAGATAATGTGTTACAAAAATTTTATGTTTTTGAATTTTTAAATAAAGCATTTAAAAAAATCTCCCAAACACTCACAAATTAAAAAAATATATATAATCTTAAAAGTTTTCTTTAAAAATTTAAATATCCGTTAGTAACTGCATTTTATCGCATTTGACAACACTGTCGACAAAATGGCCTAATGTGACCGTTAGTAGGGAATATCTGAAAACAATAATTTTTTAACTAGTTTCTATGACCATGAGCATTGAAATTCCAATAAATATAAATAAAAAAAAGTCGCCAAAAATCTTTTTATAAGTTCTGGCCTGTTATTTATTATTTGTAGGATTTTTTAGTGGGTTTTCGGGCTGAGAGGGCGGATATCAGAATCGGCCATCTGGCAACACTGCACAATAAGGTGCAAATCAGAAAAGGGTCCCCGCAATTACACAATGTCTGAGGAAAAGCAAAATGGAGATGAATTAAACGACCTGCTAGACAGTGAGTACAAGCAGAACTATCTTTTAATGAAATTACTACCAAGGCAACATAATACCCAAATTCCTTGCAACCCTTTACAGGTGCTCTGCAGGATTTCGACAAATCCGGTGGCGGTGGTGACAAGGGGGACAAGGACAAATCCAAGGCCACAGATGCGGCTGCTGAAGATGGTGCCGACGGTTCAGAAGATCCAGATGCATTTTTCGTGTGAGTCATAGTAAATGGGCCCATATTTTCACCAATTGAACTTTGTATTCCGATCTCGCCCATTTGCTTTGCAGTGAGCAGGCCAAGGTACTGGCCGATCGTATGAACACGTTGTTTGGTGGGCCGAACACACCCACCGGGGATATTCCTCCACTGCCTCAAGATCCAGACCAGATTATGGCTGGATTCAAGAAAATGGCTGAGGCGGCCGCCCTTACTCTTAGTGGCGAGAACTCAGCCAACGATGAGGACGTGTCCAAGTACTCCGACAGCATTTCGCAGGCACTCAAGGGTCTGCAGGAAGGTTCCGAGAACCTGTCGGCACCGGCTTCCGAAAACGACATAGCCAGCATGTTCGGCTCGCTGAATCTAGACGGCGTAAGTGTCCAGTTTGAGCTTCTTAGTAGCCCTGATTCATGTTTTTCCCACAGACTGGTGAGGCCGATGGTAACATGTTCCTTCCCTTCATGGAGGGAATGATGCAAAGCCTACTCTCCGCTGAAATCCTGTTGCCAAGCATCAAGGAACTGCTGGAAAAGTACCCCAAGTACCTAGAAGAAAATGACGCCAAGCTGTCGGCCGAGGACAAGGAGAGGTACATTGAAACACGACTTACGCAGTTAAATATTACGACTTAAATATTTAATCTTTACAGATACCAGAAGCAATTAGAACTCTACAAGGTGATTGAGGGGCATTTACAGAGCGAAAAGCCCGAAGATTCAGCGGCCACCAAGAGGGAGAAGTTCCGCGTTGTGCTGGACGACATGCGCAAACTGCAGGATTACGGCCAGCCGCCACCAGAAATTCTGGCTGAGACGGGCGGCGACCTGCCGTTCGGGGACCCCACTGCCGGCGGCTTGGCTGCCGGTCCGAATCCGCAATGCCCCACCATGTAGTCGTTGTCGCTGGCGGAACACAGTCGTCTCGTGGTGTGCCAATTGGTTAACTGTTGAGTGTTGCACATTTAGGATAAGGAATTTTTATTTTACTTTAATCCCCGACAAAACAATGTGGCGGTCGTTAAGGGTTACGTCTCTTTAACCAAAAAATTGTATTATCAGTTGGTTTATTTTATTTTTCTATAACTAAATACAAAGAATCGACAGCGAAATAGAACTACAAGAAGAATCGTCGACGCGACTCCATCGAGTGGCGCTTATTAGAGATGATCCAGGCGTAGTCTCCCGTCTTACTGTCGAAGGTACCCTCTTGCAGGGAACGCAGCTTGAGCGTGAATCTGGGGCCTAGTTCGCGCAGCTTTACGCGCTTGCCTTCTTTGGAAAATTCATAGCGATGGTGCCGGAAGAATATGTAATCACGCTGGTTGTGGAACGTAACCGCCCTGCGTCCGCGAAACTCTGGATCATGGTGGAATAAGGCGCCCAGCATTCGCCCCACGGTGAGACCCAGGCGGGTTGTAAAGTTTGTTAGTATCACCTCTGGCCTGTGCTTGGTAATCTCCTTGTGATCACGCTTAATATCAGATGTCAGCGTTACATTGGAAACCTTAAAATGGGCAGTCGGGCCACTGGGCAAGTGGATGACCAGCAGTCCGTTAGGCTTTCTGCGATCTTCGTTTATGATCACCACATCGGTGAACTGCTCACGTTCGGCGCTCTTGCAAATCTTCTTTACAGACGACTTGTTTCTGATTTTAACCAGGGCGTTGGGGAATATGCGCGAGAGTTCCAAGCCAAATTTTCGCGTCTTAGTAACTGGATTGTCTGCAAAGGTTATCAAAACCTTGGGCTCGTAGGAACGCTCAAAATAAGAGCTAAAGTCGTCCAGTTCCAGCTCTTTTTGCAACTCTTCGTTGTCTGAGTCGTTGAGATTTGACACCTCCGTTTGATCTTTCTCGCGCAGACTTTCGATTGTGTGACCAGGGTTGGCCGGAACACCCGCCTTTCGTCTGGCTCGCCGCTCCTGCATCTTTTTCTTGTGCTTCTCCTTCTTCATTTTTTTGAAGAGCGCCATGCGCTGCTCCTTGTTGCGCATCAAACTAAGTGGATTAAGCACCGGTATGCGGGGCTCCTTATCATCTTCATCGTCCTCGTCATCCTCCTCCTCGTCGTCCTCGTCTCCATCCTCATCCTCGTCTTCTTCGTCATGTGCACCAGCATCTTCAGACTTCTTCGGCAACTTCTTCTTGGACGAGTCTGCCTCAACTTCATTATCGCTGTCTGAATCATCGCTTGGAATTGCCACGTCCTCGGGCTCATCCTCGGCGAAGCTGGAGTCGCTGTCAGAATCCTCCTCCACAGGCTGGGCTGCTTGTTTTCGCTTATTTTTAACCATTTTTATAAAGATCAGAAGGAAAATGGTTTGCTTAAGCGGCACGTGTTGATATTCTTCTTCTACTACTTGACAGTCGCCGGGCGCGCAGACACCTGCTCAACGACTAGTGTTGGAAAAGAAATACATTTAAATTTCGAAAATAAAGTTCCTATTCATTTAAGGTTTCAATTAATATTTCTAAAGTATAATTTACATTACAATTCAACACAGTTTCTAGGGTCAATGTGTTCTAAAATCCTTAATAATACAAAGATGAATTTGAAAATAACCCGGTATTTCTGAGTAGTCCCTCCATGGTCTTACCGAACTCGTGGTAAACAATAATCATATGTAAACAAACGCATGCGAGATGGGTCTTCGCGTTCTGGAGTTATTCAGCGGTATCGGTGGAATGCATTATGCGTTCAAATGTAAGTGAAAACCTTACAATCTTAATAATAATAAAATGCATTATTTGGCAGATGCACAACTTCAGGGCGAAGTTGTAGGCGCCATGGATGTAAACACGGTGGCCAATGCCGTCTATGCGCACAATTTTGGTCTTAAGACCGTTAAAACGCGAAATATTCAAAGCCTCAGCGAAAAGGAAGTCACGAAACTAAACGCCAATATGATTTTAATGTCGCCACCGTGCCAACCACACACGCGTCAGGGATTGCAAAAGGACACTGAGGACAGGCGGTCTGACGCACTCACTCACCTTTGTGGGCTTATTCCGGAGTGCAAATCCCTACAGTACATTCTCATGGAGAATGTCAAGGGATTCGAGTGCTCCCAGGCAAGAAATCAGTTTGTGGAAGCCTTGGAAAAGGCGGAGTTCTATTGGAGAGAGTTCATATTAACACCCACCCAATTTAACGTCCCCAATACCCGACACCGGTACTACTGCATCGCTCGCAAGCACCAAGATTTTTTATTTCCTGGTGGAAAAATCTGGGAAGATTTCCCTGGGTTTAATGAAGATGGGCAAGCTTCTACGAAAATCGGAGAAATAATAGAACCTCATGTAGGGTCGGAGTTCCTCGTCCCAAATGATGTTTTAACTAAAAGAGTTCTGGTCATGGATATAATTCACCCCACACAAAGCAGATCAATGTGCTTTACAAAGGGTTACACCCATTACACTGAAGGTACAGGGTCGGCATACACTCCACTTTCGGAAGAGGAATCGCATAGAATATTTAAATTGCTGGAGGAAACGGAAGATTTGGAAGTCCGATTGGATTTGCTTCACCAAATAAAATTACGGTATTTTACGCCGCGGGAGGTTGCAAGGCTGATGAGTTTTCCTGAGGAATTCACTTTTCCGGACGAGACAACGAATCGGCAGAAGTATCGCCTGCTTGGGAACAGCATTAATGTTAAAGTAGTAGGTGAATTAATAAAATTGTTAACCACCATTTTAAAATAAAATTTTTCGTTAATTTCAAATGCAAAATATTTTGGCGCCATTGGGGGAAGGAAGTTATACTTCCAAGGGGCCGTTACTTGTTTTATAATTGTTAGTTTAAAGGTAAGATTATAATTTAAATTAAAGATAGCTTTTATTATAGTTTTCTTAAGGAAAAGTCTAACTTTGTTAGACAATTTCTGGAGGTAGAACGGTAGTGGTGTGACCATTCACAATTTGCCTATCTTCAGCTTCCAATTTGTCCCACCGATGGCGCTGCGGTATCGACTCATCGATGCATCGATGTTTCCATCGACGTCTCGGCACCTCTATTAGTTTACGAGAAAATAAAAACAATAATATTCCTAGTGTTCGGCGGTGAAAAGGTGCCAAAATGATTCCCAAAAAGACAACGGTGAAGGATTCACACATTGTGAAGATAGCCGTGGAGCGGGAGAACCACATGGCGCAGTTGATAAACTTGGATCAAAGGCATCCTTTAGCAAGTAAGTAAACAAACACAAGAAACCAAAATAGTTACATATTTCGAAGAATACCTCTTATAAACAATGAAAAACCAATTGAATGGAGACTCTAGTTACTCCAAACAGGGTGTAAAAACTGATTCATAAGGGTATTCTTAAATTTCATAACGAAACATGGGGGCCTTAAAACCAACGCCCTTTGTTTCATCGTGATGTCAGCGTAGAGCCGACACACTCATTAGAATGCAGCACGCTCATGTCGGCAGGAAGTCGATTTTTATTGCCTACTTATCTTTGTTTCTGTTATAGGTAAAATCCAGGATATCTGTAGTGGCTGGGGAATTAGCGATCACCAAAACTACGCCCTGCAGTTCTGCGAGTCCAACAACCAGAAGTACGTAACCGAAAAGAACCGGAATGAGATCAAGAATGGCTCCGTTCTCCGCCTGCAGTATTCTCCTTCAAAGACCGCCAGCGACACGATGGAAACACTTTTGAATGGCAGCCCCCAGGACAAAGTTCAGGTTCTCAAAGAGCTCACCCCGCTGAGCATGGACCACACCTTCGCGTTGGAGTTTATAAAGGAAAAGGGCCTGGACACTCTTATCAAAATGATCGAGGACGTGAACCAAACCAATGAGGAGATACTCAAGTACAGCCTGTCAAGCTTTGTAGAGCTAATGGAACACGGCACTGTATCCTGGGAGGTGCCTGAAAACTCTTTTGTGGCCAGAAACATCGAAATAGTTCGCAATTTCCAGAAGTATCCAACCAGCTGTGGAGAGAGCGCCCTATCCAACCTGGAAAACATAGTCCAGTGTAGCAGCAAGCATGTCCTGGTAGCAGAGGACATTAAACTTCAAGACATCCTGCGTCTTCTGCAAGAGGTCAATTCGCCCGTGATGCGCCAGAACGCTATTGCCCTGTTGAATGCGCTCTTTTTGAAAGCTGACGAATCGCGACGCAGGACGATTGCGCACACCATTAGTGCCAAGCAGTTCCGTCACGCTCTCAACCATTCTGGGAATGGTTTGGGTACCGAAATGACCCACCAGCTTTACGTTTTGCAGACTCTGACACTTGGCTTACTGGAGAAGCGAATGCGTACTAAAATGAATGCCCAGGACCAGGATGCCCACGAGAAGATCAAGGAGTTGCGGCGCATCGCTTTTGACGAGACTAATTCCCAAAACCCCAACGACGAACATGTTCGACGTGGCGGCGGCTCTGGAGCTGGCAACGTCAACTTTTCGCAGCATTACAAGAAGCTCGGCTTTAAATGTGACATCAATCCGGCACAGGACTTTATGGAAACGCCTCCAGGTAAGAAAATCAATGCTTTATACTGCATTTAGTTTAAACGACTATATTTTAGGCGTTCTGGCTTTGGATTGTATGGTTTATTTTGCTCGCAATTACACGCCGCAATACATGAAGATATTTCGGGACAATCGCGCCGATGAGCACGAGTGTCCGTTTGGTCGGACCTCCATCGAGTTGGTGAAGGTGCTGTGTGACATCTTGCGCATCGGCGAACCACCTGCTGAACAGTCCGGTGACTTCCAGCCCATGTTTTTCACTCGTGACCACCCCTTTGAGGAGTTCTTCTGCATTTGCGTAATCACTCTGAATCGCACTTGGTCCGATATGCGTGCCACTGCCGAAGATTTTTCCACTACATTCAGCGTGGTGCGAGAGCAGATCCAGCGCACCCTCAAATGCAGGCCAGAGAGTCTTGAGGACTTCCGGAATAAAATAAGTTTGCTTACGTACCAGCAGATTACGGCACTCCGTCAGCAGGAACGCACATCCAAGGAGGAGTGCGACTCCACAGCCTCAGCAATTGTCAGGCTTAAAGAGAAAATTTCGCCCCATATTCTGGATTTGATTAAACAACAGCGTTTGTCGTTTTTAGTGGAAGGTAATCCGATTCACATAAAATCCCTGTGTTTCTGATGCTCACATCTAACATTTTTGTGTTTTAGGGACCCGTTTTGCCAAGTATTCTCGTGGAACCCGAACGAAGGACAAATTTTGGTATGCACGTCTTTCTCCCAACCACAAGGTTATCCACTATGGTGAATGTGACGAGAAGAACATACCCACCTTGGAGGATTTACCCAAAAAGTTGCCCATCAGCGAAATTAAGCAGCTGCTCGAGGGCAAGGAGTGTCCTCACATGAAGGAGACCCGCATACGAAAGTCTGCCGTAAATCTGGCCTTTTCCATAACTTTTGAGAACATGGAGCACTCTACATTGGACTTTGTTGCGCCGGATGAGAGTATCTTTAACTACTGGACTGACGGGATAAATGCCCTACTAGGTCAGCCGATGGTCAGCAAACAAAAGAACGAAGACTTTGATACCCTTTTGTCTATGGAAATTAAACTGCGCTTGTTGGACACTGAAGGTGTGGACATCAGCAAGGATCCACCACCCATTCCCGAGGATCCCGAGAACTATGACTTCTGCTTTGAGAGCTAAGCATTCAACAATTTATACATTGATTCACTCTAGACTCCCATCACCCAAGATACATGCCAAAGTGTACCCACTACATACATATATTCTCCGATCTGATCTTCTGCTAGTATTACTTGTGCAATTCCCGAAACATACAAAGTGAACAATCTGGAGCGGGCACTCGCCTAGCCATTTAGTGAACATTTACACCATTTATTATTATATTAGGTATATAATATAGAGATCATTAAATAACACATTTTATACATAACAATTTTGTACAAAAACTAACGAGAGAAGCGTATTCTTATTTAAGGCTAGAGGGTAATGAATTGGAAAAGCTATAAGATCGGTTACCCGATACTTGAACACTAGTGCGGAGGAAATGGTTTTGATTTATGGTTCACATGTTAAGGATATTTTTCTTCCGCATTAGTATCATGATTGCAATTGTAGATGATAAAAAACGCACTTGCTGACCTTCAGTTCGAAGCATTCGCGTAAGCAGAAAGCTTTGGGAGCAAAACAAAACGGGCAGCCTACCCGAGTGGGTCTCCGGCTGCCTCCTCACATCATTATCCACGCACGGGCACCTTTCGCCGGCGAGCAGGGGCTCGATCCTAGATCCTTAATCAAATGTTATCCTCCAGCAGCAGATCGTTGTCATCACCTCGATCCGGCAAGCATACAAAGAACTCCAGAAGATTGAGAATAGGTCCTCGCGAGAAGGGATTCTGGTAGCGACCTCGCTTATCTCGCAGATAGTAATATCTCTTGTAATTGAACATCTCGTTCGTGGTAAGGTTCATACAGGCATGGAGGATCTGCATAGATATAAATAGTTTCAAAAAAAATAAAACAAATTATAGGAGAAACTTACCGAAGTGCATGTAAGGATCCATCCAAGCCCACAGAAAACCACTGCCTCTATCAATCCCAGGACGTATAGCAGCGTAAAGCCCTCGATCATGACGCAGTAGCAGGCAAAGTAGATGGTAAATGAGCAGTTCACGGCCACCGAGAGAACAAACAGGAAGAACCACATCCGGTTACGCAGACCCACACAGTTGTAGATGAAGGGGCAGTGGTGGTCAAAGTACGAGACGCACCGATTGCACACGCGACAGTGCTTGGCCCGGAGTGGCCGAAGACATCGACAACTATGACACAACCTCGTCAACATAACGTTCCTCTTTTTCAGCTTGTCGAAGTACGGAATCTGCTTTATGGCCCGGTAGTAGGCGTCTGAGCTGAGGGGTATGTATCCGGGATCCCGTCGGTTGGCAATAGCCCAACTGATCCACATAACGGCGTTCCAGTATATAAAGCAGTAGTGGGAGCGCCTCAATATGTTCCAGGTAATGGGAATCGCCCGAATCATGTACATCGGATAGCCCCAGAGGAGCACCGAGAATAGAAAAAGGAAGAGGGGACCCTTGGAATCGCCGGCACCTCCGAAAAGCCAGCCCCAGCTCTCCGAAACCGAGGGTATCCATCGGGACTTCTTCTTCACCTCGCCGTAAAGAAGGCGCACCACATCCTGGTGCTGATGCGCCTGCGCCAGCATAATAGGAGTCTTTCCATTCTTGTCCCGCGGCTCCAGATCCAGCTGAGATTTCTCGCACAACAGACGAACACAGGTCATGTTGCCGGACAGACAAGCCAGGTGCAGGGGTGTGGACCCAAAGTTGTCCGTCTTCTGGAGTTCCACTCCCGAGTACATGAGCAGCCGCATCAAGTCCGCATGTCCCTTATAGGCAGCCCAGTGCAGAGCCGTGTCTCCGTTGATATCCGTCAGGTTGTTAAGGGCTCCCATTCCCAGGAGATAGGCAGCGGTGGCTGTTCTGCCGTACATGCAGGCCAGGTGAAGTGGCGTCAATCCCTTAAAGTCAGCTGCATTGACAGCCACGCCCGCTTGGAGCAGCACCTGGACTACGGAGGCATGACCCTTTCTGCATGCCCAATGAATGGGTCGCGGACCCTGGGTGCCCAGGCAGGGCAAATCGATAGGAGCTGTCCGCTCAATAAGGTACCTCATCAGCTGAACGTTCCCATTGAGAGCTATCCAGTGGGCGGGTGTGTAACCATGGCGATCCCGCGCGGACAGGCACTCCATGCCGAACTTGTCCACTAGATTCTCCACCTCGCTGACCTCACCATTCTTTATGATGTCGAAAATGTCATCCAAATTTACGGTGGTGGTTCCATCTAGCCCCTCGAAAAGGAGCACGTTGTCGTGGTCGTCAGCACCTCCGCCTGCAGCACCAGCTCCACGGCCCGTTAAAGGTGGCGAGTGCGGCCGATGGTCTAGATGAATCTCATCCGCGTGGGCGTGGCCATCCTCCTCTGCGACTACCATGTTGCATGAGGAGGAGGCTGTCAGGGGCAGCGCCCATACACTGCGCGCTGCCCCCGGACTCGGGTGCACCTTGGAGGCCACGTTGTAGAACTCGAAGTCTACGCCAAGCCGATCCGCCGTTCCACCGTTGCCGTGATGCAGGGGGTTTTCCAGTAGGTGTGCAATCTTGTTGGCTTTTATTCGACTCTTGGAAAGCGAAATATCCAGCCTTTTTAAAAGGTTTCGAGGAGAGCACGCAAGGTAAACACGACTGCACCAGAAGGCAAGGAAATTATGTCAGCGCAGTGAGAAAATCAATAGTGAGTTCGAAAGGACTCGGAAGGGGGCCAACTTCGAATTCGATTTGGCGCCAAACCATTAACAGCTGACCGTTGTATGATGTTTGTTGCACATAAGGAAAACTTCGCGAAAAGTTTTATGTATGAAATACTTAGAAATATATCATAAATGAAATAAAAAATGTAACTTTCGGTTAGGGGTATAACTTTTCCTGTAATCTTTCGATTTTTGGGCGAAAAATCACTCGTAAGCCACCGATTTTTGAGTACAATAAACTTTATTAAAACTCCATTTTCAAGGGATCGAAAAATGGAGAAAATGTCTAATAAATGGTGGAGAATCGATCTAGAAATCGTTTAAGGTATTCCGCTTGAGAATCGGGTGAGAATTGGGGAAGATATAGTCATCACAGTGCACCCTATAGGGGAAAACCCCATTTTCAAGGGAACCCATCACGAAAAATGGACAAAAAATCTAAAAAATATTTTGTCTCAGGATTTTGATGCAGAATGGTGGAGAATCGATCTAGAAATCGATTAAGGTATTCCACTTGAGAATCGGATGAGAATTGGGGAAGATATAGTCATCACAGTGCACCCTATAGGGGAAAACCCCATTTTCAAGGGAACCCATCACGAAAAATGGACAAAAAATCTAAAAAATATTTTGTCTCAGGGTTTTGATGCAGAATGGTGGAGAATCGATCTAGAAATCGATTAAGGTATTCCACTTGAGAATCGGATGAGAATTGGGAAAGATATAGCCATCACAGTGCGCCTTATAGGGGAAAACCCCATTTTCAAGGGAGCCCATCAGGAAAAATGGACAAAAAATGTCAAAAATATTTTGTCTCAGGATTTTGATGCAGAATGGTGGAGAATCGATCTAGAAATCGATTAAGGTATTCCACTTGAGAATCGGATGAGAATTGGTGAAGATATAGCCATCACAGTGCGCCCTATAGGGGAAACCCCATTTTCAAGGGAGCCCATCAGGAAAAATGGACAAAAAATGTCAAAAATATTTTGTCTCAGGATTTTGATGCAGAATGGTGGAGAATCGATCTAGAAATCGATTAAGGTATTCCGCTTGAGAATCGGATGAGAATTGGAAAAGATATAGCCATCACAGTGCGCCCTATAGGGGAAAACCCCATTTTCAAGGGAGCCCATCAGGAAAAATGGACAAAAAATGTCAAAAATATTTTGTCTCAGGATTTTGATGCAGAATGGTGGAGAATCGATCTAGAAATCGATTAAGGTATTCCACTTGAGAATCGGATGAGAATTGGTGAAGATATAGCCATCACAGTGCGCCCTATAGGGGAAACCCCATTTTCAAGGGAGCCCATCAGGAAAAATGGACAAAAAATGTCAAAAATATTTTGTCTCAGGATTTTGATGCAGAATGGTGGAGAATCGATCTAGAAATCGATTAAGGTATTTCGCTTGAGAATCGGATGCGAATTGGGGAAGATATAGCCATCACAGTGCACCCTATAGGGGAAAACCCCATTTTTAAGGGAACCCATCACGAAAAATGGACAAAAAATCTAAAAAATGTTTTGTCTCACGATTTTGATGCAGTTTGGTGGAGAATCGATCTTGAAATCGTTTAAGGTACTCCGCTTGAGAATCGGATGAGAATTGAGAAAGATATAGATATCACTGTAGGGGAAAACCCCATTTTCAAGGGACGAATCACGAAAAATAGACGAAATATTTCCACATAATATATAATACTCCACAAAAAAATTTTTAAGGAATACATAACGTTACTAATAAACCCCCGATTTTTAAAATACACGGGTGAAAGTCGTAAATAGAGAATGGAGAAGGCGCCCTGAAGCAGGCTTTTGGTATTTTTATAATAAAATACCAGCTCTCAAAATAAGTGAGGCCGTCTTGAGCTTTTGGGGAAAATACCACCGGGATGCGTTCTGATGGGGCACTCGAAGAATTACTCGCAACAACAACAACCATCTGTGAATTTGTTTCGTAAAAATGAGTGACAACGTGGTGACGGAACTAAATAATTTGGATCTGAATAAGCAAAAGGCATGTTAAACCCTTGATAAACGGCTTTCGAGTGTAAGACAAGTGATAGATAACCGAGATATGCTGAAGCTAGTGTCGCCAAGCGGCAAATATTGTAGAACCTTTTACCGCATTGGCCACCGGGCGGCGCGGAGTTATTTGGCCCAGCTTCCAGCGCCAAACCGTCAACAAACAAATCAGAACCTGCAACATAGCTGGCCCAGAAGCCAGCGGTGCTACGCTACCTTGGTTGGTGTCTAAAGAATATTTGTTACCTGCAAAAAGTATCCCCAGCCTCGCACATGTTCGCTTTTAATTGTTCCATGTGTGTGTGTTCTTTTCAAACAGTGGCGGGGTGTCAGATATAAAAGGGGATACAGACTCTACTCGCACAGTAGAGTTCAATAAAGAGCCACTGACTCTGGCTATTTTGGGAAGTACCAAGTTGCACTTCCGATCCCCTCCTTACGCCGCCCCTGGTCAGCAATGAATCAGTGCCGGCTACTGTGACGTCTCTAACACTCATTCAACTCTCTTTTTCTGACTAAAAACTTACCAATCATTACATCAGCTAAAAAACCTGGAGATACGCGCTCCAAAACAGGGACAGATAAAAAGTCTTCTCCCGAAAGTGCCCACTGCTTTCTATCCAATTGTTCAAATAGCAAGAAACAGTCAACGAAACCAGATACCGAAAAATCATTTGACTGATTGCCACTCGACTTGCATACGTAGCAGAAATTCCCCCATTCGAAATTCAAATATTATTGATTTTTTCACATCGATTTTCAGGCAGCCAAGATGAAGAAGGAGAAAAAGGAAAAACCGGCCGGTGCAGGTGACAGTCGCAAGGGTAAGCGTTTCTAAAACTTCCACAAACAACACAGCTCTAACTTCCATATACGCACCATAACAGAACTGAATCCCCTGCCGAAGTACATCGAGGAGCGCAACGTCTTTTGGGACAAGTGCAAGGCAGAGTACCTGGCCGAACTGGCGGCCAAGCCACGCGAGGCCATTAAAGTAACGCTGCCCGATGGCAAGCAGGTGGATGCCACTTCCTGGGAGACCACCCCATACGAGGTGGCTCGCGGCATTAGTCAAGGACTGGCCGACAACACTGTCATCTCAAAGGTGAACGGTGAGGTGTGGGATCTGGACCGTGTTCTCGAAGGCAACTGCACCCTGCAGCTACTCAAGTTCGACGACCCAGAGGCGCAGGCCGTCTTCTGGCACAGCTCCGCCCACATCATGGGAGAAGCCATGGAACGCATCTACGGCGGACATCTGTGTTACGGACCGCCAATTGAAAACGGCTTCTACTACGATATGCATCTGGAGGGAGAAGGCGTAAGCAATCACTTTTAACTCTCACACCTTAATCTTTGACTCAACATCCTTGGTTTTAGATTTCTACCAACGACTATGGTACCATGGAGTCGCTGGTCAAGCAGATAGTTAAGGAGAAGCAGAACTTTGAGCGTCTGGAAATGAAAAAGTCTGACCTCCTGGAGATGTTCAAGTATAACGAGTTCAAGGTCCGCATTCTCAACGAGAAGGTGACCAGCGATCGCACCACCGTTTACAAATGTGGTTCATTGATCGATCTCTGCCGCGGACCTCATGTCCGCCACACTGGCAAGGTTAAGGCTCCTGAAGATCACCAAAAACTCCTCCACCTACTGGGAAGGCAAGGCCGATGCTGAGACCCTGCAACGTGTCTATGGTATTTCGTTCCCCGATCCCAAGCAACTCAAGGAATGGGAAAAACTGCAGGAGGAGGCGGCCAAGCGAGATCACCGCAAGATCGGTCGGGAACAGGAACTTTTCTTCTTCCACGAGCTTTCACCCGGCTCGTGCTTCTTCCAGCCGCGTGGAGCACACATCTACAACACTCTAATGAACTTTATCAAGTCGGAGTATAGGAAGCGTGGCTTCCAGGAAGTCATCTCCCCAAACATCTACAACGCCAAGCTGTGGATGACTTCTGGTCACTGGCAGCACTATGCCGAAAACATGTTCTCTTTCGAGGTAGAAAAGGAGAAGTTCGCACTCAAGCCCATGAACTGTCCGGGCCATTGTCTCATCTTCGACAACCGCAACCGATCGTGGCGTGAGCTTCCTCTCCGCATGGCTGACTTTGGGGTGCTGCATCGTAACGAACTCTCCGGTGCCTTGACAGGATTGACCCGTGTGCGTCGCTTCCAGCAAGACGATGCTCACATCTTTTGCGCGCCCGAGCAGATCAAGAGCGAGATGAAGGGTTGCCTGGAGTTCCTGAAGCATGTGTACACCATTTTCGGCTTTTCCTTCCAGCTTGTGCTGTCCACTCGCCCCGAAAAGTATTTGGGCGAACTGGAGCAGTGGAACGATGCTGAGAAAGCGCTGGCTGAATCTCTGAACGAGTTCGGAATGCCATGGAAGGAGAACCCAGGAGATGGCGCCTTCTACGGACCCAAGATTGATATTACTATTATGGATGCTCTAAAACGCGCTCACCAGTGCGCTACCATCCAGCTGGACTTCCAGTTGCCCATTCGCTTCAATCTTAACTACATCGCCGACGATGGTGAGAAGAAGCGGCCGGTGATCATCCACCGAGCCATCCTTGGCTCCGTGGAGCGAATGATTGCAATTCTCACGGAGAACTTTGCTGGCAAGTGGCCCTTCTGGCTTTCGCCGCGCCAGGTTATGGTGGTCCCAGTTGGCCCTGCCTACGACCAGTACGCCCAGTCTGTCCGAGATCAGCTTCACGATGCCGGATTTATGAGCGAAGCCGATTGTGATGCCGGGGACACCATGAACAAGAAGATTCGTAATGCTCAGCTGGCGCAGTTCAACTTCATCCTGGTTGTGGGTGACAAGGAGCGATCCTCGAACACGGTTAACGTGCGCACCCGGGACAACAAGGTGCACGGCGAGGTATCTGTAGCCGAGCTCATCACCAAGCTGCAGAAGATCCGGGACGAGTTCATCGCCAACGAAGACAACTTTTAGAAAATAGCAAATGCTTTCTCTATTTATCTAACGTATACTTAATATTTGCATTGCAAAGCAAGCCGCATTTTTTGTTCTTTCGATATATTTACGCTTATGAAACCGGAATTCACAAATAAAATCACAACCAAAACGACAGAAGATTGTTTGCTCGATGGTGGTACCATTATTTCTGATTACTTTGATAATTTTTGAAATGATATGAAATATTTTACTGTAAAACGGAAAATTACTTCCGTAACTGTTCCCAAATATGTGATTTTTATTGGGGTATCGGATGAGGAAGTGGTCGTGACGAAGAGTACTCCAACCATTAAGTTTCCATTAAAAAATTTTATAAATGCCGATAAGATAGGGCACCCCATTTTGGTAAAAAATAGGGCGAGATATGGGTGCAAATAGGATGACTCATGCAGGTTTTTTTTAGTTTTTAATTTATTGCTAATATTGTGTATATTTTCATTTTCATAATTTGATTTATTAAAAATTGCATTCATAGTTTTATGTTTTTATTCAAGTATCAATTTTGTAAGCTTATGCTTTTCGCGTAAAAAATGCACAAAGTTCTCTCGCTAATCGAAGCAAAAATCGTTAATAATATTGTTAAGTGTTTATCAGCTCGTGCTGCATGCCTGCCTGCTGTCTATTTTCCGTCTGTTTTAGGTTTGTCATAAAAATACATATTATATATCTGTGTATATTTATTCATAAGATGCACGTGGCCAAGTCCTATGCCATCCAAAGTTCCAGTTGCAGTCGTTCGCTGTGCTAAAAAAACCGAAAACGGGCCAAATGGGCGAAACAAAAGCCGCTAAACAGAACGAGGCTAAAAATGGAATCTATTGCACTGAACACAGGCTGGCTGCGTGGTATCTACGATTGTTTGGTTAGCTGCTGCTCTTGCTGCTACGGGAGATGGCCAAAAATTGGAATGTTGCAGGATTCGGACCTTCGACATAAGTACATGAAGCTGCTTGGATTTTTCTTTTTTTTTTGTTTCAAGGGAGTTACGGAAATGCACAACACTATATTCTGGGGGCTTAGCTCGCAAATATCTCTCTGATCTTGATCCCTGATCTCGTGTCAATAAGTTAGCTTCGCCTACTTTAGGGATTAGCTAATTAATTAGTTAGCCGATTTCGTTAATTGTTGTTTAGTCTATTTGCTTTTGCTATCATTTTTTACTTTATAAATAAACTTAAACATAAAGTTGTGTATGTGTGTGTATATAGAAGATGTTGGGGGCTTGCTCGTCCAGTGTTGTTTGTTGGAATCCACCGCTGATCCAGCCACATACACCTACACCTGTGTACACCCGTTGCCAGCGCGTGTGAAATGCTCTTGTTGGTTGAACTGCTTCTGCTTCAGCTTCAGCTTTGAGGGAGGTTGGTTCGGGATTGGGTTGGATTGGATTGGATCGGGTTAGCTACTTCTAGCAGGCGCATCCGCCCTCGGGGTCCTTCGTCTCGTTGGGCGAGTCCTTCAGCACCACCTCCTGCATGTCCTCGGAGGGTTTGTTCTCAGTCGAGTCCATGCCGGGCAGAGCCGCCGCCACTCGTCGGAATAGCTGCTTCACATTGTAACCGGCCTTGGCGCTCGTCTCGATGAACATCACATTCAGTTCCTTGGCCTTGCGCTCGCCCTCCTCCGTGGAGACTTGTCGCTTGTCCGACAGATCCGTCTTGTTTCCCACCAGCATGATGATTACGTCGCTACCTCGTTCCGTGCGTACGTCGTCTATCCATTTGGAGGTTTGGTGAAACGAGTTCGTGTTGGTGATGTCGTACACGACCACGGCGACGGTAGAGTCGCGAATGTAGGAGGGGATCAGCGACCGAAAGCGCTCCTGGCCCGCCGTGTCCCACAACTGCAGGCGGACGGTGCGGTCCTCCAGGTACATGGTCTTCGATAGGAAGTCAATGCCGATCGTCGCCTGGTACGTGTTGTCGAAGCTGTCGTACATGAAACGCGTAATCAGCGAGGTCTTTCCCACGCTCTGCTCCCCCAGGAAGACAAGCTTGAACTTCCGCAGCGGATTACCGAAGTCGCCGGATGACATGTCGCCTTCTTCTTCTACTTTCTTCTAGATTTGCTTCGCACTTTTGGCCGTGCAACTCTCGTACGTGTCTACTTTTTCTTAATTGCGGGTTGGCTGACCTCTCTCCGCTCTTCCGTTCCTCTCACCCAAAGCTGTATGTCCCTCTCCCTCTCTCCGCTCTGTTGATATGGGCTGGGCTACGATTTTTCCGTTTAATCCTCAGCTTTTAGCACTGCGTTTGCTTTGATCAGCCTGATCCTGGTATACCGACGGAGTTGCTTACGATTCCGGCCAGCGGCAATTCCGGTTTGCGGTTATAATGGCTGTATAAATTACTTGTTCGTCGTGAAAAAATTGCAGGCCAGCAAATCGTCTCCTCTTCTTCTTCACTTCTGAGTCAGTTGCTGTGTGACCGCTCTTCGGAAAATACCGCACAAAAAATACCAGCTCCTGAAGAATAAAACCGTGAATAGACAAACGGTGACTGGAAACAGTGACTTTCAAATATCATCAATTCCAAAGCTTGCGAAAACAAGTCAACAAACTTGAGATATCTAGAATGTTTATTGACACAGTCTATCTGTGGGCAAGTGCTCCCTCCCTAGCAGTTCCTTTGGGTATCTCCGCTCGCGAGCTTAATCTAAAATTATAATAAGCGCTTATCTGAAGAACACGGGCGTTAATTGGAAGTCCTTATCTTCTAGCGAATTTGGTATCGCGAATTAATTTAAACGGCCACCAAATAACGGTCAATGTAAGCAGTTCTCAGAAAACTATGATTGCGAACGGACAGCAAACAAAGTCGAACCATCGCCCGTTGGCCAGTGTCGTGCTTCTGGTCCTGGGTCTTTGCCAGGCCACTGCCGGAGTAGGTATCGCGCAGCCGAATGGAAGAGTGGTGGGTGGAACGGCAGCCGCTGCCAACAGTGCTCCCTATGCGGTCTCCATGCAGTATGAAGCAACTCACTACTGTGCCGGCAGCATCCTGAATGCCAACTGGGTGGTAACGGCTGCCCACTGTCTGATGAACAGCGCTCAGGTCCTGGGAAGTACCCTGGTGGCCGGCAGCATTGCAGTGGCGGGAACTGCCAGTACCACGCAGACCCGGAGCATCACCTACTTTGTGGTCAACGATTTGTACACTGGTGGAACCGTGCCGTACGACATCGGTCTCGTCTACACTCCCACCGCCTTCGTTTGGACTGCGGCTGTGGCCCCCGTGACGCTGCCGTCTTCAGGTGTGGTGCCGACTGGAACAGCCACTCTATATGGATGGGGAAGCACCAGCACAACAAATACCGCCTCCTATCCCGCGACCCTTCAGGTGGCCTCCAACCTGCCCATTATCAGTTTGACTTCCTGTGAGGCAGCTTTGGGCACCAAGGGTAGTGACGTCCACTCGACTAATTTATGCACGGGTCCCCTAACCGGAGGCGTCAGCATCTGCACATCCGACTCTGGAGGTCCTCTGGTGCAGAATAACGTCCTTATCGGCATAGTGTCCTGGGGTAAACTTCCGTGCGGACAAGCCAACTCTCCGTCGGTTTATGTACAAGTATCATCCTTTATTTCGTGGATTTCGAGCAACCAAGTGGCTCCATAAATAACACGAATTTAATTTTTTATTATCAATAAAAGCAGCAAAGTGTATTTTATTTTTAAAATAATAGGGGGCTTTTGTAAAGTGTTGTAAATTTAAATCTTAAAGCTTTCTTAAAATCCAAATGAGTAGTAAATTTTGGTAGTTTTTCGTAGAACAGCAATTGCTTAACTTATTAAATGATATATTTATTGATAACCGTTTCATTTCTTACTTTATGAGTATTACACTAATCGTAAATTCCCCCAAGATAAGGGGATATGACGTATTTCTTCGGTAAATCTTATCACGAATGTCATCTTGATGCAGTTGCGAAAGGACATTGTATGAGTTCAAGAATCTACTCTCAGACTCTCAGAATTTACTAATTTTCAGGAAATATATTATTTAATATAATTATTAGAGCTCTCAAGCTTTTTGACAAACCGCAGTCTGAGTACCACGCTTTTGTTTATGATATTTAAGCAAAAAAATCTCAGACGAAGCCTAATCTAAAATTGTTGAAGGGGTTTTTTATGATAAGCCCTAAATGAAATTTCTTATCAAGCGTTCTGCCGGCGCTAGTGGAATTGGTATCATTATTTGATTTAAAAAGGCTTCGATAGAACCTTTGTAAGTAGTTTCGAAAAAGCTGCCGACCAGAAATGTGGAAAAATCGCTCTCTTTTATATATTGCAGTCCTGCTCCTAGGATTCTGCCATTTCTCTGGGGAAGTCCAAGCCCAAACCAGTCCTGAAGGACGAGTTGTGGGTGGGACGGCGGCGGCGGTGAATAGTGCTCCCTACATAGTGTCCATTCAGTACAAGGGCACCCACTACTGCGCGGCCAGCATCCTGAATGCCCACTGGCTGGTAACTGCCGCTCACTGCCTTTCCAATCAAGCCCAGGTCCTGGCAAGCACCTTGGTGGCCGGCAGCATCGAGGTGGCGGGCACTGCAAGCACCACCCAGAAGCGTCCCATCTCATACTTTGTGATTAATGACTTGTACACTGGCGGAGCCGTGCCCTATGACATCGGATTGATCTACACACCTACCGCCTTCGTTTGGTCGGCAGCAGTGGCTGCCGTGAAACTACCATCTGCCGGCCAAGTGCCAACCGGATCTGCCAATCTTTACGGTTGGGGCAGCACCAGCAAAGGCCAGACACCGTCTTTCCCCAAGACGCTCCAGGTAGCCAAGAACATACCCATCATTAAACTGGATGCCTGTGCAAAAGCTTTGGGCACCAAGGGCAGGGATGTTCATTCAACCAACCTGTGCACGGGTCCTCTTGACGGAGGAATCAGCATTTGTTCCGCGGACTCTGGCGGCCCACTCGTGCAAAATAACGTCCTTATCGGAATAGTCTCCTGGGGAAAGATACCATGTGGCTCTGCCAACTCGCCATCTGTCTATGTACAAGTCTCGTCATTCATCTCTTGGATATCCAAAAACCAAGTGATCCGATAAAACCCAAAAAAGTATACCATCATACATAACAAAAATAATAAAATGAACCAAAGGGAACATAAATTGCAAATATGAAAGTTTTAGATTTGGCTAGATTGGTTTAGATTTTATGCACTAACCTTGAACCTAACTCCTCCATTGAAACCTATAGCCCAACCAATGCAAAGTCGTTGATTAACAGGAAAAACAATGGATATATTAAGCAAAAAGCGTCAACAAAGAACAATAATCATAAAGAAATATTTAAGTTGTGGTGCCTGGGTCGCTATAGTTGATCGCTATCGGTCCCTATCGTATCTTCCGGTTTGCTGTACGCGGATCCGTAAGATATTTGCGTGCTTCGAAGCACGTGACTTGGATTCCTGCTGGCCTCCTTGTCAATGAAACAGTAGTGTGGGTCAATGCCCACAAGGTAGGTCGGTATTTCGCCACGCCCCTTCACGAAGGTTAAGCCACGAAAATTGCATTTGATGCCGTAGTCCTGGAGAATATGTGCCGACTCCTCGGTGACCTGGATGTTGTCCGGCAGGCCGGTGGTCTGCATTCGCGAGGCCATGTTCACAGCATTGCCCCAGATGTCGTAGTGTGGCTGCGAGGCACCCACAATGCCGGCCATCACCTCGCCACTGGACAGGCCAATGGTGATCGATCCGTGCTCTTGGCCTTGGCTTTCCAAGCATTTGGACAGTGTGCGCATCATGTCAAGCGCAAAGGAAGCTAGGACGAATACCACCTCGTCCAACTCATCGCTGTCGGAACCATCATGGTTCCTTGCTAGCGGCAAGGCCAAAAGCTTTGCCAGGTGTGGAGACGCTAAAATTTATATGAGATTTATTTCAATTACAAAGCATACGGATGAATAGAGGATACCATGGACGTTCGAAGATCGAGACTTGATGCTGACCGCTCCCGCAAAGTTAAGGTCCAGCCCGCAAGCAGCCATGTATGTGCATCCAACCACCTTGATTTTCTCAACCACGTAGAATTCCTTGTAGTAAAGTAGCTGTTCCAATATTTATAAATACAACAATTGATATACGATACAGGTATAAAGTATCATCTTACCAAAATATCAAATTCGGTAATAATGTCGTTCAGTAATCGCAAGTTTCTTAAGTCCATTTGAAAATTCATTAACATAGCAAACATGACTGAAACCATTTGGTAATTTTCATAGTACAACTCGTGTTTAGCTAATGAAGTCAGATAGACGTTTACTGTAGAAAAACAAATATAATTAGTATTAAATTATCACAAAACGGGAAAGAAATGCTAACTCTGAGTTTAATCCTATTCAAAATAGAGTACTTTTATAAACTGTCTGATCCGAAAGAAATCTTCTGTGAATTATCTCTAGGAAATGGATTTTGAATAACTTTAGGATACTACCAGGAATGGTTGTTAGAAAACAAGGATATATATGCTTAAAAAAATTCCCTAGCTTAACTTTTGTTTAAAAAAAAAAAAAACATTGAAACTTACATACGTTTATTTTATGAATATATTTAAATCCAATTAGGAATAACTTACTGACGTGGGCTGGCAAAATGTTATGAAGAATAATGGTAATCGATTGGTTAGTTAAAACAGCATCGCTTTGTTTCCTTTTAAGCTCCTGCCGCCATCTGAAAATTGTTCAGATTTAACAGTATTAATTAAAAGTTAATTCAAGTAAAGTCATTGACTTACTTAAAGTTCACTTTGCTGGCAAAGGTGGTCATTCGCTCTTTCTGGTACACAGTTAATATGGTGACCAGAATCTGCATGGTGTGGGCATACTCCGCAGGAAGGGAAGGAGTTGAGGTAAAGCTGTGGTGGAAGACAATCCTGAGGTGAAGGTTAACCAATAATAGGTAAGCGCCGGACAATAGAAAGGCAACCAGAGTCTTAAGTTTCAAAGGAATGCGCGTGAAGGTGAAGACCATGCATATAAATATGGACATCATATTGGTGATAACCCATGGATGAAAACACGCATCGTTTGGTGCCTCATAGTGAAATATTTTGTGCTCTATTTCATCCAAAATAAACCTGTTTTGATCACATAAAATCTAAAAAAAATGCCCTCGTTAGGACTAGTATTAAGTAGATTTTTCTACTTACCAAAATCAAAGCAATGATGGTACCATGCGATAATGTGATAAATATGTAGAGTCCAACGCGAATCTCAAGGTTCTCTTGAATTTTGTTGATCAAGTAGAATAAGAAACAACTGAACCTATTGTAAACTCGGTTCCTTTTGGGTTTTATTTGATTTCGGGTCCAGCACATCTTCTTGTACCAGGCAATAAAGGTCAGAATACCGAAGAAAATAATAATCAAGTAATTTACTATAGTGCAGAGAATGCACCTGGAGGTGTTACTATCAAATTGAAGAATGACCAACAGGCATCCAATCAAATAGGCCAGCAACATACTGTACTTGAATATGTAGTCCCTTTGGTTTATATACAATTTCTCCATTTCCTTGTCTTTATAGGTCAGACACAGGTTGGATAGATTTGGCATATCAGATGGCTGGCAGCCCCGGCGCAGGGAGCCGAAGCTGTGGAAAGGTTTATAAAAATAATCAGTAATTGTCATTGAAATTAGAATAATTTCATTGGTATAATAGTAATTGAACTGTTTAGTTGATGCTCAAACAAAAACGTACTTCCAACGAAATACAGGCATTTTTTTATATTCTTGGCGAAGCTCTTCCTGAAAAACAAGTTCAGAAGATTCGTCCCGAGTTGCATTGATTGGGGACTTAAACCTGACCAAAGAGAACATTCTAACATTGTGCCCATTTTTGAAATCGGTACTACTCAAATTTTTCATTCTGAGTATATAGGTTTCCACTTTGTGTTTTACTAATAAGGGATGCTCCGCCGCCCAAGATGGACCTGGCTCAATTTCATATGGCTCCTCCTCAATGTAACTTAAGGTGCGGTTACTGATATGAACACATCCAGGTAGTCCAGTGGATTCTAAAACATTGGCGATGTTGGCATCAGTTCCTGAAAAAAAATCAAAGCCCCAATGGAGAACGTAACATAATCATAGCCTAGTCATAAATCTCACCCCAAATGTCAAACTGCAGCTTAGCCTCACCAAGCACACCTGAGAATATCAATCCAGAGTGGACACCAATCCTCATACTTATATCCAAATCATATATACCCCTTAAAAATGCATTATATAGATTTAAAAATTACGATTTAAAGAGAGTAATCTAGGAGTATTACCGAACTTCCTGGATATTGGAAATCATGGCGAAGCCAAGGTCCACACAGTTTTGCGCGTGATCGGGATCTACTTCGGTGATTCCCGCAACGCAATAATAACAGTCCCCTAAAAACTTGATACGCTCCGCTCGGAACGTGGCGGCAGCCATATCGAATCGCCCGTAAAGATCATGAAGGATAATTACCAGAGTCTCCACATTGATCGTGGTGGTAAGTTGCGTGTAGTTGACGACATCGGCATAGAGAATACTGACCTCAGGATGGATCTGGACTGCCATGGAGCGTTGCAGGCTGGTGACCGTCTTGGTGCCCTGTTGGACCAGAGTGATTTTGTTTCGAATTTCCGACTGAAGAGACTTTGAGATCAATGGAGGCAATATGCTGTCGACGAGAACCTTTTCGTGCCGTCTGGCATTCCGAAGCATAAGTTCCTCCGTTACATATTGGTGGCGGTCTAGGAATGATGACCGGACCATCATATTGGTAGTTATGCGGTAGAAAATGCCCATCAGATTAAGGCACACATAGTGGGTGGCATTTATTATGTAACTTCCATTCGTTGTAATGCTGGACACTTTTTGCTGGAGTACCGGAGTCATGAACACTACAAAGTGGACCATGTACACAAGGGATGCTACCGTTCCCAGCACCAGGACGCGCCGAACAGAAAGTATCGGCAGGTACATGTAGATCACAAAGACAATGTATACGTCATAGAAGGAGGCCACTACCAAGTCTGTGTTTGCATAGTAGTGATATATTGCGGTGATTATGTCTGAAGGGGGGTGACATATATTATGTACCTTTAAAAGTTTACAAAATTACACTAAAAAGGTGTACATACCCGCAGCAAGCAAAATTAAAGCTGCTAGTACTGATGTGAATGACATTACCCAATTGTGTCGCGCCACAAACTTTTCACAGAAGTTAATACTTAGAATAGACAACAGCAATATCGCACATCCTGAATAAACACAGATATCAAGGTAGACCATTTGCTTTACCTAGAAAATTAGATTAATTAAAGCCTTTTTATGTATAAAGATTATAAATAATGTTGCTAACTTCGGCAAATACGAGTAGTAAAGCACAATGGCCTACAGTAACCAAAATGTGAAGCACAAAGAAGATGCTCAGGTAACTTCTCCACAGGCGGATTTGATACGAATCAAATTCTTTAGTCAATCCCAGTTCTTCCACTCTTTGCTGCAGGTGACAAATTTTGAACTTTCAGTTGGGGCTTAAATCGAATATTACCTTGAGATAAAGAGGATCCCACATGTGTTCCCTGGCATAATTTAGAGTGCACCTTGATGCATCCAACGCAATGTTCAATGCACTTGACGACCTGATTTGGGAATGCATTTTTATATATAATAGTTTATAGTTCCTGAAAACCTTGAAGAAGTTTCTGGATTGAAAACTTTCTAAACGTTTGGACTGAACTGAAAAGAACAAACGTAAAACCAAATGCCTACTACTTCAAATCAAAACAAACTTTGGTTCAGCTTTTTCTATTTAGGTAGAGTATTTTCACAATTCAATAACATTGAAATTATTTTATAAAAAAAGAAACAAAAAGCTTCAAACTGCCCTGTGGAGGCCGCTACATATCGCTATCGTATTTTGTGAGTCTGTCGTGCGATTTGGTATATGCGGATGAGAGGGAAATATTCGTACTACGAAGCATGTGACTTGGATTTCGATCGTGTTTCGCATCCTGGAAACAATTATTTTCGTCAATGCCCACAAGGTAGGTCGGTATATTCCCACGCCCCTTCACGAAGGTTAAGCCACGAAAATTGCATTGGATGCCAAAGTCCTGGAGAATATTTGCCGACTCCTCGGTGACCTGGATGTTGTCCGGCAGGCCGGTGGTCTGCATTCGCGAGGCCATGTTCACAGCGTTGCCCCAGATGTCGTAGTGTGGCTGCGAGGCACCCACAATGCCGGCCATCACCTCGCCACTGGACAAGCCAATGGTGATCGATCCGCTGCACACGCTTATGTTGTCGTTGAGTTGGTGGTGACTTTGTTTGCATTTGGACAGTGTCCGCATCATGTCAAGCGCAAATGAGGCCAGGACAAATACCACCTCGTCCATGTCATCCTCCGAATCATCACCCGAATCACCCACGGGTAGGCTCAACAACTTTCCTCTGCTTGAAGACGCTAAAATTACAAGCATTTAATTTTTTTTAAATTTAATTTCATACTACACGGACAAGCGTACCATTTAGGTTCGACATCCGGGTCTTAATGTTGACCGATTCCGCAAAGTTAAGGTCCAGCCCGCAAGCGGCCATGTATGTGCATCCAACAACCTTAATCTTCTCAACAACGTAGTATTGCTTGTAGTAAAGTAGCTATAATAATCATAATTTAAAAATAATATTGTTATATTTAATATGATTTTCCATCTTACCAATATATCGAATTCGCTAATAATATCGTTAAGTATTCGCAGGTTTTTCAAGTCCATTTGAAAATTCATTAACATAGCAAACATGACTGAAACCATTTGGTAATTTTCATAGTACAACTCGTGTTTAGCTAATGAATTTAGATAGACGTTTACTGCAGAAGGAATAAAGGGTATTGTTTATTAATATTTAAAACTAGATAGCAATTAATTAAATAAATATTAATCCTGTTTAAAAATAACTTACTGACATGCGCAGGCAAAATGTTATGAAGAAGAATGGTGATCGATTGGTTTGTTAAAGCTGCATCGCTTTGTTTCTTCTCAAGGTCCTTTCGCACTCTAAAAATTGTAAAGATTGTGCCGATTTAATTTGAAGTTAATTCGAGATGAGTCCAAAACATACTTAAAGTTCACTTTGCTGGAGAAGGTGGTCATTCGCTCTTTCTGGTAGACAGTTAATACGGTTACAAGAATCTGCAAGGTGTGGGCATATTGCGCAGGTAGGGAAGGACTTGAGGAGAAGCTGTGGTGGAAGACGTACTGCAGGTGAAGGTTGACCAGTATTAGGTATCCGGAGGACAATATAGCGGCAATGATTGACTTTACGGCCAAGGGAATATTGGTGAAAGTAAAGGCCATGCATATTAATATGGACATCATATCGGTGAAAACCCATGGATGAAAACATGGATCATCCGGCGCCTCATAGTGGAATATCTTGTGCTCTATTTCACTCAGATTAAAACTGTCTTGATCACATAAAAGCTGAAAAACAACAGACAATCCATACCAGACTCTAAGGATTAGTATCAATACTTCTTCCATAAATTTTTTCACCTACCAAAATTAAAGTAATGATGGTTCCATGCGACAATATAACAAATAAGTAAAGTCCAATGCGAATCTTGAGGGAGCTTTGAATTTTGTTTAGCAGGTAGAATATGAAACAACTGAACCTATTATAAGTTGAGGTATCTTTGGGATCCATTTGATTTCGGGCCCAGCACATTTTCTTGTACCAGGCAATAAAGGTCAAAGCAACGAACATAATAATTAAAATGGTGTTTACCACAGTGCAGACAAGGCACTGACTGGTATCTGGATTAACTTCAAGAACTAACAGCAAACATCCAATCGCACAGGCTACCAACATACTGTATTTAAACATGTAGTCCCTTTGATTTTTATACAATTTCTCCATATCCTTGTCTTTGTAGGTCAGACACAGATTGGTTAAATTTGGGTCATTAGATTCCGGTTCAGGCTGGCGACGGATATACCTATTCAACAAGGTGCGTTTTAGATTTTTAATCAAATAACAAATTAAGTTTCTTTAAAAAAAAACCTTACTCCCATCGAAATACGGGCATTTTTTTAAATTCTTCGTGAAGCTCTTCCTGAAACAAAGCTTCTAAAGCTTCGTCTTTAATTTCGGAATCTGTATCCATTAGTGGCCTAATCTTTACAAAAGAGAACACGCTAGTACCGCCATCAAGTATTTCGGATTCATTGAAACGCGTATTATTCCATCTGAGTATATAGGTTTCCACTCTGTTCTTCATTAATAAGGGATGTTCCGCCGCCCAAGATGGACCTGGCTCAATGTCATATGCCTTCGCATCAAGGTGATTTAATGTGTGGCTACTGATGTGAATGCAACCAGGCAGCCCAGTGGATTCTAAAACATTGGCAATAGTTACATCAGTGCCTAACAAAAATCAGGCACCAATGGATAAATAAAACAAAACAATAAAAGTCTCTTAAATCTCACCCCAAATGTCAAACTGCAGCTTAGCCTCACCAAGCACACCTGCTAATATCGATCCAGAATGAACACCAATACGCATATCAATATCCACATTATATATATTTCTAAAAAATACACAAAAATTAATTTTGATTTAAAAATTATCTATAAAACTCACCGAATTTCCTGGATATGGGAGATCATGGCGAATCCAAGGTCTACACAATTTTTCGCGTGATCAGGATCTGCTTCAGTAATCCCCGCAACACAGTAATAACAGTCTCCCAAAAACTTAATCCGCTGAACGCGGAACACGACGGCCGCCTTGTCGAATCTCCCATAGAGATCGTGAAGAATATTCATCAGAGTCTCTACCTCAAGGGTGGTGGTAAGGTGGGTGTAGTTGACGACATCAGCATAGAGAATGCTGACTTCTGGGTGGATCTGAACTGCCATAAAGCGTTGCATGGAGGTGATTGCTGCCCTGTTCCCGTGTTGAACCATAGTGATCCTCTTTCTAATTTCCGACTGAAGAGATTTTGAAATCTGAGGAGGCATTATGCTCTGGACAAGAGCCTTTTCCTGCCACCTAGCATTCCGTAGCCACAGTTCCTCCTTTACATACTGATGGCGGTCCAGGAAGGATGATTGGACCATCATATTGGTAGTTATGCGGTAGAAAATGCCTACCATGTTGAGGCATACGTAGTGGGCGGCATCTATGAACACATTTACGCTCTCTAACCTGGGAGTCATGAATAGTAAATAGTATACCGTGTATACGAAGGATGTCACCGTTCCAAGCACTATGGCCGGCCAATCAGAAGGTATCGGCAGGTACATGTAAATCACAAGGACAACGTATACGTCAAAGTATGAGCCTACTACCAATTCCGGGAACTGATTATAATGAAAGGCTGCAGGAATTTTGTCTGAAGCCAGTTGCAATGTTTAAAATGTATTATTAAAATTAAAGCATTATAAAGCAAGAAACATACCCGCAGAAAGCAAAATTATAGCGGCTAATACCGAGGTAAATAAAATTACCCAATTGTGTCGCGCCACAAACTTTTCACAGAAATTAACACTCAGAATAGACAACAGCAATACCGCACATCCTAAATAAACACAGACATCAACGTAGACCATTTTCTTTACCTAGAAAATTAAAATAATTTAAGCCTTTTTATGTATAAAGATTATAAATAATGTTGCTAACTTCGGAACACACAAGTAATAAAGTGCAATGGATCGCAGTGACCAAAATATGAACCACAAAGAAGATGTTCAAGTAACTTCTCCACAGGCGTATTTGATACAAGTTAAACTCTTTAGTTAATCCAAGTTCTTGGACTTTTTGCTGCAGATGACAGTTTGTTAAGTTAAAGTTTAAGTTGTTAAATTTTTATAAAATCGTATATTACCTTGAGATAAAACGGATCCCACATGTGTTCCCTGGCATAATTAAGATTGCACCTTTTCTCTAACCCAAACATTAAGGTGGAACGGTTTCTTGAGGTATGCATTTTTTTTATTTTTTAAACAACTTATCAGTTTGGCTTCTGATTTCGAAAATCTAACCGTTTTAATTGGAAACGTAAAACCATGTGCCTACTCCAGCCATATATATACATATATGTAGATTGACCATAAAAATTCAGTTTTTAAAAATCGAGCAGTAAAGCTTTTATTCAGTTTTTATGTTGAGGGGATTACGATTTTATTAAAAGTCATATTATTAAAATGGACAAGAGCTAGCTTATAAACCAAGCTTAAGCCTAACATGTTTTAAGTTGTAACGGTTTTTAAAAACATATTTTTCAATATGGTCTGTCTGAAAAAAAACTATCGATGGTGATGAGCTTTTATCCGATGAGCACCCCATTTAGAGTCCATCGATAGTTCGATATATTGTCTTCATATTCTGATACGATTACGATATACGACTGCGACGGGCGAAAAAGAGAACGAATTCCAATAATTGCAATTAGCAGAAGACTATCAAAATTTAAGAAATTCAACATGGAAGTGGAAAGCCCCGAGCACACCCGCGAGTTCGCTGAGGTGGATATAAACAATGGGGACAACGGAGTGGAATCCTCCGACGAGGAGGAGGAAGTGCCTGCACCCGGTAGCATAACTTTGGCAGGGAACGACACCGATCTTTTCGTGTCGGCCATGAGCCCCAGCAGTATGGAACATGTAAGTGCGAGCCACCCATCAGGATGTACCCATCAATTGGCTCAAATTTCGAGGCGGCGCTCGCTTCATCTGTTTTCTTTATTATCACTAACGACTGTTGCTTTTGCTTTGTTTGCATCGGCGACGTCATGAGTACCGCCCACTGTTGCTCACAGTGGAGAGTACTGAACAATGCGTATACTCTGGGTTCATTAGCTGCTAGATTAAATCGAAGAATAACTTACTCTCTTCCAGCCGCTGCAAGAGGTCCTTACCGATGATGGGGACTATTTCATTAGCATTGTGGTGTCGGACCCGCAGAAAATAGGTGATGGGATGGGCTCCTATTTAGCATACAAGTGAGTCAATTTTCCTTATCTCGGTGCAATGCATGATAGCAAAATACGATCCACTTATCTAGGGTGACGACCAAGACAAACATTCCAAAATTCAAACGCTCCGAGTTCAGCACCCTTCGGCGCTTTAGCGACTTCTTGGGCATCCACGACCTTCTGGTGGGAAAGTACATGCGACAGGGTCGTATCATTCCGCCGGCTCCGTCCAAGAACATCATCGGCAGCACCAAGGTGAAAATTAGCCCGCAACAAAGCGAACCGGGCACACCAATGAACCAGGAGTGGGTCGAAATAAGGCGAGCGGCTCTGGAAAGGTTTGTTCACCGGACCGCCCAGCATCCCATTCTTCGCGTTGATTTGGACTTTATGAATTTCCTGGAGAGCGACCAGGAACTGCCACGCGCCGTCAACACTTCGGCTCTGAGTGGAGCCGGAGTTATTAGACTATTCAACAAAGTAGGTGAAACGGTGAACAAGATTACGTACAAAATGGACGAGAATGACCCTTGGTTTGATGATAAAATCACTGAAGTGGAGAGTCTAGACGCCCACTTACAAAAACTGCACAATGCTATGAAATCGCTGGTCACTTCGCGTCGAGAACTGTCGGCACTAACAGGCCTGGTGGCCAAATCGGCCGCTATGTTGAGCACATGCGAGGAGCACACAGGACTTTCGCGGGCTTTATCTAACCTGGCCGATGTGGAGGAGAAGATAGAGCTGTTACGCTCTGAGCAAGGCAACTCTGACTTCTTCATCCTTGCTGAGTTTATTAAGGATTACCTGGGCCTGTTCGGGGCTATAAAGTGCATTTTTCACGAGCGCGTAAAGGCTTTTCAAAATTGGCAGTATGCACAAATGCAGTTGTCGAAGCGCCGCGAGAACCGTGGACGGTTTGAGCTCGCCAATCGGACAGACAAGCTAGACCAAGCCCAGCAAGAAGTCGACGAAGTGAGTGCTCCATCTTATACAATTTATTAACCTAATATTGATTATATTTTTCTATCTTAGTGGCAGGGAAAAGTGCAAAGATGTCAGCAGCAATTCGACGATATTTCAGCAGAAATAAAGCGCGAAATGGAACGTTTTGAGTTGACCAGAGTTAAAGACTTTAAAGCTAATATTATCAAGTACATAGAAGACCAAATGGCGCATCAGCAGCAGGTAGGCATAAAATACAATCAAATCTTTACCAATAATTGAGCTTGTTTGTATTTTAGATCGTCAGCTATTGGGAGGCATTTGCGCCGTTTGCCCGTGAAATCGTTTAAATTAAACTGTATTACTACATTCTTCTCTTAATGCATTTCCAAAAGTTTTGAAAATCTAACAGCTATGCGCGCCATGAATACTTATTCAGCGGGACCAAAATTCCTTTTTGATCTAAAAAAAAATCTGGAGCTTTTAATTCGCAGTCAGCAATAATTATCTCATCATTTGGCACAGCTGTTCGCATTTCAATGAAATTGGTTTCAATTCCTCAAAGCATGAAAAAGTTGAACTTTATCGATGCATTCTACCAAGCTTATATCTCTTTATTTGTTTACAGTACATATTATCATGACTTTTATACATTCTAGGAAAAGTTGAAGAAGACGAATGTCTAAAAGTTTCTCATTCTTCAAACGTATTCGGTATTATAAAAAACAAAAGGCAATGTGGATCTTATTGTTATACTTATGAAATCAAAGAAGACTCATTGGCCATTTCCAAATTGAAGTTATGCCATTATAAATGGGGAAAACTCGTTTTCTTGTTTATTGTTGGTATAGTTATGTATTAATACATATATATATATATTTCTATTAAACATTTTGTATCATGACAATGAGTGCATTTTCAAGAATAAATTTGTAAATATGTATAGATGTAAATAGTAATGATCTTTTCCTTAAAGCAACAACCCCGGATGTCTCCTTATCTCCATGTAAATACCAACCCAGTAAATTATTGTTTCTGGATTCTATTTATTTGTAATATAGGACGGAAGTATCCAATTTGGAAACCATTCATCTTAAATTTAAGATTAAAAGCAAAGCAGGGTGGTGCTTTTTGGATTCCAATTGGAATTTCCAAGGTCATTGAGATAAATACACAAGGCCATTAAAAACAATTAACAAAAACTTTTAATTTTTACGGTCTTAAACTTTTTTTTTACTTCGTTACATTTAGATTCCATTTTAAAAATACATACATAGATGTATAGATATGTTTAATTTATTTATTAATTCATTTATTGAAACTTACGTTTGATTGAAATTAAGAATTTCAAATCACGCGGGTGTTCAAAAACACAGGGTGTCACGAAAAAAACACGACTTTTGTCCATCTCTAAGCACAGGGCTTTTGTCCATCACTAATCCAAACAGCCAATAGAAAGAAGAAGTGTTTAGTCATTTTCGTCATTTTGTTTCTGGAGTTTTCCAAAAAAAAAGGTTAAAGCTACTATATAAGATTCAATATTCTGACTCTCCTGAACAGTTTCGAAAAGTAGTCAAACATGGAGTTTCCCCATTTGGGACAGCACTGCAGCGAGTCAACATGCAACCGATTAGGTGAGTCGCAAAAAAAAACAGGAAGCAATAGCCAGCCAACTAATTGAATTAATTTCGTGTCTTGCTTAGATTTTTTACCTGTTAAGTGTGATTCATGTGATAAGGTCTTTTGCGCCTCGCACTATAATTACGAGCGGCACAGCTGCCCAGGAGCCCACAGGAAGAATGTGCAGGTGCCCATCTGCCCACTTTGCCGTGAACCCGTTCCGACCCCTCCGGGCGTGGAGCCCGACGTTACAGTGGGCCAGCACATCGACCAGCAGTGCAAGTCGGAAAGCAAAAAAATCTACACCAATCGATGCCATGCTAAAGGATGCAAGCGCAAGGAACTGGTTCCGGTCAAGTGCTCGCAGTGCCACCTCAACTTCTGCCTACGACATCGCCACACCAGCGACCACGACTGCCAGCCTGTCAGCCAGCAGGCACCAGCTACTACATCTCTAAGTGGAGCTTGGCAGTCCATATTTAAGTCCTCCGGATCGGACACACGTTCCATGGCTGCTCAAGCGGCGGAAAGGCGCAGGCAGACCAAATCAACCAACAATTCCAGCAACTCGAATCCCAGACCGCGACCTGTGCAGGCCGCACAAGTACAAAACATTCAGGGCAATATGGTGAGTTGCTCAATCCAATAATATTTATTTCAACTAATCGAAGCCACTTTTCAGAGCGAAGACGAGGCTCTAGCACGAGCTCTTGCTTTATCGATTATGGAGCAGGATGAAGCAGCAGGTCTTAATCGACAGCCAGGAGCTGCCAACTCCCAGCAAGTAACAGTGGGCGGCGGCGACAGCCAGCAGGGCACTGCCAAGGACAAGTGCCTGTTGTCCTAGTCCCTTATAGGATACTGCTCTTTCAAACATATCCATCACTTGACCAGCAGCTAAGAATCTGCCAAACTAATTTATGTTAATTCCCCAACCTGCAAACTGTTATCGTAAAATTTGTTGGTAATTTACTTCGACTTCGTCACATTCTAAGTGGTTTAGCAAAAATAAATCAATGTTAACTATACATAGGTTTCTTTTTTTGGAAAGGATAGAGTTGGATCTAATCGAGGAAACCGATGCATAACTCTAGACATAAATATGGTACAAGGTAAATAGATAACTTATATTGGATACATTGCATATTAGTCGGAATTGGCCTGCGGGGGGTTCTCTACTTCGGGTATCTCTTCAATCTTTTTTGGCGGGGGACCTTCGGCTGGCACTACTTCTACTTGGCCCTCCGGTTCCACCACCTTTGGTTCCTCCACCAAGTCCGATTTGTGGGAAACTTGTGAACTTAGTTTTCTGCCTTCTACTGAGGACGATGTACTAATTTTCCGGGCAGCTGCTGCAAAGCTAGCCACTCCCTCGGCTGCGAGAATACTGGCGCTTGAGAGTAAGATTGAGACCTGCTCGGCTGACGGGCAGCTTGTGATGATCATATCATCAGTAGAATAGCCATTCGTGGTGAGAAGTTGCTCAAGCTTAACAAACGATTGAATGATATTGTTCTGAAAGAAGAAACAATCTTAGTATGTGGATATTAAACCACTTAAAGTTCCAAACTTACGCGAATAGGTCGGAATATAATAAATTCCGTATCACGATTGCTTAAATAGAGTTGCATAGCCCGTTGGAGCACCGATAACTTGGCCTTGATCAGGCGCTGAGTCTCCTGGATAATGCTACTTATCTGCTGGGGACTCGCCCAGGGACTCTGCCTCAAAACATAGCTGCCCTTGGTGGGCTCGGATGATGGAGGCGTTGTGGCTTGCGTGGATTGAGCTAGCAGGCCCTGGGCTTTCTCCAGAAAAGTGACCAGCGGTCCTGCCAGCATGGTGACAGCGTCCTTGATGTACTTTTCGCACACTGTCTTCAGCTGGCGATCCACTTCTTTACGCGAATCTAGCAAGTGTTCCTTAATCTGCGGCGTTCCCTCTAGCAAAAATTCCAACAAGGCATTATTGCTGCCCATTGAGAAAAGCTGCTTTCGCTTTTGGAGCAATCCAAAGGCGGCCGTCTTGACTTTACTAAAGTCCAGAGAAGTTTCCTTCACCGTAAAGTCGACTCTAAATGGGGCTATTTGTTCCCGCAGTATGAGCAAGTGCTTGATCTCGAACAGTTCCCCATCAATGGGCGTCTTCGTGGCAGATATTTTTCCTCCTGCATGGGAAACGCTCTGAATGCAGAGCTTGAGCGCCTCCTGGGAAAGTCCCTGGAATATGGGTCGATCTACGCAGCGGTAGAGCCTCGAAAGACAAACCAAGGTGCGGCGCACTGTGGGATACCACATACCATGCAGATCTGCTGGGGAATCTGTGGAGAATCATTAGATAAATAAGGCATTTCAATCAATTTCCTCTGAAAACCTACTCATTTGCTTCACCCTGTAGGCGGTGTCGACACTTTCCGTCTCCACAACACTCGACACACTGGATATCATGGAGGCCCGCGAGTCAGAACGACGTAGTGGTGCTGGCTCTTGCAATGACAGGGCTATGCTCTATATTTATAAACAAAATGAATTAAGTGCTAGTGCCTCGATGAATATCCTCTTACCTCCATCATTTCTAGCTTCTCGGGATATGCCAAGTCCCCAGCAGAAGGATTAAAGTTCTGTATATCTGACTGTAGATACAAATGGGCTCGAAACACCAAACGCTCCTGCACATCCTGCAGTAGTTGATGGGCAATAGTAGCAAAGGCCTCCAACGCTGCAGCTATAGATAACCATTCATTTAAACTTTAATTTCTTTTATAAATTAAATCAATACACTTACGATTCTGCTGAACATGTTCTTCCAACATCTCTATGCGAAGAATTGAGCAGATCTCCGCCAGGGTTTCCAAGTGGTTTATGTGTATTATAAATGGACGCATTGTATCGTACAGTATAGTACACAATCCTTCAAGGTAAACCCTATAAAAGTTTAAGTGTTAATAATGCTATTAAAACATATATGGAGCAGCTCACGTGAGATGAGGAGCACCAGTGCTAAAGAACTGGTAGTACAAGCGTTGCTCATCCTGACAAACATGTACCAGGAAGGCACAGGCACTACGTGTCAGAGAACAGTGGTCTCCCTTGTGAAGTTCCTTGACGTTCTGAATGGATAGATTTACGGCTGGGGACATGACGCTGGCCCGCTGCGCCAAGTAATGCTGTTGCAAGTCCGCCATAAGTTGACCATATTCGTGGCTGTTCTCCACTCGCGCCTCTATAAGATGCGCCACCCGCTTCACCTTCGCCGCAGCCGTTTGATACTTTCCGTAATACAATGCAAACGCCGCATCTGGGGCCTGCAAGGCAGTGGAGGCATCTCGTATGTTGTTCTTGGGGTGTAGTGTGGCCTCTGTCGCCTGGTTTATCACGCTGGTCACATAGTTCCTGACTAGGCCCGAAGCTTTGGCAAGGCATTGTTTGTATTTTACACTGTAGGAGGCTGCATCTTTAAATTTGGGCTGCAAAAGCAAAAAATTAGTTATTTTCCAGCCACGTAATCCTATTGTGCTTACGTTGGCTTCGATGTAGTTCAGGCAGTCGTCAATCTTATTAAGACATTCCCGAAAAGCTTCGCTAGCCACAGACAGAGTTGGACTCTGAAGGCGCTGGTTAAGAAGCTCCACCTGGCTAAAGTAGTGCAGTCGTCGTTGAATTTCGTTGCTCAGCTCCTGGAGCTTCTCCTGTTCCTCAATCAGCTGCTCGCTGGCCTTGTTTAGGGCGCTCGTCTTTTGCGATACAAAGTCATACTCGTCGCAAAGGGCTCCCAGGCGCTCCATGGCCACAGCGATCTGCTCCAGCATGTGCCCGCACTCCTCCCGCCGCTGCTCCAGCTGCTGTAGGTATCTATGGTAGTCGGCGTCGCCACGTTGTTCGATTTCCGCGCTGACGTCCGCAAACCACAGCAGGAAGTCATTTGTGTTTCGCAGCCCATCCTCGGGCAACTCAATGTCCTTCACGGTTTCCGAGGAAGTACCACCCAAGCCCAAGGACCCTTCAGGCTGCGTCAGTGTGGTCGGAGACGGTGGCTGTAATAATGTGTTTCCTTTAAAAATTGATAGCTTATCAAGATAGTTCCTCTCTTACAGTTGACCCACTACCGCGCCAGAGATTGGTGAGGACATCCAAGTGCTCTTCCTGCTGGATACTCAGCTCCGCCAGAGGATCCGTCTTAGACTCCCATTGCATCAGGCGGTTTCGGATCTTCCGCAAGTTCTCGTTCTCGCTGTGCGCGGTGGCGACGTCATCCATTTTTCTGTGCCGGATTCTGGGGCCTGCAGTTACCAATTATTGTGTGCCAATCAGATGCCGCTCCACGTTAAGCCACCTCGCTGGGATAAAGGATCACTTTGTTGTCCCTGTGAATCGGGATATGCTTCTTCCGCTGCGCTTTCTGTTATTAAATGAATCTTATTGTGGTTCCTGCTACTAGGAGAATCAATTCTCTCTTCTGGCCAGACAAGAAATCTGGCCACATTATAAAACCCAATGCACAAGTCTGGTCGCACTAGAGCACAAGCGCCATCTATGGTTGGTAACTGTTGCGCAGAAAAATCTTACACTTGACAACACTTGACAACACAAAAACAATAAAACTTTATTGTTTTCCATTTCTTGAGTTGTCTTTAGCCAATAATTGTCAATAAATGGCCCCTCAGCCGGTGGTAACGGGCCTGTCCCCAAAAGAGGGTCCTCCCGGTACCCGCGTCATCATTCGCGGCGAGTTCCTAGGCACCCGGGTTCAAGATTTAATTGGTAGGCGGAGTCCCCAAGAATCGTTTGGATGTTTACTCATTTTTCGATACATTTAAGGCCTGAAGATCTGCGGATCCGATTGCTTACTGTCTGCTGAGTGGAAATCTCCCAACAAAATAATCGCCCGCACGGGCCCAGCCAAGGGAAAGGGCGACATCATAGTGACCACTTTGAGTGGCGGAGTGGGGACTTCCACAGTGCAGTTCCGTGCTTATCACGAAACCATCGGTCCCCTCAAGGAGTCAGCAGTATGGATCGAGGAGTCCCCATCACAGAACTTCGCCTGGGGTCGACGCACTCTGGCACAGTCGGGGCTCACTCAGGAGGACCCTCTTGGCCTGTCTATTGAAGGCAACGAACAAAAGATACCCGAGGATCTGCGGGATCTCTTTCCGGACGCCTGTGGTGATCTGTCGCAGGAGAACTTTTCGCCATCGTGGTTCTTGCTGGAGAACCACCTGGCCACCTCTTTCGAGGACCTCAAGGCGGGCTTGGCCTACTTGAAGCGAAAAGTGGAGAGCCAGAAGGAGGGACAGCTGTCCTTTCTGAAGTCTAATGCTGGGTCTGTGATCGACCAACTGGACACGTTGATGAACATCCGGGATAAGCTCCAGGAGGACGTTAAGTTGCATGGGAATGAGCCTTTGAATATTCTGGAGGCGTCCATAGAAAGTATGTTCGAGTTAAACTCTCAAACTTTGGTTTAATAAATATTTTGTTTCCAGATTCCATTACTGAGTCGCAGAAGATATTCACCGATGTGCTGGTTCGCAAGGAGAAAGCTGACTCCACGCGGTCAGTTTTGTTTGCCTTGTCCCGGCACAAGTTTCTCTTCTGCCTGCCGAACTCGGTGGACCGACGGGCCAAGGCAGGCGAGTACGACATTGTGGTCAACGACTACTCCCGCGCCAAGAATCTCTTTGGAAAAACGGAAATTCCCATCTTCCGAAAAGTTCTCGAAGAAGTGGACCAGAGGATTCTCTCCATACGGAAGCAACTGCACGAGAAGGTGGTGAAGATGCCGCAGAGCGTGGAGCAGCAAAAGAAGCTAATCAAGGCGCTGACCAGTCTGGAGCTGCAACAAAGCGGCACACCCATAGGCGATAAGCTGAGAAATATTGATCCAGCTTGGGATGCCATCGAGGCGCGAGCCAAGTACCTGGAGGCCACCTTCCGGCAGACGTTTGAGCAGCATGCCAACAAGGACCCGGGTGGGCAGGAGAAATCGAAAAACAGAGATCGAGATTCAAGCCAGGCCCCCAGCCGAGTCAACTTCTGCGAGGAACTGTGCGACATTGCCGCGTCCCAACTGCCGGATCTGTGGCGGCTGGGTCAGCTTTATTTCACTGGCGAGTTGCGCGGACCTCACGATCCTAAGCCAGGGGACTTCAAACGGATGATTCTCAATGCGATTGAGAAGTACTGTGTGTACTTGCGCCTAGCGATTCTCATAGCCGCCGACCAACGGGCCCTCCGTCAGTCCAGCGGCCTGGCGTGGCCCATTGGATCCGCGTCGGCCACCCATCAGTTTCTGCCCTGGATTCCGCAGTGCCTGCGGTACACGCGGATAGCTTATGCCACACTGATAACATTGGATCTGCCCTCGGAAGCTCTGGATATCATCCAAAAGCTCATTGACGAAGTGCGTCTCTTCTGCTTTTCAATAATCTTCAAGCGGGCCACAGATCGGTGCAAGAAACTAGGGAGCCAGGAGACGTGGGAAATGGGTGTGGAGGACTACCCGGGTGCCACTCTGCTGCCGGCGGCACTCGAAGCCCTTCTCGTTGAAACTTTGGACGAAGTGCAGTCGGTGTGCATGCAGCCAGAGTCCCGGGAGGGAAATCTCCTGGAGCCCCAGTCAGATGGACAGCGCGAGGTGTCAACGCGCCTGCAGGAATTTCTCTCCGCTTTTAGTGGCGTGATCGAGGAACTGGCCTTCCACTCACACGACGAGGAAACGCCCACCCACAATGTATCGCAATTGCTGGGATTTCCGAATGCCCAGCAGCCGGATTCGGTGGCCGGGGGAGCGGGAGCCACAGTCACGTGGGAGCAGCGCATGCTTTGCTGTTTGGCCAACTATGCCTACTGCAACAAGAGCTTCTTCCCGAAGATAGGAGACATCTTTGTGCGGTATGGCTACCCCCTGCCCACGTTGGCCATCGAAACTGCCAGGTACACGGTGAATCAGTTGTTTACCAATCTCCTGGAGGAATACGTGGAGCACAAGGGCGATCCTTTAGTGGGCACGATTGAGCCATCGATGTACCTCGGCCGTTTCCAATGGGATCACGAAATGGAAATCGGCCAACTACGACCGTATGCCCACGAGTGCTGCGACAACCTGGTTGGAGTATACTCCGAGATCTACAGCATCTCCCCGGCACTGTTGCGTCCCATCCTCGAATCCATTGTGCAGACGATATCCGAGGAACTGGCCCGCCTAATGAGTTGCGTCCAGCGCTTCAGCTTTACAGGAGCTATCCAGGCACATGTGGACATCCGGCTGCTGAGGGATGCGCTCGAGGGCTACGTGAACGAAACAGCCAAGTAGGTGGATCTAGATTTTCCCTAATATTCCATTCATGAAATCCCCTTCTTTTATAGAAACTACTTCATGGAGGCCCTGGAGGCCATAAATCCACCTTTGAGTGCCGAGCAGAAGCGCAAGGCCGACGAGATTCTGGAGCGGGTGAAGGGCAACATGCGACTGCAGCTGCTTTGCTTCGGAGTCAAGGATCCTTGAGCACATTCCAGAGATGCCTGTAGCCTTACTATCCCATTTATAAATAGCTTGTGTGATTCCCAACAATTACTGGAAAAGGGATAAACCTTTATTCGAGATAAGACCGAAGTGGTTCTTCTTAAATCTAACAACCGCCTTAGATTCCCAGCGTTTTGAAGTCAAAGTTGAAGTTTTTGCCGTCGGCCTCATAGTTCTGGGCCATGGTCTTGATGGCCTGCTCCACGTCGATGTTGTTGAACTGCTCCTGAATGCGCTGCTTAACGGGGTTCTCGATGGCATCCATGATTTGGTAGCGCAACAGATTGGGCAGCACGTTCACCACGAACTCCATTATGTAGTCGAGGGTCCCGGCTCCGTCACATCTCACCTGGATGTTGCCCATGTCGAACTGTAGGTCGGTGATCTGGGGCCTCTTGGTTGTGTCCAGCGACTGGCTGACGCCGACAAGGGCGCGCAGATGTTGGACTGTGAACTGGACATGGCCGACGCGCGTCATCAGGCCCAGTCCCACCTCCCACTGGCCAGCGCCAGTCAGCTGCTGGGTGCCCAGGTGCAGCTTCAGGGCAACCGTTTTGTTGGCCATGGCCACCGTGACGTTGCCCACGCGATAGAAGCTGGAGAGGCCGCTAATCCAGGTGTTGGACAGCTGGACACTGAACACACCCATTGTGCGGTTCATGTCGGCCAACTTGTACGGGTCGTAACCCTTCTCCCGCACCATCTTGCGAGCCGTGGCGATGGCGCTGTCCAGCGGGGTAATGGAGTTGGGCAGCTTTCTGTCCCCCATCGATTGCTGGATGAACTTGTCCATCTCACTGCGGAGCTGCTTGTCGGCCTCTTGCAGCATGAACGGCTTCATGGCATCGAACACCAGGTTTGGAGCCGAGTTTACCACGCCCTGAAACACCGATCCTAGGAAGCCGAGGTTCTGAAAGTCCATGGTCATGGACGAAAAGGTGATGTCGATCTTGATCCGATCCGTGGCCAGGTGTCCTTCGCGGTCCACTGCCAACAGGGCCGTTGCCTCGCCATACACATTCTTAAGGAGGACGGTGAAGGGTCCGTTGGCCTTGGAGAAGAACGATCCAAGCTGGTAGTCTCCCTTGACCGTCATTTGATCGAGTTGCAGGCCACCGTTGATCTGATCAGGAAAATGGATTCATTAGCTTTCAATATACATAGGATCTTAAGACGGTAGTCACCTTCATGTCCTTAAAGTCCGCACTCAGCTTGTCTATGCGGAACTGGGAGGAACCATAGGCCTTCACATGCCTCATGTCCAGGGTGGCCATACCGAGATTCTTCTTCACATCGGGGACCTCAATCGGATCGGCAATGGCAGCGCCAGGCAGGCCCTTGGGGTCCTCCTGCTTGAAGTGGTCCAGCAGGGCCTCCACCTCGGCAGCTAGACGATTCTGACCCACCTCTAGGTTGTGCTCATCGTTTGATTTCTCCACTTCCTGCTCGACGGCTGCTCAAAGGTCAAGAATGCGGGTATTTTGTTATTCGGATTACGGTCGCGATCCCTTCTACTAACCTTCTGGCTCCTGGGAGCTAACTAAGTAACAACTGGCGGCCAACAGCCACGCGATTATTATCAGTGGCTTCATCATTCTGGGATTAGCTAGAACCGGAGCTTATCTGTTTTGAAAAGGCAGGGAAATGCGCCAGCCTCCGGTCACCACTCGACTTGGCGGAACAAACACGCACTGACGACTGTCGCGCTAATCAAGAGATAATGATGAGCCAGCCAGCTAGGCAGCCAGCTAGCCAGCGCCAGCAGGCGACGATCCGACACTCCAGCGGGGAGCCGGGCCTTATCTAAGGGCGCCTCTTCTCCCGGAGCCGTCGATTAAATACGGAATTGAGTCTGAGCTCGGGGTGAGTTCGTCGTGAATGAGTGTCTTGAGTTCTCAAAAGGTGGTCTCATTTTAATCGCCACAACAGGGAACAGTTCCCTCATGAAGAAATCCGAATCTTTGAGTGGAATTCTTGTAACTTTTGGTATTTTTTTTAGTGTAAAGGGGGTTATATGGATCGTCGCTTTTAGATAAATTAATGTTAGAGATAGGTATCATATACGAGTGATTGGGGATTAATCCTTGATAGATCTTGTGGGTGGATCCTGCACAGCCTTCTCGTCTGGTCGCTGTTATCTAGAAGAGATGGCCACTGGTTCGGGTGGTTTTCCAGCCTCTGTCATATATGTATCTGCTGCTGCTTCTCTGAATCTCGTCCCTCACCCTTGGGAAATTCAGTACCTAGTGGATGGTAGCGTTGTCGTGAAAGTCATGGGCTCTAGTGGCTATACGGAGGACTCTGGAGGTCTTACTGGCAGTGCCCCAAAGCTGAGTTCCATGCTTCCACATTGGACGTATGATGGCTTTGTAAATGAGGAGTTTCAAAGAAGTCCCCCAATAGAGACCCCTTGAGCCCCATGTCCCCGTGCTTTCTCTTCTTGCTAAGTAGAACACCCCTTTCCTTACTTCCCTTTAAAAAAAAAACTCGGATATATTTTTATTTAGATTTTTTAATGTTTGTTTATATATTTTTTTAATATACATTATTTATCGTATGGCTTGGGGTTTCTTTTTTTTTTAATATTTTTATTAAAAAGTTTCACGTGCTCAAAAAAAATTCATGCTCAAAAAAAGTTTCTTAATCTATTAAAAAAAATGTTTCTTAGCCTATTAAAAAAAAAAGAGTTATAGTCTAAAAAAAAAAGGTTTTTAGGCTCACAGCAACCGCATATTTAGCAAAGCATTTTAGCATTTTACGTTTCGATGTTCGTTAAACGAAAAAGAATATTTAAATTTTAAAATATGACTATTGCCTGGCCATTAATTTTAATTAATCGGCAGCCTAATAAGGATTTAATATTGTTTAAATAAATATAATAATTTTTTGTTTCGCAAAGCGTTTCGTTTGCGAGGAGCTCAAAAAAAGTCTGGGAAATCGTCAGGGTGTAGAATGCTCCTAAAAGACATGGGGAAGTGTATAATTGATTTTTATAAATTTTGCTAAAAAATTGTTTGAATTAATTGAATTGAATTGAATAAATTTTGCTAATTAAAATGTTTGAAACAATGAGTCTAAAAACTCAAAATAAAATAATTTACAGGACAAACATACAATAAAAAAAAGGGACAATATCAAAAGCGATACTACTTTGGAAAAATATGAGGCTGCATTCGAGCCCTACTATAAAAAACAAAACGCCAAGGATACCCCTAAAGGGGTACCCCACAAATCACAAATTAAAATTTTGTTAAAAAAAAAAACACACACGCTAAAAAAAAAAACTGGAAGAAATAAAGATGAGAAAGGACTTGAATGGAGGAGTCGCCTTGCTTACAAGTCGTCCGAGCCAGACATGATTTCCTCGAACAGCGAGTGGGCGTTGTCAGTGACCGAGAGGAGCCTGTCGCCGGCGGCAGGGTTCTTTATCGATCCGCCACTGACAAGCTCGTCGACTGTTTCGAGGGCTCCAAAGTTGGCTCTGCCCCGTCTCGTTCTGGCGGTGGTCCGGAATTTCTTGGCCGGCGGCTCCGCGACCTCTCTCTTGGCCTCGGGGGCAGGTGCCACTGGTGGAGCAGGAGCAGGAGCTGGTGGAGGTGGTGGCGAGGGTTGGGATGGTTCCGGTTCTGGTTCGGGGGGAGCTGGGTACAAGTACGCGAATTGAGGAATAGAACTGTTGCCGTCGTTGTTTTGCAGCTGAATACACGGCCAGCCCAGGGTGGCGGGATGCACAGGAACGTTGTCTCTGAGAATGTTGAATCCTGCAAAGGAATATGCTTTATTAGAAGTCCTTCAACAAGCAAGGATGGCTGGAACTTACCCTGAAATTCACCCGTTTTGTTTTGGACCAGCACCAAAGGATGCTGCGACTGCTGGAGATTGCTGAGAGGCACAAAGGTTAAGCTTTCATTAGACCCACCCGACGCTGCTCCTCCACCTTCTTCCTTGGACTTCGCCAGTGCTTCTGGCTCGGACTCTGCCTTTCGAAGATCTTCCCCTGGCTTCTGCTTCGTCTCCTGTTCAGCTACAAGCACCTCGTCCTCCCCATCGTCGCTGTCAATGAAGTCGACCTTGTGCGGATTCTTGCAGGCCACGCAGTTGCAGTTGGAGCAGGAGTTCCCTGCCTTGTAGCACGGGCAGCGGTTGTTGCGACACGTCATCAGAGGGTTCTTCGACTTGGATATGCCGCAGCGGCACACACTCTTCTCTTCTTTGCGACCGTCTCCGCGACCCTTGCGACGTTCAGTTTTCGCTTCAGGAAGGGTGACCGGCGGAACAGGGGCTGGCTCCTCCACAGGCTTGGCAACTTGGACCGGTGGCGGCGGAGCTGGGCTGCGGGCTCTCTTCCTTGTGACGGGCACTTCGACATTGGCATCTTCCTTGTGTTTATCCTTAATTTCTGACTTGACTTCATCCCTGACTTGCTTTGACTCCCGAACCGTTTCCTGGTCTTTCTGAACCTCCTCCTGGACACTGGGCATTATGAGGTTTTCTGTAGTTTCCACAATTGGGTCAGTTTGTACGTCCTCCTGGCTCTTATCCTCCAATTCTGGCTGCGATCTATCATCCTCCTCCATCTGGGAAAACGTCCTTTTGTAGCTAGTCACCTCCACCGACTCTGAAAACTCCACCGCCTCCGGCTCCAAGTCCTGCACATCCTCCGTCTGCATCTGCGGTATTTGAACCACCTGACCAATGTGCAGGTCCTGGGCCTCAAAAGGAGTGGATGCCCCCGTGGGCATCACATAGGACACGGCGAAGTTGCTGCTGGTGCTGCTGGGAAAACTGCCCATCGAAACAGCTTGCGAGAGATCCACTTGTTCTGTCCAGACATGCTCGGCAGCACTGGTTAGTATGATCTGAGCCGTGGGCATAAGCTGGATCGGGGAGAACTGTTCGCCAGTGGCTGCCGCCTCCAACTCGATGTCGCTGAGGGAGAGCTGGTGCTCCTCCGGCAGATGCTGTTCGAAAGGCAGTTCCGGAGTGGTGGCCGCCGTGGTCGGTGGTGTTTCTGCCGGTAGGGACGTGGGGATGCCCTTGAGGAACGGAAGATCTGGCTGTGGGAGGAAAGTGTCCCTCATGTCGTCGTAGTTGGCACCCTCGCGAATGAAGTCCTGGGTGCTGCTGGGAGGCAGTTTGAGGCGCGGTGTATGCTGCAGGAACGGATCTCCCTGCCGAGCCTCCGGTCGCAAGCCGGCTAGTTGAGCAAACAACGATGACTGCAGCAGGTGGACGCAAAGAGTCTTGTAACAAAGAAGTTGAATGCCCATCGCCCTGTTCTCCTCGTAGGTCTTGAAGTCCGAGCAATCTTCGCACTGAGGACACGTGGGAAACAGTCTCTTTCGGCCGCGCAGGCACAGCCGACAGACATTGTGCTGACATCGCTTCCCCTTGGGGGCGTACGGATCCATGAGCAACTGGCAGCATACCACGCAGGACAACAGGCGACGCAATTCGCCAATCCCAGAGTTGAGCTCGTCGACCCGCCGCTTTGAGAGATTCGAAGCAGACCGAAGGGACAAACGAGTCACCTTCAGGTAGACCGACATGGCCGACATCGTGGCTATACACTGATGAGTGGTACTGTACACACGCCGGTGTTTGTTTACGTGAGACTCCTCGGGCCAGACTGGATTTCCAGCAGTAGGGGCTGCTCCGCAGCAACGCCAATGCCTGCTCCTGGCGACCTGGCTACTGCCACAATTGACCAGCAATTCCTTTCTTTCGGACTTTAGCTACACTTGCATATTTTCACTTTATTTCTCGTTTCGCACCAAAATCGAATTTTCTCACAAAAGCTGGTATTCTGCAGCTTCACAGGATTGCTGGATTATAACTATGTTTCACGTGCAAAAAAAAAAAAAAAATAGGGGTTTATGTTTAGGTTTCAACTCATGGTTAAAATAATCACTTCAATATTATCAACTTAAAAAAAAAAGTAAAAAAAAAATTTACCCAAGCAACATCACGCAGTGCTGCGAGTTAGTGATGTGAGTTTTTTCCAACCAAAATATAACTATATCGTTTTTTTGTATCGATTAATATATCGTATATCGATTAACATATCGTATAATATTATTTTTACATTGTTCTTTACATTACTAAAACATTGTTTAAAAAAAATACAGAGACCTTTAAACATTATAAAAATTGTAAAAATTCTTGAATGAACTTAAATACTACACCATTCTAGGAGAAAATTCGATTTTATGATGGAATAGGTGGAATAATTATCATGATTGATTTGTAATCAGGTTTTTGCCAACTAATCTTAGCCCCCAGATAAGTTTATAACTAAAATCAAGAACTTAAGCTTCTTATCGAGGAATTAGTTCTTAGCAGAAAGTCGCTATAGGCATTGGTAAAAAAAGACCCGGTACTAGGATGAAATATAATTTTGCAGATTCTGCCTTGCAGATTCAATTGATAACAGTACTACTAGGTAAAGTCATTAAAAATTTGAATTTCTTTCCATGCGCGCCATATTTTTCCCGTTGTTTATTTTTCTCATTTTCGCTTACCTGCGTCTGCGTCTTAAAGGCACGTGAAAAAATATGTAAAATTAATAGAATCTAAAATTTAAACTAAAAAATAACTTACCGCTATTAAAAATTGTTATTATTGTTATTAAAAGTAACTTATAGCGTTTCCAGGCGATGTATAAGCCAAAAATCAATAAACCTTAATTGTAAAGCTTTTAAAATATTATTAATTTTAAGATTTTTTAATTTAATTCCATATTCTATAAAAAATTCATGTGGTGATGAAATTATTTTTTCCGGTGTACTCTGACAGATTGCTGCAAAGTTTTATTGTTATGTGCAGTCCAATTGCAGCATTCGGTGAAAGTGCATCAAGTTCCCAGCGCAGCGCATCCCATTTACATATTATTATTAATAATAATAAAATATCCATTAATTTCATTTTCCGAACACTCAAACAAACACTTCCATTGAAAAGTAAACACATTGTGATTGTTTTCCCGAGCGAGATTGCTTGAAAAATGTGTTGAAAAAAGGTAAGAAGGAAGTCAATTGGCTTATCTATCTATCATACAGTGCCCTCTATGCGTCCCATTGTTCAATTATGGAATATTAATGGCATTCGTTGTACATATGTACACATGTGGGTATATCTCTACCATTCGCAGTGCTCGTGGTCAAAATCAATGGCGCTGCTTTGAACGCCAGCAACTATCAGTACCAACTGGCGGAGCGTGGAACACCAGCTCCGGATCTCCAGATCGTGGACATTATACTCAAAGACCAGACCATGTTCCGAGCCTGGGGCACCAACCTCACGGCCATTACCTGGGCCCATGCGGTCAACAACCAACAACTGCTGGACGAGGCCCTTTCAGGTGAGATTGCCCAGGTTGTCCACTCTTCCACAAGCTTAGAATTCTATTTTTCAATTAATTTATCCAAAAGGCGACATTGACTTCATCGAGGCGGACATATCTCTGGGAAAACTGAACGGAGAAGGCGATGACCTGCCGGTGATGGCCCATCCGCCGGCCAACATATCCGATCTCACACTGGCCGAGTTCCTCAATCAAATCATGGAGTTCAACCGGGAGCACGAGGGCCATGAGAAAGGCATCAAGCTGGACTTTAAATCCATCGAAGTCTTCGAGGGCTCCCTGGATATTCTGGACGCCAACATTCCAAACGTATGATAGAACTCGGCCCTTTTAACGAAATGATTCCTTATGTCCTTGTTGTAGATGGACTATCCAATTTGGATAAACGCTGATATACTGAGTGGACCTGTAGACCAAAACAAAACTGTTCCGGTAGACCCGGATCGGTTCTTCGCCGGCTGCAATCGCTACAAGCAGGCGGTGCTCTCCATCGGCTGGACCACTAACTGGGGCGCCGACTTTGTGGAGGGGGAGTACACGGAGGATCACTGCCAGGCCATGCTCGACACTCTGACCCAAAACAATGTCTTGTTCACCGGCCAAAGCATCACCTTCCCCGTCAGAGCGGGTATCGCCGCCAATAGTGAGGAGCAACTCCACAAACTGGTAGCGTCAGTGAATGGAACAAATGAGAGCACCTTGACTGTCTGGTCATCGGCCGGCGACTACGTGGATGTGGACAAGCTGCGGAAGCTGATCCTGGGCTTTGGAGTGTCGCGGGTGTATCTTGATGTGCCGGAGGAACTGTCAGCGGAACTGGACCTGGGAAACACCCGAAACGGCGCCAGTACTTACAAATCCCTGTTTGGTTTCGGATTCGTCAGTCTGTGCTTCTGGGCGGTCTCCAGCTGGCTGAAGCGATTCTAAAGTGGAGTTCTTGATTCGATTTTGATACAATTTTGTATAACTTGTTGCCAGTTTTCAGGGGTTTTAAATAATTACGCAACATGTTCATTATTTTGGTTGGAATAAATACGAAATGTGAAATTTATTATAAGGTTCTTTTCATTATTTTCAAAACAGAGTTATTAAAACAGCCTAGCTATTATAAAAAATTATACTTTCATGTTATAATCCAACATAGATTACGTTATTGGTTTTCTTTTCTTAATTCAATATTTAACTTTTGATAATTTTCAACATTAGAACACATGTCAGGATATGTTTAGGAATTAGACGTTAGGCTTTATGTTTTCAGAAAAAATACAATTTCGAATAAGCATCTTTTTTTTATTCGTAATCTTTAATTCAAAGTATATATCTTAAGGAATTTTTTTGTGGAAGTATATCCGGGTTTCACAGCTGTGCTTTACTATCTTAGGTCTTACAATGACTGATATATTTACATAGGATATGCGAAATCTTTGCACTTTAGACTTTAAAAGGTGAGCAAAGGATATTTAGTTTTAAATAGTTCTTCTTGATCGCTCTACGATTCACAAATGTTAGGCATTATCGTATGAATATATATAAATACTTTGGGCGTGCGCAGTTTCATTTCAACCATATTGGGAAATGAGAAGTGATATAGGATAATGGAGCACTTAATGACTTTATCTATTTACACTTTAATCGTAGATTAGCCTACTAACTAGTTAATGACTTTTGCTTGGGGTTGGGGTCTCTGCATCGTTTTCTTTTTGGCACTAAAATAAATAATCTTATTAATCTCTCTCGCTGGCGCAGAGCTTGCAGAGCTTGGGAAACCTCCAAAAAGCGGCAATGTGTGGAAATGAATGTGAGCAAGTGGCTAAGGCATTATGGCTTCATCACAATATGCAATCCTAAGCTACGGCGACGTAAATGAGTCTCAGGCAGACGAACGTGGGCGGCACTGCCAAAAATGCGCGCTGCCAGTTCATGTATTATCTGGTAATGGCTATCACATCGGACGACTCCATGCCGATCAATCGTTCCCTGGGCGATCCTTCCACGGCTCCCATCTCCTCCCTCACTCCGGAATCGCGTCTGTAGTCCAGAAGTCTCACTCCCACCCGCTCATTGCCGGTTTCGCTCTGGTTGGTTCGGAACAACTGCGATAGCGGCGGAGCGGTGGATGCCGGCGAACTGACACCAAATGTGGTCAGTGGTCGCAGGACACTGGCCTTAGCCTTTGGATCACTCTGGCAGAAGTGCGTCACTTGCCGCGTGGGATACCAGCAAGTGCATATGAGGCCGCCAGCGAGCAGAATACCAGTGACTATCTGGCCCAGGAGCACGATTAGGGGTACCAGTGCAATGTCGTTGGCGATCTCCTCCGAGACCCGAACACGTTCCTCGCACCACATCATGGGCATCATCACCGTCGGCACATTTTCAAAGATTCTGTAAAAAATAAAATGTATTAACAATCTTCTAAAGAAAAACTTCATTGAAAACCTACGGATTTCCTGGTACGGGCTCCATAAAATAGTTGGCCTGGAAGCCGCCGCCCACATCCATGGGCACGCCAGCGTTCGGTTCCAGGGTCATGAAGAACTCGTGCTTCTCTCTCTCCGGCTGCAGGCCCTCGATGGCCTCAAGGTAGCTGGGATCGCCTTTATAAAAGTGCGGGAAGGACATGTAGACGGAGGAGTTGAAGGCGCACGGACCAATATTGATCACCCCAATTGGCGAGCATTTGCCATTGACGCAGTAACAGCTTGTCTCCGGGTAGAGGGTGCCATTGTCCACAGCGTGCTCGGTGCCGCTGTACTTGTAGGCCGTTACCCCGTGCACGGTCACCGTCTCGGTGTAGTCCAGCGGAATGGCCCGGCACATTTTGGGCATGTACATGTAGACGGTGTCGTTGGTGCCAAGGTTGGGGGGGAAAAACTCGCCCATGGAGCCGTGCACGTCGCCGCAGCTGCCCTCGAAGGCGGTGTGCGTCAGATTATTCCACGTATGTATTTGACCCATTTTCGCAATATCGTCTACTCCCGTGAACATGTTTATATCGCCATCGAAGCCGGCACTGCCATTGCGCGGATACTGAAACCCAATGCGGTGATAGGGCACATCCTCGGGCCGGAAAAACTTTCCCAGTGTAACAAATGGGTGCTGGTAGCCCTTGAAGAGCAGCTCCTCGGCAGTTTTGGTGACGAAAGCCTTCTGACTGTACACATTCGAGAAAAAGTTCACAACGGATCCTCCCCAGGTGCCAGCTGCCCGCAAGGCCGCAGACTGTAAGCGAAGAAAGATGTTTAATTATCTCGAAGATCACCTCATCTGGTAGTACTTACATGGACCACGCTGTTTACAGTGTTCACCTCATCCGAAAGACTGCCGTTGCTGGCTTCTGCATCGAAATAGAACCACGACTTCTTATGGAAGGACACGGAGTAGTTGTGGTTGTGCCAATCGATGTCCACTTTGTCGGGACTCTCCCGGAACCGGTAGGGACCCAGTTGCTCGAATCGAGGCTTCTTGCCCGAACCCACGTAAAAGTCCTCCGGGTTGGTCCAGTTGAAGAGATAGACATCGAAATTCAAGGGCAAAGGTGAAACTTTCCAGCCTTCAAAAGATCGCGACGTGGGACTCAATGCCATTTCCTGCAATAAAATGCGACAATTAATTAATTATGATTGTGGATAAACTTGACTCAATTGATGCTCGCCAATGACTGGCGATTTACATAATTGTTTTGCTATAATTGAGGATAACTGGTGGCTGAACTCGTCTAGCTATCGAATATATATAAATATAGACTGGATCAAAGGTCGATAGAGATTTATAGAGGTAGGGTAAACCCTTTCTTTTAGAATCATATTTAACCTTGAAGTCTATCCTTTCAAAGAATGCATTAAAAATGCTTTTTTATAGCAACTTTGTGTAGTCCAGCGCCTATCACTTTCGGAGGAACTCAGGTGCAGGGCGCCTGATTACATCGCCTTATCAGTCATCAATCATTGTAAGCCAAAACGCCAGAATTAACGATCGTCTGGCTGGCAGTCCAATAGGCCACCATTTTGTTCTTTCCAGAACCCTGTAATCTCTATAATTGGAACTGTGGCCCACAGGAAACGACTAAGCTGATAAAACTAATTTCGCAAAAGGGTTCTCGGCTATTTTAGTGCTTGTGATGGAAACCATTACATTCAAATGGTCTGTCTAATACTTTTAGTGTCTGGTCTGGTGGAGCAGGTGTTCGGCTCAGCACCTAGCCAGGTGCGGGTTACATGTCGGGGCTGTGTGGTTAAGGCCATTTATGATTGTTTCGCCGCCCACTGAATTTAAAATTGTGTTGTCTAATCGAACACATGGCTATCGCGAAATGGGTTATTTTTTCGGGGCTTTATGCCAGATAAGATAGCACCACCATTGCAATATCGTTGTCAGCCTCGAACTGAAAAGGTTGGTAATTCCGAAAAGCAAAATTAATGGAAACAGAAACAGAGTTGGGATTATATTCCTAGGTAGCATTGATTCACGAAAACAGGTGTTGCCCTTTTGGCAAGATAAAGTGAGTAAATCACATACTATTCTTAGTGGAGTGGCCAAAAAATGATTAAGCACCCGAAAAAAATCAATCTGGAGTTATAATCTACCTTTTCGTGAATCACCCAATACCATTTATGAAAAAAATCATCAATAAGATAGTGAATGATTGATGATTGTCTATGAATAGAAGTTTACCTTGCTGAAAAACCTCAATAAATATCAATATTAAGAATAAAGGCAGTTTTGATTAAAATTTTAGTTCAATAACCTACTGTTTAGTAGAAACAATTTAATGCATATAATAAAAACTTCAGTCCCATGACTAAGCACTCTGGCTATAAAGTATCTACTAAACGATAGCATTAACATGCTAATTAAAAGCTTATATGCAGTGTAAGTGCTTTAAAGGAGGTTATAGAATGTTTTCATTATCGAGAGCTTTGTAAGACCCTCTCCCAAGGTGAGAAATTCTACCAAATCTTATCTAACGATAGCTTGGACAGACTCTACTTTAGATTCCTTCGGCGCAGGTCAATTGCTCTCAATCGAAATTGAACCAAATTGAATGCAAATGAGCCAGCCAGTTGACCTTTGGGCGCTTCGCCAATTTGCCGGGTTGCGAAACTCGACTGTAATGGAGGGTCTGGGAATCGAATGGCAGCTACACCCGATAAGATATGGATGGTAGAGATTACAGTTACTGATAGTGGTGGGTGGGAAGTGCTTACCTTGCCGCGCATGCGTGTAAACATCTCGATCCAGTTGCGGAAGAGGTAGACTCCGCTGGTGATGCAGCATATCCCCAGGAAAACAATGACCAGACGGGCACAGTGACGCACTCGTGATGTCATCTTTGTGGATTTGTGTGATGGGTAGGGTGATGGGTAGTATCAATGTTTTATATAAAAGGGGCGTCTTCTTCGCCCGATCTCTTGCTTCGCACTGAGCTCGTATACTGTTGCGTTATTAGCGTCTACATGGAAAAAAGAGAAACAATATATATATGTATGAAGAGAGCTGGTCTAGTATATGCGGGCTTATCGCGGGTAGGGGAATTCTTCGCAGCCTTATCACTGCTGTGAGATCCCTAAAGCGATAGGCCCAGGAATGCGGAGAGAGTTCCGGAGGGGCAGAGAGTCACCTAATACGTAAATATCTTGCTGTCTAATTGTAATAAAAGTTTCACCAGCCACTCGCCAAACCGCATAAAAAATACTCGAGATTGCATATCCAAGCCTGAATATACTACTGAAGGTTTATCACACTGAAGTGAATACCTACAACTGCTGTAGCTACTAAAGGTGTCTAGAGTTACGGCACAAGTTGCAAGTCCTTGGACTTTTCCCCCCGACCCTCTATTGGTTTTCACACACGCACACACAGGTGGGACATATATTTTTGGTAATAACAGCAAAGGACATGTGTCTTTCAGACAGGGTGGAATTACAGGAAGTTCGTGCTGTACTTTAAAATATAATTACTAATTTTTGGGGGTGGCTTTGGAGTTTAAAACCGACAGTAAGGGCCGTTAAAAATAAGTATTAATTGCTTTCGGTAACTACACCGGTAACGGCAGCCACCAGAGCATGAATTATTATACATAGCTGTCTATACTCGAGTTGTAAAACAAAAGCCAATTTATTTATGAAAAAAATAGAACGTCGATAAGCCACACTTAGTCACAAGTTCTGACGATATTTGTGAAGTCACACCACGTTACTAAGCCACTGAGCCCCACATGACCCTGTTACACCAATAATGGTTAAACATTAGCCAAAAATATAGGTTTATAGACTATGATGGACCAAGTTTAATAAAAACCAAACTTGCACTAAAAACTGGTTGCTATTTCCGACGACTTGGCTAATTTCCACCAAGTATTGACCAAATAGAGCCTACACCTTTGTAGGAAAAAAAGGGAAAGCCGTGTACTTCGTACTGCCTCCATTGAAACGAGGCTTTCGTTCACTTGTAGTACATTATTGATGTTTCACTCTGACTATGTATGTATGTCTGACTCGAATGTGTGGGAAGTCGGTGTGTGATTCACTCGAAAACATTCCTTGACTTATTATTATAATTCCATGGGTTGTTTTGATTCGCTGATGGAGTGGCGACTGGATCAAGAAACACGTTCACCTCTTCACCATACCCTGTCCCAACCATAAACGCGTAATGCGCAAGTGGCAGTGATGTTTACATTTCTTGGGCCTGGTTAGCAACCGCTGGATGACTAGCTGGATGGATCCGAGGCCTTAGTTACGGCCATTACAAGGTATTATTGGGTGATAATTTAACGATTTTGAATGCACCAACACTCACGTAGCTGGAGCCGATTTGTTTTGTTATTAATGCACACGTAGCGAGGTTAAGAAAATAAAAAACTCGTTTTTCCCAGTCCCCCCACCGCACTTGGCGATTTATCTACAACAACGTCGGCGGCGGCACCACGCCCTTCCCCTCCCACACACCCACTCCCATTCCACCCGCTCGTGCGCTCTGATTATTTAGCGCTCTACTCCAAAAAGATTATTAACATTTCCGAGTACGGCAATTCAAACACTAATCATGAGTATTTCGTTGGATTGCGATTCTCTACGCCTCTTTGAGAATTCGCATATCCTTGAACCTTCGTTCGGCGTCACTTCCGCAACCTGTTGACAATGTGTATGCTGTTCTATGGGGCTGGTCTGTTTGCTCTGCTCGTGGCCTAAAAATAGACCCCAAAACACAGTGCAATGTGCCAAAAAATGACAGGCCATACTGTATTCTCCTTCCGTGGGGGCGATTTGCATACGACGAGCACTACGCTTTGGAAACATCACGGCTATGCGTCACTGTTCTGGAATGTTGTAATTAAACTCCATAAAAGAACAGCATTATGTGAGCGGTGTTTGTTTAAAAAATTATCTTGAAAAGAAGCAGAGTAATAATTCAAATAAAAGAAACGCGACACGTTTAACTCTCTTCTTGGGGGGCGCTCTCTCTGCCCGCTCTGGTTTCTCTCTTCCTGCGTCTGGAATTATGTACAATTTCCATACATTTCTTACGTTTTCTTGTTTATTAATCTGGTTTGCTTGTCTAACACTTTTTGCACCTTCTTTGGGTTGCAAATTCCATGCCACAAGCGCGTGCTGCGCGAAAAAGGGTTTTTCCGAATAAGTTTTTCCAATTGATAGGAATTTCTAATTGCAGCGCTGTAAATATTGAACAAATCGAGAAACAGCGACGACGCCAATGTCTAAATACGTTTCATTGGCTGTATTGTCTTTTGTTTTTATTATTGTTGTTTCAGCAGCGCGTCTATTTCTTGATGTTTGCCGTCTCGTTTGCACTCGCACTCCGTCGCGACGGCCCGACGCACCGTTAAGTCGGCTATTGATCTTGAACTAACGCGCCCCGAACACGAACGAACGTGTGTACATCGCTGGGCCTTCTCTTCGACTAAAATTAAGTATTTCTCGAGAGTCACAGCCAACAGCAATTATTTATTTTTGATTAAATGCCGTACTCCGTGGGATAGGTCGCCCAGCGAATACTCTTACCTTACAGAATGACAGTGTTACCAGATGTTGCCAGAGGAATGAAGCCACAAATATACACAAAGGACCTCGTCTGAAAACCATGTCTAAAATTTAGATCAGATGAGTCTCATATGACTATAAAAAGAGTCTCCTTGAAAAGGATAATCTTTTAATTTTAAAATTAGTTCTTCTGACTAAAGTACTCCATAATTTTCAGGGTATAATCATATAGCGGCGCAAATGAGCGGACAGAGCATAAGGAAAATAGGCCTGCTCTCGCATGCTCTCTTCATTTCTCTGCCATTCTCCGACTCTTTTGGCTTAAAAACCGGTTATCTGTTTGGCGTCGTGCATTTTGAATCGGTTCTGAAACGGTTCAGTGGACAAACATACATACATAAATATTGCATTGGTCGAAACCGGCCTGCATATCAATGCAACATAATATGTGTTTCTCAACAACCACAATCCGGGTATTTTCCCCCTATAAAGTCGGTGTTTCAGGAAAGTTTTTGAATTTTAGACTAAGGCGATCTTTTCATAGGAATACCCCAAACATAATTAAGCTCTTAGATTAAACAAACTACAGAGTATCGTTCCGTTTACCATTTATTTTCTTAATCTGTAGACTAGGCAAGAAATAATCCTGCGACCTTAACTTAAAACTGACTCTTAACTAATAATCTCAAGTATTTTCAGAATATCCTCAACAAGGATACCGAACGTCCTCCTTCGCCCCCGTATATGTCAGTCCCATTAGCAAGGAAGACTCCTCTACTCCTCCGGAGGACTTTGTGGACTCTGGTGTTCTCGTCACATCCAGGGTGTTGATCTCTATCCTCTGCATATAACGCTTTTTCCAGATCCATTGGTATGGATAATAAAACAACATGACAACACCCAGAACCACGCCCAGAACTCCACATACTTTTCCCGCCCACTCAGCGATGGGAATAAGCTTCAAATAGAACAGAAGGTCATCTGTGATCTGGACACGATAGTCCGCCCAGATGAGCGGAAAGAAGGTTTTCCTCGCATTACGATATAATCTGAAATAATTAAATAATTGTAAACAATGTTACTATAATTTGTTTTAGAATTAACGCACGGTTGAGTTTTTGGTTCCACCAATAACGCAGCCATCAGACGGGCCTTCATCTCCAGCAACATTCCTGTTTTGGGCTCCAGGATTACGACCATTTCATGACGATCCTTGTCAGGCTTCATTCCCTCCACCTGTTCCACGTAGTAAGGATCCGCTAGGTAGAAGTGCGGATACGAGGCAAAGACAGGTGCTCCGTACAAGCAGGAGGATATATTCAGAAGTCCGGACCTAACCTCCTGGCAGTTATCCTGGCAGTAGCAACTGTTGTCAGGATTGTCAGTCCCTGAAAAGTTATTATATTAAAATTTTAACTGGAATTTTGGACGACAATGTCTCACCATTAGCCATGTTTCGGGCACTGCCCTTGTAGACAAATGCATCGACGCCTCTGAATGTTGTGGTGCCGAAGTAATCGATCTGGAATTCGCGACACAAGTCCGGCAGGAAGTATGAGATGGGCTTGCCTTTCACCAGGGGAGTCGGGTGAAACTCTCCGGTGCTGCCCTTCAGCTTGCATCTTGGACTGGCTTCTGAGACGTTATTGTAGCGCCATCTCGCTATTTGACCCAGCTTCTCGAAGTTATCTCGTCCCGTATACACATTGTGGTGGCCATAGATCTCCGTGCTTCCATTGCGCTAAAATCAAACATAAAATGATTAAAAATTTTGATAATGAAATCTTAAATTCTTAAAACAAGTGTCATTATAAGGTTTAGACTTTGTGCTACAAAGTTTTGCTGCCTTATCAGAGCAGAATAAAGAAAATACATTAGTCAGTGTCCATAATCCAGGTACTATGACTCATAAAAATAGATTTACAAAAAGGCAACTATAAATTTTAATGGATAATCCTCTTACAAAATCTTGCGGTTAAGATTGGATATTTATATCAAATATCGCATATAGTAATCCTTATTATCCTCATTAGAACGTCCAACTAATCCAATCCAATCCAACTTTCTATCTTCGAAACCAAGAAGTAGGATTAAGTCCCCTATATGGCCACAGTGCTGGGTATATCTTCCCCAATTCTAATCCGATTCTCAAGCGGAGTACCTTAAACGATTTCTAGATCGATTCTCCACCATTCTGCATCAAAATCCTGAGACAAAATATTTTTTAGATTTTTCTCCCATTTTTCATGAGGGATCCCATGAAAATGAGGTTTTCCCCTATATGGGCCACTGGGATGGCTGTATCTTCCCCAATTCTCATCCGATTCTCAAGCGGAGTACCTTAAACGATTTCTAGATCGATTCTCCACCATTCTGCATCAAAATCCTGAGACAAAATATTTTTTAGATTTTTTGTTCATTTTTCGTGAGGGATCCCATGAAAATGAGGTTTTCCCCTATATGGGCCACTGTGATGGCTATAACTTCCCCAATCCTGATCCGATTCTCAAGCGGAGTACCTTAAACGATTTCTAGATCGATTCTCCACCATTCTGCATCAAAATCCTGAGACAAAATATTTTTTAGATTTTTTGTCCATTTTTCGTGAGGGATCCCATGAAAATGAGGTTTTCCCCTATATGGGCCACTGTGATGGCTATAACTTCCCCAATCCTAATCCGATTCTCAAGCGGAGTACCTTAAACGATTTCTAGATCGATTCTCCACCATTCTGCATCAAAATCCTGAGACAAAATATTTTTTAGATTTTTTGTCCATTTTTTGTGAGGGATCCCATGAAAATGAGGTTTTCCCCTATATGGGCCACTGTGATGGCTATAACTTCCCCAATCCTGATCCGATTCTCAAGCGGAGTACCTTAAACGATTTCTAGATCGATTCTCCACCATTCTGCATCAAAATCCTGAGACAAAATATTTTTTAGATTTTTTGTCCATTTTTCGTGAGGGATCCCATGAAAATGAGGTTTTCCCCTATATGGGCCACTGTGATGGCTATAACTTCCCCAATCCTGATCCGATTCTCAAGCGGAGTACCTTAAACGATTTCTAGATCGATTCTCCACCATTCTGCATCAAAATCCTGAGACAAAATATTTTTTAGATTTTTTGTCTATTTTTCGTTGTGGGTTCCCTTGAAAATGGGGTTTTCCCCTATAGGGTGCACTGTGATGGCTATATCTTCCCCAATCCTGATCCGATTCTCAAGCGGAGTACCTTAAACGATTTCTAGATCGATTCTCCACCATTCTGCATCAAAATCCTGAGACAAAATATTTTTTAGATTTTTTGTCCATTTTTCGTGAGGGATCCCATGAAAATGAGGTTTTCCCCTATATGGGCCACTGCGATGACTATATCTTCCCCAATTATCATCCGATTCTCAAGCGGAGTACCTTAAACGATTTCTGGATCGATTCTCCACCATTCTGCATCAAAATCCTGAGACAAAATATTTTTTAGATTTTTTGTCCATTTTTCGTGAGGGATCCCATGAAAATGAGGTTTGAAATGGCTATAACTTCCCCAATCCTGATCCGATTCTCAAGCGGAGTACCTTAAACGATTTCTAGATCGATTCTCCACCATTCTGCATCAAAATCCTGAGACAAAATATTTTTTAGATTTTTTGTCCATTTTTCGTGAGGGATCCCATGAAAATGAGGTTTTCCCCTATATGGGCCACTGTGATGGCTATAACTTCCCCAATCCTGATCCGATTCTCAAGCGGAGTACCTTAAACGATTTCTAGATCGATTCTCCACCATTCTGCATCAAAATCCTGAGACAAAATATTTTTTAGATTTTTTGTCTATTTTTCGTTGATGGGTTCCCTTGAAAATGGGGTTTTCCCCTATAGGGTGCACTGTGATGGCTATATCTTCCCCAATCCTGATCCGATTCTCAAGCGGAGTACCTTAAACGATTTCTAGATCGATTCCCCACCATTCTGCATCAAAATCCTGAGACAAAATATTTTTTAGATTTTTTGTCCATTTTTCGTGAGGGATCCCATGAAAATGAGGTTTTCCCCTATATGGGGCACTGCGATGACTATATCTTCCCCAATTCTCATCCGATTCTCAAGCGGAGTACCTTAAACGATTTCTGGATCGATTCTCCACCATTCTGCATCAAAATCCTGAGACAAAATATTTTTTAGATTTTTTGTCCATTTTTCGTGAGGGATCCCATGAAAATGAGGTTTTCCCCTATATGGGCCACTGTGATGGCTATAACTTCCCCAATCCTGATCCGATTCTCAAGCGGAGTACCTTAAACGATTTCTAGATCGATTCTCCACCATTCTGCATCAAAATCCTGAGACAAAATATTTTTTAGATTTTTTGTCTATTTTTCGTTGTGGGTTCCCTTGAAAATGGGGTTTTCCCCTATATGGGCCACTGTGATGGCTATAACTTCCCCAATCCTGATCCGATTCTCAAGCGGAGTACCTTAAACGATTTCTAGATCGATTCTCCACCATTCTGCATCAAAATCCTGAGACAAAATATTTTTTAGATTTTTTGTCTATTTTTCGTTGTGGGTTCCCTTGAAAATGGGGTTTTCCCCTATAGGGTGCACTGTGATGGCTATATCCTCCCCAATCCTGATCCGATTCTCAAGCGGAGTACCTTAAACGATTTCTAGATCGATTCTCCACCATTCTGCATCAAAATCCTGAGACAAAATATTTTTTAGATTTTTTGTCCATGTTTCGTGAGGGATCCCTAGAAAATGGGGTTTTTCCCTATATATCATAGGGAAGTGATGATCATAGTGATGGCTATATCATTCATGACAACTTACCGGATATGCGTATCCAACTTTATCGTAGGCAAAATCCATTTCTGGAACAAGTCCGGGTGGTAGAGCTTTTCCCATCTTGATGAGTGGTGTATCGAAACCGTCAAACATCCATTCTCCGGCAGTTTGGACTATTGTGGTTTCCTTGCCGTATACGTTTAGGGCCATTACAATAACGGAGCGGAAAAAGGGATTCAAGCGTAGCATTTTCTGGTAAAGACCAACTATGATTAAGTTGGGGGCCACCACAGGATCTGTTGGCAAGCCGGCACTCTTTTCCGGAACAAAATCGAATCGACTCTTTCTCATATACGATACCGTAGAATTTTCATCGTGCCACTGAACGTTGAGTTTTTGCATCTTTTCCGTAAAATGATAGGGTCCTAGTTCCTCAAACCTCGGCTTTATTGAGGTATTCGATACATCCTCCGAATTTGTCCAATTGAAGATATAGAGGTCCATATCGGTCTGGATGGTGGGCGACTGCCACAGGTCATAGATGAAGGATCCCGGCCGCAGGACCATGAACCACTCGAGGACCCACTTCTCGATGCGTTGCATGTATATGAGCGAGAAGAGGCTGCAGGTGGCAAGCATAAGTCCTGCCACACTCGTTCGTAAGATGCGCTCTTTCCCGATCATGGCAGCGTGACCGATATCGTTTGTGATCTGAAATGGTAACTGATCGGACGCACCAAGTTAAGCTAAGATATATTCTACCGCACTGGGCCTAACTTGTTTTCCCCAACCCGATATGCATGCCAGTGCTTATACAATCAATACATTGTAATACATAATGTATCTGACTAAGCTAATGTTTAGATACTCTTACAAATACCAATAACAAATTTCCATAAATATTAAGATAAGAGTATAAAAAAAGTACAGGCATAAATAATATTTAAACTCTTTGAGTTTGCTTGCTAAAATAAAAAACCACCCCAGATGAAGTCACTTTTTAAACAAAGAATATTTATACTCTTGGAACAAAATTATTTTAGCAATTGCATTGGCATAATATGCAAAATAAACAGAACATGAGCTTGTGAGTTATATTAATATTTAAGGGCTTGTTAAAACAAGTGTTGTTCTTTATCAGATATGCACATTTAAATAATTTCTTGAACAATTTTTGCTACGCAATCCTCGAGAACAAGACCATAAATTCTGTTAGAAGCATACTTTAATTAACAAAATCGCCTCTTAAACTGGTTGACTTCCTATGTAGACCGTATTAATTGCACATGCAAATTACATATGTTTATTAAATGGTTGCTAATCGTTTTTATGTAAAAGATCTTTCACAAGATTAAGTCTGCTCCATATGATTCGATATTTACACTGCTACTGACCAGAATATTTTCTCCAGAAAGATTAAGATAGGTCCACGCTTCAAAGTTATAAAACGTAGTCGTTATAAAGCACTTAGAATATATTGAAGTTTACACTCTCTTAATGATGGCCATAATTCTTAAATTGGCCTATAAAACGAAGTCTATCTTGGAGAAGAAACAAAAATGTCATCGTTGTCTGGCTTCCTAGTCATTCCCTGAAAGTCGTACATTCGTGAAGTTCGTTACACTTTCAAGCTTTACTTTACTAAATCACAGTGATTTTCAGAGTTACAAATTACAAGTCCCTATCCAAAAACTAAGTTTCTGATTTTTGAAGTCCTTACCTAAAAAAACAAGATCTTTGTTTGGCTTTTTGCTCTCCGATCGCAAAGGTTTAAGATTCTTGCCGTCTGATCACTTCAACTTCCTTATGTGGTCTGATCTGATCCGAGTCCAAGTCCGAGCTTCAGGGTGGAGGTTATCTGCCCACTGTGATAATGCAATGCGATTGGCGAATACTCAGAAGGGTACTACTTCTTGCGATATTACTATTTCTGATCCGATCCAAGTACTATCCTGACTAGCTAAGCGGACGGATTACAGATTACCCACGCCGTGAGTGCATCTCTTAGGTTTGTAGGTGCAATTGAACTGCTTCCAGTGCCGACTTGATAACGACTGAGCCGATCCGTTGGGAAATATACTTTTCCATATAGGAAGACTCCTATATGTAGTGCCATGAAAAATAAACATAATTGTCAGAATAAAATAAAACAGAGCCAAAAAACCTTAAATGATGCACTGAAAAAACTAGTTTATAAAAAGTAATTAATTTTACTTTAAAACTTCCCACAATTTTTTGGGAATATCTTAGTTAATATGAATAAATAACACTAATTTTTACTTACCAATAAATTTAATTATTTCTTTTGTATCTTTTGTTGTCAGTGCAGTTGAAGTCTTTACTTTATAGTTATAAATCTCGCACGGTTTAAATGAACTCCACATACAGTTCAATAGCTCCATATTATGGGGTTATCATTTTACGACATCGTGAGTGGATTTGATACGACACTTTCCACTTAATATATTAAATGTTTAACTTTCGCCGTTCCCTTATGATTTTCCACAACTTCGATTTCGGTTCCCCGGACTTGGACTTATCAGGCTGTGATACTGTTAGTACCCCAATTTCTAATCTCCTGCCCCAATTCTTGATGCCTCGAGGTGATAAGTATCGTCGCAAGGCGGTCTTAAAAAAAATGCATTTCGTCAGTGAAACTGACGTAGCTTTTTTTTTATTAATCCGATCTATGACTTTAATCAGTTTCTATTATGACAGCTCAAAAGGAATGCTGGTTCATGGAAAATTTAATGTAGTGTTTCAAGATCATCGAAGATTGCGACCCTTAAATCCACCAAACACCTTTGATCTATAATATATAATATTTATTTATTTTAATTAAGTAAAAAATACATTTTCTTTATTAAAAGTTAGTAAACTTTAAGGTAAAGAAACACATACATTTATAATCTTTTTGGCACCTATTGGTTAATTTTTAAAAATATCTGAACTTAATTATTGTTTAGAACTTCTATATCAGCGGTGTCTTTGATGAAGGGTATTCGGGTATTCAGTCTTGAATTAAAAAACGGGTGTTATCAGGCCGCGGGGTCGAGACACATCAATGGGCAGTGGATTACCCCATTCACTATCTGGACGATGCATCACCGAACGAAGATGAACTTTAACACCCCGGACATGCAGTCTAGACTAGGTCCGATCTGTTTGGCGTCGATTCTGAGCATCCTCGCGTTGTCCAGGCATCGCGGACTGTGAACTATTTCTGGCTTGATGTCGGTCTGGCGAATCCACAGCTCCAGAGGCTCGGTCCGCCCCCTTTGCTTGGACAGAATGCCCAGACAACGCCAGACAAACAACTCGCCATGACAACGAGAGCGGGTCATGTCCAGGATCTTCAGCTGACGGCACTTGGTCACGAATTCCAGCACACCCGCAGGACTCTCTAGTTGGTATCCACACAAACGGAGCTCGGTGAGCCCGGTTAGTTGACTTGCCAGCTGGCTTAAGATCTGATCCCCCAGGACCTGCAGTCCCTGCCCATCGCCCTCATCCTCCGATTGACTATGGAGCTCCAGTCGTTTCAGGTTGGCCAGGTTGGCCAGTTCCTGAAAAAATCGTCCATAATCGTGGAGTACACCGCTGAAGCGAAAACCCTCAATCAACGAAGCTGCTCTGGCCGGCGCATTGACTGGGCGGGCTATGCGCGCCAGGACATCAAATACAAAATTTTTGGAGTAAATCGACAGCTTCTGGAGACGTGGTAACCGGAGGAGCTGCTGCGTAATATCCGACTCCATGCACAGGTGGTAGTCGGCTATCTTGATGTGCTCCAATGTGGGGCACAAGTGTAGATCGACCAGGTCACAGCAGTTGACCTCGTCGCAGTCCTCCATTATGTCGAATTTGCGCAGGCGCAGCTGCCGGAAGAGATCCCTGAAGTGGTGTGACTCCAGGAACTGACAGTCGTCCAGGCACAGCTCGTTAAGCTCCTCCAAGTCGCACAAATATTTTCCAGTAATTTGGCAGTTTCTCAGTTTAAGCCGTCTTAGTTTTGGAAACACTCGGCTCAGAAGCCGCACATCCTCGTCCACGAAACGCACGCGTCCCCGACGATTACTCTCGCCCAGCCACTCCAAGTGCGTGATCCTCTCGAGGTTTTGATTACTCAGAAGTCGCAGTTTCCTTACGTCCAGATCCTTGCAGCACAGGCGCTGCATGTAAGGAGCCAATGCTAGGATGAACGCTAAGAATCGTGCATTGGTAGCCGATGACCTCCGGAACATCTCATCCTGGAGGACAACACTGCGCACTCGTGTCCTCCAGATGGTTTGGACAATGCTCTCCAGCCGTCGATTCAACCTGCCGATCTCATACTGCTGGAATACATTTAGCTGGCGGATGATCAGTGCCAGGACATCATCGTTCAGCTGCAGGAGCGAAGTCACAGTGGGAGCTGCAAAAGGGGGACGTCTGTTTTCAAGGCCACTCACAGATGTGTTTATTTACACGGTTTACCTGTATCTCTATCTGTTGTTGACGTCATTTCTCTCACGTTGAAGTTGTAATACTGACGAAAATTACGCTGTTGCCATGGTCAGATGATCGCTACCTAGAATGAAGGTCACTAAGGGGTGGTTTTCCAGGCAAAACGGGCGAAATTCGCGCTACCTAAGTCCGAAATCCATCTAGAGATGGATCAACCTAAGCGATAGTTTTTTGAAGGACGAATCGGTCAGCAACTGTCAGCTAAAAACTGTGCTACAATATTTTTAAAAACCTAATTTTCAATGAATCTAAAAAATAAGAGGCATTTTTAAATATTTAACAAAAGAAACTAGTGGTTTAAAAAATAATAATAGTTAGGATGAACTATTTTAGAGTCTGTAGGTAAAGATTAACCTTTTCTCGAAGAATAAAAGTACCATTTTGCAATAAAAATAAGATATTTAGTATCTAGATTCTGTATCTAGTATCTCGAATATCTGTATCTAATCTGTGCTACAATATTTTTAAAAACCTAATTTTCAATGAATCTTAAAAAAAGGGTAATTTTTAAATATTTAACAAAAGAAACTATTGATTGAAAAATAATAATAGGATGAACATCTGTAGGTAATGAGTAACCTTTTCTTGAAGGAATCAAGTATCATTTTGCAATAAAAATAAGATATTTAGTATCTAAATTCTGTATCTAGTGTCTCGAATATCTGTATCTAATCTTTAAAATTAAATAAAAGCTGAAAATTATTTTAAAAAAATGTCTTTCGACTTCATTTTTCATGCTTATGCTGCGCGTTGTTTGCTGCTCATTTATTTGTTTTGTTTAGTGCTTACTACGTCATCAATTTTAATTACATTTTACTCGTAACTTGTACAATATAGACTATATATAATATATATATATATATTTATATGCTTTTCATTTGTTGTCCAATTTCTGTCGTATAGGCATATATTGTAGGTATATATAGTGTTGTATTGTATCTGCTTTATAGTACATTATTGTTTCTATTTAGTATTGTTACTGTTTGTTTGTTGCAATGTATATGTTAATGGGGGCATTCCAAGCGTTTGCCTGCACTTCTCTCCAGTTAATTAATCCTTGTTAACGCTGCGTTAGGATACATTTTCAGCGCTGTCCCAGCCTGCTGTTTTTAATGTTAATTAATGTTTTTTTTTTTTTGCGTTTCTGATAATAATGTGTGGTGTGGGTGTTTTTGTGAAAATTATTCATATTCTCACTCCATGCACTGCGCATCTTACAAATAAACGATTTGGAGCTTCGTCTTGTGGTTTTTCATTTCTTTAATATATTGCAACACAATTGAATTACTTCGAATCGGTACTTAAAATTGCCTTCGCATTCTACACATACATATCCGTTATATATTAGTTAATAATCGTACAATATATATCTCTATTTGAATTCTACATACTGCGCTCTATACACATCACCAAAAATCCAAAAACACCGAAAACTAACACGGATTAAACAACTACATAATTATAGACGCGTGTGTGTGGTGTTAGTGTCGTTATTTTTCCAAAATTATCTCTTCTCTTAGTGACGAAAGCATAATTGTTTCACTTGAATATTGAATCGTTCTTAAAAGAGTTTTGTTATTTATTACAATTTTCAATTGTTCCCTGCATTCTTAGTGTATTTAAAACTTTTCCACTTAGCTGCCAATACGTACGTGAATTAATTAATAAATCAAATGAAATCAAATTAAAATAAACCCAAGTCGTGTCTTTAAATGGTCAAACGAACAGTTTTACATTTTTCGTTTATTCGTGTAAAATTACATTTTTTAAATTAAATTAAAAGTGTTTTTAAGCATTTAATCGTTCAAAATTAAATGTATAAAATGTTGCATTTAAAGGAAGCATAAAGTGTTTGTTTGTGTGAGTGTCTGTCTGTCTGTGTACGTGTTGTTTTTTTTTTATATTTTTTATTAAATTAAAAACTCTGACTCATCTTTCATATGTTGGTACTTTTTTTTTTTTAGTTTTCATTTTTTGTTTTTTTTTTGTAAAATTTAAAGCAGATATGTTGTTGCTTGTGGCGCTTGGGGCGTTTTCATAAATCGATTCGCTTTCTTGAATTATTTTCATTACGGCTGTAACTTGTTCTTGTTGGTTGTTGTTTTCAACATAAGCACAGTTAAGGGTTATATTAATTTTAGAGTTGTGCCTAGTCGTAATATATATATATTTATGTATATGTATGGGTTGTTGTTTGTTTGTTAACTTTAATAGTGGGGTAATAACTTGTTGTTATAGGTTTAGTATTTCATATATCATAATCGTAATTTTAATCGTAAGTGTAATCATAATTATTGGGCGGTACGGGCCCAACTAAAACTACTCTCAGCCGCCTTAAGGCGCTCCCTTCTTCTAATCCATCTCGACTTGCTTGCGCAATTACTATCTTTTAGTAGTTCAACTAACATTAAATATAATAATTTTGTTTTTTTTTTCTTCTGTTTGTGTTGTAATAATCCCTTCTTATTTATCTTGTTAGTAAGTTTCTGTTATGTTTTTAGCTTTCCGCTGTCGTATAATATATATCTGCATGTCGATACGCATTTCTCATAATCATCATTAGAATGATGTTTCTAAACTGGGTTAGGGGCCACATCTGGCCAATAGGGGTTTTTTTAATCCATTTTATCCATCAATGATTAGCCGCCTTGGAAAATGCAAAAATAATACAATTGTGATAGATTTTCGATAGATTTCCAAGGGTCTTGTTGCGTATTATTTACAAACTATATTGTATGTTTATATATAATCGTATGTCTATGCACAGTTGCATATGTTTATGTTGATGATGAGGATGTTTTCTATGAATGTCGCTCGGTATGGATATAATCATAAGTATAACTTAGTCGAAACACAATTAAAATACAAGATGATACGCTACTGCTGGTTACGACCACATAACCCCCTACGTTGAAATGTCTAGCGCGAAGATTCGGTATATATTTAGAGTCGATAAACGCCTCTGTAGGTTGAGCACTTAGCACAGCTAATTAAAAGCCCGTCCACAGACCTAGACGCACCGCCTGGCACACATTTCAGAAATGTTAAAAACACGTGATTAAAATGGTACGCTAAGCGTCCAAAAAGCAATAAGAATACACAAGAAGAGATACCAATATAGTGAGAAAAACTATGAGATGATTCGTATTGCACGTTAAAGCTGGCGGCAGACTAGTAGAAGAGTGTTGGAGGTGAGGAAGAATGTATTGCACTGGGGAGAATGCAGAGCGGACTCTGCAGAAACACTTCTAGTGGGTGTTGATTTTGGGTGGCCGAGAAGGGATTACAAATCCCAGAAGTAATCAAGTGATTCTGGGTAATTTTCCCTTAGCTACTAGACCTGCATAAAGTTTGAATCTTCAAAAAGTTGTTTAAAAGTGACGGTTTTTCAAAAACAAATAAAAAATACTTTAAAAATGTAAACCCAATTAGTTATTTAAGTAATATTAAAAAATATAAAAATGTTTCCAAGAAAAAATTACTGAGAATCCTTGACAGATTACTTGTTACTTGCCATCCCCTCAACTTCGAACCTCGATCCACCATAGTTCCCCCTGAATGCTCAGTTTCTATTGGGGCGACAGATCAGCGTAACCAGCGCGTTGCTAAAACTATTGTACATACACTATCTGCTTAAATGGGGTGTGCTTGTTATGGGTCCTACATAGAGATATCGATTCAGCCCGGCTCACTAGCACTCTGAAGCTCACTGCTCACTGGTCCATCTCACCAGGCCGCTGTGGCCGCTGGGGCGGTGCTGGTGGTGCTGCTCACGTGGGCTGTGGTGGGCGTGTAGCCGTGCAGGAGAGGCTACTGTTAGTAAACGACCGGGTGCTGTTCCACATTCGCCGGCAAGTGTTGCAGCTGCATGGCGGCACGTGCGAGAGCGCTTGGATCGCTTATCAATGCAATCGGAACCTGGGGAGGTGGCTGCTGTTGCTGCTGCGGCGGTGGTGCCTGTGGATGGCCTTGCTGTTGCTGATGGTGCTGCTGCTGCTGTTGGTGCTGCTGCTGTTGTTGCTGCTGCTGTTGTTGCTGCTGTTGGCGATGCTGCTCCTGCTGCTGATGGTGCGCCGCCTGTTGAATGGACAGCTGCAGCAACTGATGCTGCTGTTGGAGCTGTTGCTGCTGTTGTTGGTGAGCTGCCTGGACAGCAGCCGCTTGCTGTTGCTGCTGGTGGGCAGCGGCCACTTGCTGCTGGTGCTGCTGATGGGCCGCTGCTGCCTGTTGCTGGGCAGCCTGCTGTTGGGCGGCAGCAGCAGCAGCCGCCTGTTGCTGGGCAACCGCTGCGGCGGCCGCTTGTTGCTTTTGCGATTGTGGGTTATGCGAGATGAGCGTCGAGGTGACCAGCGGCACGAGACCCGGTGTCAACTGCGTGGCGGCTCCCGCCGTTATCTGCTGAATGGTGTGCATCGTGGTCGTCGCCGCCGAATGGTGGGGAACTGAAACGGTAGGTAGAGTGGTGCCTGATGAGTTAGACGATTTGTTCGAGAGTTGGGAATGTGTCGCCGACTCACTTATGATCGGTTTCACCTCCTGCTTGACTTGCGTCAGCACACCAGCCGGTATTTGTGGATGCGGATGCACGGGTGGTGGCGGCATCATAGCATCCGGGTGATTCATCTTCATGTGGCGCTTCAAATTGCCGCGCTCGACGAACGCCTTGCTGCACAGAGTGCACGCGTGCGGTTTCTCGCCCGAATGGGAGCGCATATGCGAGACCAAGTGACCTGCGAAACGGACAATGGAAGCGACATGAAGATCTGATCTCGGATGTGGGGGACTTAAAATTTCGAAAACTTCTCGGGTTAATTTTCGGGGGTCGCTCTCAGGTACACTCGTTATCCTATAAAGTTCATTAAATGTTAAATATAAATAAATTAAATGATTTATGCCATGAGAGCGATCCCCGTAAGTAGTAGCTGAAATATAGGAAAGGTTCGGGGGGCGGGGTCCTGGAATTGGAAGTGGATTGGGTCTGGGAACACTATGCTGACGCCACGACACGCGTGCCTCCACTCGTGCAACGCACAGCAGAGCGACCAACATGCATTTATTAGCGTACTCACCCTTGCAGATAAAGTTCTTGGGGCACTTCTCACAGGCAAAGGGGCGCTCCATCTCCTGGCCCTTGGTATGGCTGCGCTGGTGGAAGAGCAGATTACCCTTCAGGGGGAACGACTTGCCGCAGGTGTCGCAGGTGAAGGGCCGGTCGCCGGTGTGGCATCGGGACATGTGGTTGATCAGGTGTTCCTTGCGCGTGAATGGCTTGTTGCAGACATTGCAGCAGTGCGGATTGTCGCTGGAGTGCTGGCGCATATGGTTGTTGAGGTGCTCCTTCCGCGTGAACGTCTTCTGGCAGTACTCGCACTTGTGCGGCGAGTCGCCCGTGTGCAGGCGCACATGATTCGTCAAGTGCTCCTTGCGCGTGAACGTCTTCTTGCAGTAGGAGCAGCGATGCGGGGAGTCGCCCGTATGCTGGCGCACATGGTTCGTCAAATGCTCCTTGCGCGTGAACGTCTTGGTGCAGTACGTGCACTTGTGCGGCGACTCGCCTGTATGTTGCCGTACATGATTAACCATGTGATCTTTGCGCGTAAACGCTTTCGTGCAGTAGGTGCACTTGAACGGTGTCTCACCCGTGTGCTGCCGGATGTGGTTGACCAGGTGCTCCTTGCGCGTGAACGTCTTCATGCAGTAGGAGCAGCGGTGCGGCGACTCTCCCGTGTGCTGGCGCACGTGGTTGAGCAAGTGTTCCTTGCGCGTAAACGTCTTGGAGCAGAAGTCGCACCGGTGCGGCGTCTCGCCTGCTTGCGTGGCAAATGATTCGAGAGCAAGAAAATGTTTAGAGATTAGTAATCATCGCCACAGTCTACGGTCTATAATTGTGGGGGGGATAATAGCTGGAATGGGCAGTAGGCACGTGGCATGTCATGGAGCTCGATTGCATCGCTTGTAGGTGATAGTTACTATTCTCCAATGTAGTATCGATAGAATTATAAGAATTTGGTATTATATTAGCTAAATAAACCCTGACTAAAGTTAGTAACTAGCTTCTAGTGATTCCTGGAGGACAGGTTATCCTAAGAAGAGTTCGTTATCGCTGCCTGAGCCCCCATGCCACTGCCAAGTGTCTATTGTGTAAACGGATTATATTTCTTGTTGGTGGTACGATGTGTGTGTTGCTGGGAGTTCCTGTGCAGGATCGGATTTTGGAGGCTGGCTGGGAACTGGTTCTGATTCGGGAGTACGATTCGTTTTGTCTCTTTACCTGTATGCCAGAGTATGTGGTTGGTGAAGTGCTCCTTGCGGCTAAAGCTCTTGCCGCAGATCTCGCAACGGAACGGCGTCTCGTTGGTGTGGGAGCGCATATGGTTGGCTAGGTGCTCCTTGCGCGTGTATTTCTTGCCGCAGACATCGCACTGGTGGGGGGTTTGACCTGGATATTTTTTTTTTGTTTTAGGGAGAGGGTAGCAGAGCAGAACAGAAAGGAGTTGTTGTATAGAGGGAATTGCGTTTCTCGATCTCGGTCGACAAGACAAAACCGCATTCGTTATCGTTATCGTAAGCGCAAGCATTTTCTTTTTTCCTCGATTTGATTTTTACGATTAACCCAATTAATAACCAATAAAATAAGGACGGTTTCTAAAATATATCAAATCGATTTTACAAATTTTAGATTATAGATTTCAATTACAAAAGCAAAGGTGAAACGACCTTGAAGCGACTTAATATATTCACAAAACCTTGTCCTAGAATCAATCCATTGGATGGCAAATCAAAGAAAAAACAAAATTTTGACACACCCCCGACCCATCCCCGCATCCCAGCGCACCGCTCAGTGTTTGGTGGTGGTGGTGGTTGTGGTGGGTGGCTGCTCGGGTGGGTGGCTGGGTGGGTGGTGTGGTATGGTATGGTATGGTTCTTCCTCATCGTTTAATTAAATTTTCTGTTTTTGGTGTGAAACTGGCCGTGGCTTGCGTTGTGGTTTCGAACGAACGAAGCGAACGGAGGCTGCTGGCTCGGGCATATGGACGTGGGCGTGGTGTCAGATGTGGTATGTGTTATATGGTGTATGGTGTGGATTGTATGTGGATGTTCGTTGGATGTATGGAGATGTGTTGTGGGTGTTATGTTTTTTTTTTGTGTGCCTGTCAACTCTGCTTCTACTCAATGCTGATCGTCGTCAGGATGCTAAATAGAATTTTGTCGCTTGGAACTATCCGTTCCGGAAGTGGGATTTTTTGGCCAAAGAGCTTGAGACAAAGTCAGGATGTTATCCAGAGTGTGTGCGTGTGTTTCGTGTTGTGTGTGAGTTCCAATTGCTTTGTGTGTGTGTGTTTGTGGATGGTAATGTCGCAGTTACACAGAGACGTTGGCAATCGACAAGCAGCAACAACGAACTTAACATTTCTTTTCTTTTCTTTTCTTTGCTTTGGGCACCCTGTTTTTTAATTAATTAATTAATTTTCTTTTCTTTTTTTTTTACAGCAGAGAGAGCGTAGACAAAGTTACACAGGCATTATATAATTCGAATCAGGAATGAAGGATTGGAATTGGACATTGGTGGAGTGGAGCGAGAGCACTGGATGATGTTTTGGAAGTGGTGGTGCATGAGATTTGTATTTTTTGGTGATGTGAGGATGTGTGATGCAGAGATCATGGTTGGGGGGAAATGGAGCGGTATGAGCGAGTGAGCGTGTTCTTAATATTTTTTTTTTTTTTTTTGGTTTATTTTGTAGCGGGATTGCGGGCTTGGCATCTTCCACAGATGAGCTTTGGAGATGAGCTCCGCTTAAAGCGTTAGTTGGCACAGAGAAAAAAAAAATGTTGAGAAACATTCAGAAAATATGAATTTAAATATATAAGACATTTCTGAAACAAGCCATTAATTTAGTGATTTTATGCAAATGAATTTTATAATCTACAACCATTGATATTTTTTAATCTTCTATTTAGATCTTAAATTTTTTTAATCTTCTATTTTTTTAAGAAACTAATTCTTGACCAATTTTGGTGAAATTTTTTCTCTCTGTGGGCGGGGGCTGGGGGGAGTTGGCGGGAAGAATTGTAAGCGATGTGAGCAAGATAGAAGTGAATGAGAGAGTGGGGGGTAGAAGACGTAGGACGCACGATGAAGTTTAAAAATATTAATTTTTTTTTCGGTGCTTTTTTGTCAATTTTTTTTTTTTTGGTTGATTGGTTTGGTTGGTTTTGGTTGACTTTTGATTGGTTCTTGGTTGGTTGGTTGGTGTGATGTGGTGATGGCTGTTGTAGTTTGGTCTGGTATTTGGTCTTGAGATTTGAGATTTGAGAGATTCTGATCTGTCTTTTATGGTTTTTTTGGTTTCTGTTTTTTTTTTATATATAAATTGTTTTTTTTTTAAGGTTTTGGCGCTCGCCGCTCGCATTGTCCGCCCCCACCAATCAATCACACTCACCAGTGTGCCACATGTAGTGGTTAACATAGTGTTCCTTGCGCGTAAAGGACTTCTTACAAATATCGCAACGATGTGGCGTCTCACCCGTGTGTTTGCGCACATGGTTGACCATGTGCTCCTTGCGCGTGAACGTCTTGGCGCAGTACTGGCAACGGAAGGGCGTTTCGCCCGTGTGCGACCGAAAGTGATTGTCCAGATGCTCTTTGCGGGCAAATGTCTTTTGGCAAATGGTGCAGGCGAACGGTTTGTCCGTCGAGTGCCGCTTCATGTGCCGCTCCAGGCTCGTGTTGTTCGCGAAAACATTAAAGCACACAATACAGGTGAACATCGGACCGCCAATGTGAATCTTGCCGTGGCGGGTCAAATCCTGGGACGTGGTGAACCCCTGGCCGCACACCTGGCACATAAACGGCTTCCGTTCGCTGTGGTAGCGCCGGTGCACGATCAGCTGGTAACGGAACTGGAACATCTTGCCGCAGATGTCGCAGACGTGCGTCCCCGTCGCAATCGGCGTACCGTCCGGCGCCAGCGCCACGTTCGACTGCCCGCCGCCGCTGCCGTCCACGTTATGTATGCCGCCCTCCATTTTAGGCATTAGCAACTCACCCGCCGTGGTCGTAGTGCCGCTGGTAGTGCTCCCAGCGCCGCCGCTGCTACCGGCCGTCGAGCTGCTCGTCGTCGTCACAGTCACTTGGCCACCATTGCCGCTGGTAGCTGGCGGTAGTCCCCCGCCGGCTCCCGCTGCCGAAGCGGCTGCTGCTGCCGCCGCCGCTGCATTGGCGGAGGCCATTACTGCCGCCACGGCGGCATTATTTGTGGATGCTGCCGCTGCTGCGGCCGCCGCACTCGCCGCATGACTGGTGGCCTGCGGCGGGAGTGGCGGCGGGGGCGGTAGCTGGCCTCCGTGGGCCGCCGCCAATTGGTGATTCACCACATCGCCGTGTATCTTGCCAAAGACTTCGTGGTAGGTGAAGAGCTGTGAGATGTCCTCGATATTAACCTTGTACATCTCCAAGCCGTGCGGCGGCTTGCCATCGTCTTTGTGCTCCGATTTGGGGAGCGTATGTGGGGGTCCGCCCAAGGTGATCGTCGTACCACCAGTGGTCACTACGGGGGCTACTACCGATGGCACCGAGCTGGCAGCGCTCACGTGTTGCATTCTTGTCTCAGGATCCGGATCGTTACGCCGTTTCTCGGTCCCTGGTCTCTAGATATCCTAAGCTTGTCGTGTTTTCTATTTTTTTTTTTTGTTGTTGTGTTTGTTGTTGTTGGGGGCTGTTGCTGCTGTAGTTGTTGTTGCTTGTATTTGATGTTGTTGTGTTGGGGCGCCTACATATTGCTGTTGTTGCTGTTGTCGACTGCTTTCGCTGAACGTGGCTACAACAAACAAAAAAAAGGCAAGAGGAAGGTGTTGGAGGTGTCACTTAATCACTGGCTGCTCGGATTAATTCTTGGTCATAGATGGTCGCTGGTGGGGGACATTTACCGTAAAGTAGCTGCTTCCACTGCTGCTCCTAGGGGTTCTGTAGATTACCTGCAAGAAGAAAAGAATATTAAATAAATGATGATATTTAAAGGTCTAGAATCTAGATGGCCAGCGAGAAGAACCTTACACCATGCATATGTGTATATACTAAATTATGCAAGTACAGTTGAGCTTTTACACACACACACACACTTGAACAATCATCACCCAAGACTAATTTATGTAAAAAGACGTTGGGCTGGGGGGGGGGGGGCTGCCCAGCAGCATTTTATTGATTTTGCTTCTGGGCATTAAAAGTGATATAAATTGGCCATTAGCGAGCCGCAAGCTCCATTCTTAACCATTCCTCATCCACACCTCCTCCAGCACACACACACACACCTCCACAGACTCACACCCACACCAACATTGCTATGTCTTCATCAGCAGGAGAAGCGGAAGAAGTATGAAACAGAGGAAGCACAATGAAATAACTTTATATAAATTGTAAATGGCAAGAGGCAGCAGGAAAACGAACGAAAAGGGACAGAAAGGGAGTGGAGCTGGATTTGAGGCTGGGCTCAGGGCTGAGGAGAGGGAGGGATAGGATCCAGGATTTAGATATCCAATCAGAGTATGCAGGCGTTTGATACAAATGCCGAGAGAGAGAGAACACACACACAAATAGTAACAGCAAGGAGAGGTGGAGTGGAGCAGAGTAGGAGTGGCAGTGGCTCGGGGGGTGGTGGGAGGTGATGTAAATATCAAGAAGTACAAATCGATTAAAGGCATCGCATAAGTGTGTGTGCGTGCAAGAAAAACTGAGCTGCGAATTAAAGATGGATCAGAGAGAGGGGGGTAGGGCAGGGTAAGGGCGCGAAAGGGAAAGGGGAGCAAATAAGGAAAGAGCACCAGGAAGGGCGCGCGCATGAGCGCGAGAGGAGAGTAGAGAAGAGGAGTGTTTGTATAGGTCCTGGTTTTGTCCCTTTGCTAAGCGCTTTACAGTTACAGCTTACGGGCTAAGCGGCCAAGTGAGTAACAGGGATGGGTGTGAGCTCCCCTTTTGTTCTCTCCTCTCATCTTGCCTGTTTTCTTTTTGGAGCAAATAATTCAGCAAACAGAGATGAGAGCAGAGCGGCAGAAAAGGACACTGAAAAGGGCGCCACTTTTAATGTGGTGAGGTAGGAATATACCGAATACAAACACACATATCTTTTATCTTTTTACGCATACTGGTTCATGTGTGAGTGGCCCCAACGCGACCAACTTGGATTTCCTAGCCCGGACAACTAAATACAACAAAAAATAAAAGTGGGCGTGTTTGGACATGTAAAATGCCGATGAAGCCAAGCGCAAAAAGCAAGACAAATGGCCCAATCTACAAACAGGGTGACCCCAGAACCCTCCTCAAATCTAACTGTAACACTAGTAGGGTTACCAAATAAAACAAGCTAGTTACACTAGAATACACTGAGAAAAATAAATTAGTTTAAGAAAGCTTTTAATTCTTCAAGGACTAACACCTATTTGTATTTTTTTCTGCAGATGTTAGTTAAAGAATATTCCTACTACTAACCTTTTAAAGGATTAGTCTCCCATAGGTTCTTTTAAATATTTCTATAAAGGATTAAAACTACGATAATACAGTCGTTCCTAAAGCGACAAACAATGCACCATATGGCGCATTAAAATATTGAATTCAAATGGGGTTGAATAACCCTTTTTGCTTTGTCAGTAAAGTCACCCTGTAAGTGATGTAAGAGCAATTGAAATCACTTACCTCATGTAGTCTTCGTTTTGGCCCGACTGCTGCTGGGGCTTTTATTCTGGGGCTCGCCAGGAGCGGACTTTAAAATATATTTATATACATTAGCAGCCAGATATAGAGGTTCCTGTGGGCCACCTGCAAGCAGAAACGGAGACATGCCAACAATAATATAACCAATATATCCAGTGAGCAACAGTTTGTTTGCGGTGTTTATGTTTACGCGAAATATTCAAACGGCCCGCGGTACAGTCTTCCCCTTTTCCCTTTGCATCGACTTCCACACGAACACTGCCACAGGGATAGAACGGGCAGCGGGCAACGAGCTTCGGACAGCGGACAGGGGGCGAAAGCAAATCAAGCGAAAATTTATTTGCAGCCAATATATGCAAAAGTCACACACACACACACACACACTTGCAAATAATTGAAAGCTGCGTCTGCGTCGAATGCAGAGCAAAAATGGAAGAAGACGAAATATTCTAACTCTAATTGGAATGGGTATAATAAGAATAGTAGTAGGGGGGCTGGGGTTCGAACTGGGACGGTTTGCAAATTTTACATTTCCAACTATTCCCCAGTCGATCCGGTGCTAACAAATCAAATTAATTGTATCTATATCTAGAAGAGCTGTATGTGCGTGCAACGCTCGTTCGCCTGTCTTTTCTTCTCTTCTCTGGCCTGGCCTGGTCGGTCTGCTCGTCTTGTCTTCTACATTCTAGACGGGGGGCTCTTCCGCTCTTCCCCATTGGGCTCCCCTGCCGCTCTCTCTCTCTACACGTTTTGCTTTTGGCTGCCAGCAGGGAACAAAAAAAAGTTGTATCTTTCTTGCTTTCCCACTCTGCGGCTTGCGGGCCACCTCCTCCTCCTCTTCTCATCCCCTTGCCCACAGCTTTTCGTGGACTTTTGTACGCTTTTTGCTTTATTTTGTTGTTCTCGTTTCGCTCTCTCGCGCTCTTTTCGCCTTACATTGTCTCTCATTCTTCATTGAACGACAACGCCGTGCCCCATCCCGATCCACCCCCTTCCCCATCCTACCGCGGATGGGGTTTTCCGCCTAAAGCGGAAAACCAATAAAAACGAATTGAATCGCAAAGCGTAAGTACAAAATAAAGCGGAGCGAGACAAAAAATGAAAGCAGCAAGCGGATGAGCGAACGACAGACAGAGAGAGGGAGAGAGAGAGAGCAAAAGAGCGGGAGTGGCACGAAGCGAGTACAGGCGGTACGACGCGTCGATACAAGCAAGTTTTGCTTTTTGGCTCACATCTCACATTCTATATGCCGAGATCCGAAACCCGAGTTATAGTTATAATTATTGCCACCGCTGCTGGCGGTTTGCTTTTATTTTTAATTTTGTTTGGTTGTCGCTCAAACTTCGGGCAAGAGAGCGGTCACCGAGCCGAGAGGAGGGTAGTGGAGATGGACCGAAAGAGAGGCACATTTTCATTACAGCCAATTAGTGTGCATTTCATAATTGTTTAACAAAACACACGGCAGCGAGTACAATAAGAAAAGTCTAAGGAGACCAGAGTGGAAAGTCCAATCCGGCACTTTTGGTTCTAGCATATGGTGTATGTGCAGCGGCGAATCGGCGAAAAGAATTCGCGGATCCGAGCTATGTTTACAGCGGTGCTATACGCTTTTGTTAATAACTTTTTACGAAATGCAACCCTGCGCCTCCCTGCCTCCACCAGGCAAACAAAATGACACGATGATGACGTTAATGGGAACTCTGTGGCTGTGGATGTGCGCAGCACTCACACGTACGCACACACACACACTCATTCTCGCACCAACACTCCGACAGAAAAGTCGACCGCAAAGTCATTTGATTGATATTTTTCTTATTCTTTTTCCATGCGAATTTCACAAATAAACACAATTGTTTCCAATAGGCCAAAAGGCCCCCGCCCCCGCACCAGCACTTGGTCCTCGCCCCCGCACATCGCGCACTGCAGTTTCTATAAGCGCTAAAAGTATGGTTCTTATGACGCCAGTATATGAAAATTTACTTGATTGCCGAGATGGTGGTGGTGGTCTCCGCCGCCTGTGTGTGTGAGTCAGGTTCGGTGTGGGCAACAGCAGTATAAAATCAGAATCGAAACGCCGCGCGGGTGAGAGGCGGTGGTGAACGGTGGAGAGAGCAAAGCAAACTGAAAAACGGAGGAGGCAAGACGCAAAATACAAAAAAAGTAGCCAGAATTCTAGCTGTTTTTTGCAGTCTGGCAACGATAAAGCCAAAATGATACTTTCCAACACTGTTCGGCCAGCCGAGAGAGGTCGAGTGGAGAACGAGCAGGAAGTCAGCTGATGATGGTTTTTAAAAACACAATAGAAATAAAGTGACAATTTAGGTGCTAATCCACGGTATATGGCTGAAAAAATTGCTTCTTGACTACACACCTGCATTAAACAAGACGTGTAGGAGTTTTGCTTTGCCAAGATTGGAATTACAAACACTTATTCGCAGCCAACAACCAATTAGCCACTAACCAGTCTAGGCATTTTCAATTCTGTCTTATAATTTGTATTTTTATTTTGGAATCAGTGCAAAAATAGATTATAATGCTGAAAGCTTAACTAGAGCGCCAAAAGACTTAACTTTAACCCATTTGTTTATAAGTTTATCTACAAATAATTGTAAAAATATCCACAACAATTGTAGTTTGCACTACGCTAGATAAAGCTCCCCCTGTAAATACCTTTAAAAATACCTTTTTAAAATTAAAATTCCTATTAAACATTTTTAAGGAAAGGAGAGAGCGAGTGAGATAATGAAAGAGAAGGGGAAGACTAAATTCGATAAGATTCTTGCTCTCCGAAAATGTTATCGGTTTTTTTGGTGGTCAGAGTTGCCAGAAATAAACAAAAATGAACCTAAATCACAGGTTCAAAACCGCCAGCCGGCAGCCTACAGATCTTCAGAGATCTAATTGCCCACGAGAGCGGGAATATACATATATATTAGTCTTATTAATCTTATACCATGTCAGGTTGCACTTGCTCATGAGAAGAAGAGG